TAATACACAAATTTATTCCTTTGACTTTTTGAATCGATTGTGTCTCGATTTTAGTCCTCACATTAATTGCCTACGACAGACATAAAATATGAGTTTCTTAAGCGAAATATAGTATTTTAATGTAGTAAAAATTCTTTAAACCTGAACTTTGGATAATTTTGCAAAACGAATCTTGAAAAGTTTACATTTATGTAATTATAAATAAATTAAACAATTAATTAATTTAACTCAAAAATTTATGTTTATTGGCCCATCAATATTTTGTCGAATTTTCGTATTCCTTTAAGCGATTAATAAAACTCTTTAAATTGTTTTTTTTTTTTATTCACATTGCAATTGGCAGTTTTCCATTTTTTCCACATGAGTTCAATTTTGTGAGCTGACGAGTGCACAGTCATGTATAGGTGTGTGTGTGTGTGTGTGTATTGTGTGTGTTTATGTCAGAGTGCAGCTATCAATAAGACAGCATCATTAATAACGCACTTCTGCACCTTCGCCTGGCGTTATAACTGTTGTATTGACACCTGACTGACCAATTATGGTGCAATTAATACAGATGATTGCTCAAAATCTCCCAATTGGTTAACAGCGACACACACACAGACACTTGTACACCCCACACACACAAACACACCCACACACACACACACACACACACACTTAGACAGTTTGTAAGGAGCAATTGCTGCTCCTGCTGGGTTCGCTGAATTGTATGCAACATTTTTAACATTTCAAAGGTGCCCATCAGCAACAAGCACAATTCGCTGGAAACCTCCTTTATCCACGTGGCGTCTACTTAGTGGCTGTGGCATGGCAAACAACAACAACAAGGACAACAACAATTTGCAACGTATTTGGATGCTTTTGACTACAAAGTTTTGTGGTAACAAGTTGGCAACAAATCTGATTGCCAGATGGCTGCCATTTGGCCAAAGGCCATTCAGTTTAATCCAAAAATACAAACACTCCACAATAGGCTAACGACTTTAAAACATAAAAAATATAAATAAAAGATATATATATATATGTATATATATATATGTGTGTGTGTGTGTGTGTCTGCAGACAAACAACACTTGTGCCAGGTTCAGATATGAATCTACGTGCACTTGGTCTAATTTGAATTCAACTGTCCGTGTAATCAAATTAAATCGTATTTATAGAATATTCTTCTGAGAATAAATATGTATTTAAGAAATACATATATATAAATATATGCCTTAAGAGAATTTACTAAATTATGCACATCATAAATCATCTCTGCGGAGGTGTGTAAAAGTCAAGCAAATTCAGTTAAGACAACAATAACATTTACTTTCCCATAAGCAAAAGTAGATTTGGATTATTATTATAAGCGAAGGTGGAGCTAAGTACTTTGACCTTTCGGTACACTACACTGAAAGAAACCAGCCTAACCGCAAATTCCGTTACTAATATTTCAAATGAAATGTTATTTTAAATCAATATTTAAATGTTGAATTTATTTATTTTAAATTAAGGAAAATTAAAACAAAATTTACATCTTGTACAAATTCTTCTGCTCTTGCTGAGTGTAATAAACAAAAATCTGAATCTAATAAAAACAACTAGAAAATCCCAAAAACATTAGCTTCCTGGATAATTTATTACTTCAGTGGATTTAACGACTTCAAGCAGACATTAAAGCAATGCCTTTTTGAAAGCATTTCCTTAGCCTACATCAACATGTACAATCAATAACTCTTCGCCAGGCTTACTGGCAGTTTGGCTGTTTAATTTGATCAAATATCCTGTTTGAATTAAGGAAATGGTCTTGTGAAAACAATGGGCCAACGTATGCCTGAAGTTGTACTTTAAATGCATAATTTATCAAAATTGAAATCCGGAAAATGGGCACAACAAGTTTATCTAATACGAACCGCGACCCGGACCATGCCCAAGTGTATAGACCCGTAGACTCCTGCCCGACATCATTGCTCATTATTTACGGTGCGAAGAGACCACATCCACGGCTAATAAAATGAAACGGCAACTGGGGACAAGGACAATGGGCTACCATTGCCTTATTATGTTGACATAATATTCCAGGCTGGAGCGTTTGTATAATTGATTAGGTTTCGCTTTACTTATAGCTTCCCCTGTGTCTAGTGTAAGTGTGTGTTGTTGTTGTTGTTGTGTGTGTGTTTGAGTGTATGGGTCGAGCCCTAAATAATAATTTATGTACTGTGTACAAAGACATTAATCTTTATTGGAACTGAAAAGTAGATGCAAGCCACTGACAAGTTATTTGCTTGCCTAGCTAAAAGTACCACAAATAAAGCACTCACTTTCAGAGTTTCTTCAAAGCCTGACCCTTAAAAGTAGCTGGCATAATCCTTAAATGATTCCAATTGTCCAAAATCGTTTAAGCTGTGCGCTTCAAATTTGACTCAGCTGAAAAATAGGCATATTTTGGCATATTTAACATTTTATGACACTTCTGTGGGCAATTGCTAGGATTGATTGATGGTTCTTATGCTCTTGGAGAGGTTATCGTAGTGTCCTTATTGGGGTAGACATCATTGTCGCCATTAAGTTATATTTCAGCTAATATATCATACATATCCCTGAGGAACAATAAGGGTTTTTCAAAATAATAATAAAATTTATATGCGAGCAGATGGACTCCATTCTGTAAATGTGTGCGAAAAGTGCTGCTTAGTGGAGGAGGACAACATTAAATGTCATTTCTGTCATTTTTTATATGACAGGTTAGAATTTTTGAACATTCTTCTAAACTTGCCTTTGAGGATCAAAAATTAAAAAAAAACGGATTGCCCTTGGACTTGTTATAAATATTATTATTATCAATATTAAACAAGTTATTTTTCTTCTTTGAAATTATTATTAAAACAAACAAACACTATTTCTTCGTGCTGAGTTTAAGTAAGGTTGAATACCATCATCAAAGAAAGCTTTTAGTGACGAGTTAAAAGATTCCAAAGTTTGGTAAGAGTTATCATATTTGCAATAACCAGGACAAGATTATGATTTGATATATACTTAAATACGACATTTAAAGTAAGAAGAGCTATTCTTTCTCGAAATTCATGTTAAAATGAATCCATTAAAAAGGGCTTGACGACGACGAACCACAAAATCCCAAAGCCATAACTTAACATTTTGAAAAACCAGAGCTTATCAATCATGATTTGACCTTTAGATAACATAACCAAAGGCGTACGCAGTTGGGGTAGGATGGACAGCTGCCAACTTTACATAAACGCCAAGTGGCAATGACCAAAATGTATGAAATAAAATACAATTCGACGTCCCCTTTTCTGAGAGCTGGATACGTTATCCTCGACTTGTTAAAGCTATCTGTGCCTGCTTTGTGTAATCCATTCGAGCAGTTATCCGAATCCCCTCGTACGCTTCAATTGGCCAACTTAATAGGTTTATGCACCTTTGGTCAACATGTCTGAATGTTGCCAATTTTGCATATATGCAAATATGAAAATGGATTGGGCGTTGTCTGTGTGGTAGGCAAGGGAGGGGGAGGGTGAAAACCTTTCACAAAACACATCAGAGAATCACAGACATTTGCGAAGCTGCTTGCCCCATTGTGGGAGCGGCTCTCGAGTCAAAAGCAGTCAAGTGTTGCGCTTTAGACATCATTCAACAGTTGAACGCATTTGATTTATATGGTTAAACACGACATAGTTGTGGCACGTCATTGTTGCTACTGCTGCTGGTATTTTTCTTGTTGTTGTTGTTGCTTTTGCTGTTATTTTCATTATTATTAATATTATTATTAATACTTGTGTAGGAGATGTGTGGTCCATTCGCACATGAAAATGGAAAGTATTTTTGCGCAAAAGAAATCTTTTGCGGCAGCTGCTGCTCGAGCTGAGTTGAGCTGTTAACATGCATGCCTTAACATTAAAAACATTAAATTTACAGCTACAAATTTACTGAACTGCACTTGGCGAAAATATGCTCCAAGTCGTTACAGGTTATATGGCAACCAAATAAGCAGCTCACAAATTGCATTTAAAAACCAAGTTTGTCGAGTTTTTTATTTATTTATTTAAACTTTAAATTTACTTGCAACAAAAAGCTTTTTACCTATATTATTTTTATGAACATTATAAAAAAAATGGAAAATAATCAACTTTTAAAGTTTTTAAAAATATGTATCTAAAAATGGATTTAATTATATTTTATCAATTCAGATTCGAGATGCTTTTCGCTCAAGGGCTATATTTTTTCTCAGTATACATTTACATATGCACTTAGTATGTATTTGAGGGGGTAGGGTAGGGGCTGGGAATGGGGTGCGGCTCCTGTGTTTGCCTGTTTGCTAGTCAGCTAGTCAGGTGTTAACAACCTCAGCGTGCAGCTGATGTGCGTGCCAAGATGATGATGATGATGATGATGATCGTCACAGATGTCGTCGTTGGTTGTGTTGTGTGTAATTAGTTGCCACGCCAATTGAGGAAAGTGAGACTCGTATTGTCTATTGTCACATTGCCTGCGCTTTATTGAAGACTTAACCCCATTAGCGTAAATTGGCGCACTTGCCAATCGGCGATCACAAAACAGGTAAATAAATACACACAGATATATACACAGATATGGCAAGGGCAATAATACAAAGAAACCGAAAAACTTTCTGCCGCATGCCAAAGAACAGCGAAGCCGAACAAAAACTTTTACCCAGCAAAGACGCACAATTCAATCTCATTCACGAAAGAGCGAAAGAGAGAAAAAGAGAGAGAGAGAGAGAGCGAGTGAGATTGTGAGCATCTTGGAATTTTTAGTACACAGTGCGTTTTTAGTACCCCCACCACGCAAGACAAAGAAACCAGTTTCACCTGACAGCTTGGCTGTCCGAGAGCAGAAACCCGAGCAAAGCCAGCAGCCCAAAATCAGTTGCTGCGCGACGCTCAAGTGGAGCACAAGACCGATAGACAAGACTCGGCTCACAGTCGAAGCTCAAAAGCTCAAACCGAAACGGTACGCGAAGCAGACGTTGACGTTGCCGTCGCTGCGCATGCGCAGTCAGTTGTAGTTGTTATTGTTGTACTTGTACTTGTACTTGTTGCTGTAGTTGTAATTGTAATTGTAGTTGTAGTTGCTGCGCAGCTTAATTATTACCCGAGCTTCCAGCAACAGCAGCAGTAGCAGCGCAGCTCCCAGCAGCTTTCTGTGTTCCCGCAAAAGTTTACTTGTTTGTCTGCATTTTTATCGGCACTTGTACGAGTACATGAGACTGACACACACATACACACACATCGTTTGCAGCTGTATGCGTTTTACTTTTGCCTTAATATCTGATTTTGTTCCCCCAACTTGTTGCCTGGGAAAAATATTCTTGTGCTCTTTTTTGCGCTTTCTTTTTGCTTATAACACAATACAAACAAATGTAAACAATCACAACATACATAACTATAACAACAACTCATTACGGGCTTTGTGCAATTGTCGAAAAAAAAGAGAAGAAAACCAAAAGAAAAACAAAGGAATCAAGGCATCAACAAATTTCCCAAGCTGAAAACTGCAACAACAACAACATTTTTGATAGTGACGTGCAATTTCACATAACAAAAAAACCGCCGCCACAAACCGAAAAAGTAAGCCAAAAATATAAATCAGAGACGAAACAGGTTACAACAAGCCAAAACACAACAACAACAATAACAATAACAACAAAAACCGCACTTTGTGATTAACATATTTCCCATCAAAAAGTCTCTGTTTTTTAATCGTATGTAGTATGAAAGTGTATGCGTGTATGTGTGCGTATGTATCTGTGTGTGCGCGTGTGTGTGAAAAAACAAGAAGTGGACGCAGTCGCAAACGAGACCTTGAAGCTGTTGTTGCTGTTTGTGTACGAGCAGCTTTTCGATATCGAATCGAATCGAATGCATTGCAATGCGTAAAAGGGGCTAATAAAAAAAGCCACACTTGAGAAATTTTTATGAAATGCAAGATGCAACATTAATTTATGGCCAATAAAAAAATTTACATACATATTAGTCGATCCGTGTGTCCGTCTGTCTGTCTATCGACTTATTTACAAAAGATGTGTGCGCAAGCTTTTCTCCGCTATTTCGAAAAACTGACTAAATAACGTTTTGCATGGCTATGCACCATAGAGCAAATAGCAAAATAAAAAAACAAACATAAAATACATACACAAAATACATAAGCACATACTGTCTACACGCACACACACACACACACATACAATGTAGTGTTATTTTTTTTCGGTGTCGATGCGCAATCCAACAGCAAACAAGTCGAATCCAACGGTACACCAAACGCCCCAAGAAAGAAATAATCAAGAATCGCTTCGACGGGTGTCTGTTTGTAGAACGAGCAGGAAACGAAGAATATAAATGTATCTCTAGTCAGAGTTTAGTTCTTTAGTTTACAGAAGCACTGGTAACAGTTAGTTAGTTAATCATTGAGTCAACTGATGTGCAGTAAGTGCTAGAATAGCACTAAAAACAATAATTTATAGAATTTTTAATTGCTGCGAAACCTGCTTTACAACGTTGATCATAATTAACAAAAGTAACAGACTGTAAAAATAACCCCTCAATACAGTGGTTCTAAAACTAAAAGAGGTAACGTTTTTTTTTGCAAGCTTAAAGAAGGTCATCATCAGTAATATACCTACAAATTTAAAAATTCAACTTTTCACGCCCATCGTTGGGCCAACAACACTTTCCCTTTTGGGAGGAGAGTACAAAAAATACAGAGCAGAGGAAAAAGTATGACCAAAGTAGTTTTAAGCATGTAATTTAGTTAATTACAAAGTCAGGGCTGTTGGAAGTCTGAAAAGCGATGGATTTGGAAAATTTATATTTCAAAACTTGAACATGTCATTTTTGTCATAAATGTGATAGTCCGGATATGCTTAAGAATATCGCCTTGAACAAATTTGAACAGCTAAAACCCAATTCGAAATGAAAGAAGTTAATATTTATTTATTTATGTGTAAAATAATGTCTAAGCACTAAGCTAGGCCTTCGACTCGTACAAAAACCACAAAAGCTTAACAGTATTATATAAATATATATATATATAAAATATAAAATACATAAATATGAAGAAAAAAATTAATATTTGAGATGCTAAGCCACAAAAATCATGACAAAAATTTACCCAAACAAATTCTTACAAAATGCCATTCTCTGCAAATTCTGAGAATCTGCTGCAATTTACGATTCTATACAAATTTCTGTCTTTCCATTTGCTGTATGTAATCCAAGTGTCACATTCCTGACTAAGTGTGTAGGTAGAATTGGAAATACCATTAGAATATATATATATATATACTTTTTTTTTGTTGACTTGGCTGATTATAGCGTTCTATCGTTTTTGGTGATCTTGGGCGAGTATCAACAACAAGCACAAGAGAATAATAACAAAAGAAACAAGACAAATATGTGGTTTCAACTGAAAGTCTCCAAGCGGTATTCAAATTAAATATTCTCACACAGCGGCGAGCGCAAAGAGGAAATGACCAAATACAGCGGGCAGCTCAATAAATGTGTTCAAATCAGAAAAAAAACACATAATTAACTCGGTGTTTTGAAACAAGTTTTAGACACATTGACTCGTGAATCAAGCAACAAGTAATCCAAGTATGTGTAATCAGCTTACTAAATGATTTCTTAAGACAGTGGACAAAAGTGATTTGGCAAGAAATTGCATGAATTACAATGAATTGAAAATCTAAATAAATATATATATATATATATATATCTTTGTCTCATCATAGAAATTGATACATGTTAATAATGCTAGGTAAACATCTTTTAAATCGAAAATGGGGCTTCGCACTTGACATTGAAAATCAGATGCGGGTTACGTAATTTAATACTGTATATAAATATATATATTTTATTTATTTATTTATAGGATTTTAGGGCTTCGCACTAGCCTTTAAAAATCAATTACCGGTTATGTAATTGAATATTTTATTCAAATTGTTGAAAGCTTTTAGCTGTAAGACATAATTAATCTGCTTGTCCGTCTGTCTGTACGTACAAGCGGATCTCAGAAATTATGAGACCTAGAGAATTCACATTTGGAATATAAGTTCCCGTATACCATGCACAGATCAAGTTGATTTTACTGCCTCCGTTTCGCCACACTTTTATGGACATAGCCTTCCAATTGTTGTTTAATATACCTCGATTTTCATTAAGATGGGTAAACAAATATCCAAAAAGCCAAAAATTAATCCTCACATTGATCATCATATGTGAGAAAGACCGAGTATAAATAATAAACATTAAATATTAAATTAGAAATAATTAATAAAAAAATAATAAAATAAATATATGTTTGTATTCTGAGCAGTGCCTCGATATTACAAACTGTATTTTAATCGATTCAATGTTTAACTTCTAGACGAGCTCTCTCGACCAGAGTCTGTTTGTTTTTATGTCTAATGCACATTTTTCCCCATATTAAAAAAAAACTCTCTCAATGAAAAAACAATCTTTTACTTTGCAGCGAAAATGAAAACGTGGATGCAGCTGTTGCTGCTTCTATTCAGCTGCCTGTGCTACTTGCCACAACACAGCGAGGCCTGGCGGCCATGTCCGGAGCTGAGTCCCGCCTTGCGTCTGCCATGCAGGTGAGTGAATACGTGACAGGTGGACAGACAGGTGGACGGGTGGACAGACGGACGAGTTTCCGCTTGCGGATGACGGACGACGTGTATTATTTTAATATCCGCAAATTGAATGCAATTTTGTGAGTTGGCGCTGATTCGTTTGGCTTTGTTTGTCGTTTAATCACCCAGCAATTGGCGCCGATTACAAATTACAAATTGCGATTTACAATTTACAATTTACAATTCCCAATTTACAATTTACAATTACAGATGCAATGTAGTGCCTTTTGCGGCAACTGGCCAACTCGGTGCTGTGGCCATGGATTGCGATCATGTTGTCTTCCACGGCGATGCGCCCCAGCTGCCGTATGGTGCACCCATCGTGGTGTATACGCAACGACACAGTGGACAACAAACGTTGCCGGCACAGGTGAGACATGAGCCAAGAACTCGAATGGAGTCAATGACACACTCATTTATTATTAATACTTTGCAGACATTTGGCCAGCTCAAGCTGCCCATTGAGGATTTGGACATGTCCAACAATCTCATTCGACGCATACCCGAAAAGGCCTTCGATGGACTCAAGGATTCGCTGAATGAGCTGCGTCTGGCCAACAATTTGTTGGGTGATAATCTGAATCCCATATTCTCCACAGCCGAGCTGCATACCTTAAAAAATCTTCGTTTGCTCGATCTGTCGGGCAACAAGATCAAATTGATTGAGGAGGGTGTTCTGAAGGGTTGCATGGATCTCAAGGAGTTCTTCATGGATCGCAATAGTTTATCGGCGGTGCCTGTCAAATCACTAAATGGCCCCAGTGCCCTGAAACATCTATCATTGCGTCAGAATCACATAGGTAAGCGATCACAATATGATCTTGATCTTCACTTGATGTTGAGATTTTCCTTGCCATCCTTTTAGATACGCTCTATCGGGAGTCATTTAGCGCCCAGTCGCAGCTGGAGATTATCGATTTGCGTTACAACATTTTGCGCAGCATTGATAGCCAGGCATTTCGTGGACTTCGCCGTATACGGGAAATCAAACTGGCCGGCAATCGTCTGACCAATCTGAACAGCGATGTCTTCGAGCAGCTGACCACGTTGCACAAACTGGATCTGTCCGCGAACTTCTTCGGTCAATTTCCCACTGTGGCACTGGCCTCCATTGCTGGTCTCAAATCACTGAATCTATCGTCCAATATGCTACAGGTGACAATCTTCTAGCTTTATATGACTAAAACATAATCCAAGAAGTCAAACATAAAAAAAAAACGTTTTATATTTTAAAACGATTTACAAATATTGTGGTTGACTTGTTTTTAATGTGAACTTTTAATAATCCCATCCATAATCGAATCCAACTTTTTAATTTTTTAGCAACTGGACTACACGCATATGCAAGTGGTAAAATCGCTGGAGAGCCTCGATCTGAGCCGTAACAGTATCACCAGCATTCCGCCGGGCACATTCCGCGATCAGAGCCAGCTCAAGTATCTCGATCTGAGTCTCAATTCGCTGCGCACAGTGCGTATACTTGATAATTTACATAGAGAGAGAGAGAAATTTACTAATCTCTAATCCCATTTACAGATCGAAGACGATGCGCTTGAGGGTCTGCCGAGTCTGCAAACGCTCATCATTAAGGACAACAATATTCTACTGGTGCCGGGCAGCGCTCTCGGCCGCCTGCCCCAGTTGACCTCACTGCAAATGGATTTCAATCGGGTGGCGGCACTTTCCGCTGAAATTCTGGGCTCCGTTCAGGCCGCCGATATCACCACACTCTCCCTGTCCCGCAATGTGATCCGGGAGTTGCCACCGGGTAGCTTTCAAATGTTTAGCAGCCTGCATACACTCGATTTGGCGGGCAATTCGCTGGCAATGGTGAATGCGGACACGTTTGCCGGATTGGAGAGCACCTTGATGCTGTTGAAGCTGGCGCAGAATAAACTCACTGGGCTGGGCAACACACCGTTGGCATTGTCGGAGCTGCGTAGCCTGGATCTGAGCAGCAACAATTTGGGCGACATTATGCCCACAATTTTTGCTGACTTGGCGAACTTGCAGTCGCTGAATTTGAGCCGAAATCATTTGATGCCGCTGACTCCGGCTCTGTTCAAGCCACTGACTCGGTTGCAGATCATCGATTTGAGCCACTGCAGCATTCGCCAGCTGAGCGGAGATCTACTCGCCGGCTTGCACGACTTGAAGCACATCCATCTGGGTGGCAATCAGTTGCAGGAGCTGCAGGATGGCACTTTCCTCAATCTGTGGAACATCAGCTCCATTGATCTATCCGAGAACCGCATCAATTCCATTCGTGCCGGCGCCTTTGTCAATGTGATGCAATTGAAACGCTTGGATTTGCGTGGCAATCAGTTGTCCGCTTTTAAGGGCGAGTTCTTCAATACGGGCACTGGCATCGAGGAACTGGACATCTCACACAATCAGCTCAGCTATCTGTTTCCCTCCTCGTTCCGCATTCATCCACGTCTGCGCGAGATCAAAGCCAGTCACAACAAGTTCTCCTTCTTCCCCGCGGAATTGATAACCACGCTGCAGTATCTGGAATACATTGATCTATCGCATAATCAGTTAAAGACCGTCGAAGAGCTGGACTTTGCTCGTTTGCCACGTTTGCGTGCACTGTTCCTCGCCCACAATCAACTGGACATGGTCAGCGAGATGGCCTTCCACAATTCCACCCAGCTGCAGATTGTCGATCTATCGCATAACAGTCTAGATCGCATTGGGGAACGCACCTTTGAGGGTCTGGTGCGACTGGAACACCTCAATCTCGAAGGAAATCAGTTGGCGGAGCTTTCCGATGGCGTATTTGAACACTCCAAGCTGCACATGCTCGAGAACATCAATTTGGCCCACAATCGCTTCGAATATGCTCCGCTCAAAGCGCTACAGTTGCGATATTTCTTCATTTCCTCACTAGATCTGAGTCACAATCGCATTCGAGAGTTGCCACGGGATGATAGCATTATGGTGAACATCAAACGGATCGATCTCTCCTTCAATCCACTCAGTAATCAGGCGGTGCACAATGTGCTCAATGAACCGAAGACGGTGCGTGAGTTGAATCTCGCCGGCACAGGCATTGAGGAACTACAGCTGCTGGAGACCCCGTTCCTACAGTATTTGAATCTGTCGCACAACAAGTTGCACAACATCAAACCGGATGTATTCCAACGTGTGACGCTTCTCGAGACACTCGATCTCTCCAGCAATGAGTTGGCATCGTTGAGTGATCTCTCGCTGGCCTGGCCACAGTTGCAAGTCCTGCAAGAGCTGGATGTGTCTAATAACAGTTTCGAGCTCATTTCGCAGTCAAATTTTGCACAGCTGGAAATGTTGCGTACGCTGCGAATGAATCACTTGCCCCTCTGCAGCCGAATCGAGAAGAATGCGTTCAGACCGCTGCCAAATCTGGCCAATTTGGAGGCATACGATCTGCCGCTATTGGGGTATCTGGATCTGCAGGGCATTATGGAGCTGTTGCCGGGCCTGGAGCAGCTCGACATTGAGGTCAAGGATGCGACCATTGGCAGTGAACAAATCCAGCCGTTGAAGCATCCACGCTTAAGTTCCATTGGCATACGTGGTGAGCGCTTAAAGTCCATCTCTTCGGGCACTCTGGCCGGGCTGAAGAGCAGCGATCTGATTATCAAGCTGCAGAATACCTCGCTGAGTGCTCTGCCGCCGGCGTTGCTGTTTCCCGTGCCGCGTTCCTCGCAGCTCGCACTTAATGTGGAGGGCTCGCGGATTAGTTCGCTGGTGCCACAGTTTCTCAACGCACTGGACGATCGACGGGCTAGTTTGCAGCTGCACGGACTCGAAAGCAATCCCATCAATTGCAATTGTGATGCACGCGCTCTGCGCCGCTGGCTGCCCAACTCGGGCATGCCGGAGCTGAGGTGCCACGACCCGGCCTACCTTGCCGGCCGCAAACTGATCGAGGTGGGTGACGATGAGCTGACCTGTGAGCCACGTCGGATGACATCCTCCTCGGCTCGGCCGTCGACATCGCAGCTGCTGAAGACCTCGCTGGTGACACGAAGTGGCAGCATTGCCACCGAGGAGCCGCTCATCATTTGGAGCATGGAGCCGACGCAGCCAACGATTATGAAGATCAAGACAAAGGCGCCGCTGATGAAGGCGCAGGCGCCCATCATCAGCAACGATGACACACTGATCATTGGCATTGTGGGCGGAGTGGTCGCCTTTATCGCCATATTGATAATTATCATTTGTATTATTCGGCTGCGCATGAGCAATGTCGAATACCATCAGCAGAGTGCGGCCATGATGGGTATGCCAACGGCAACGTTGCAACAATTGGGCGCCCACAATGCCGCCTACAATTATAATAATAAGAATGCCGCGGGTGCCACAGCACTTTATGCTGTCCCACCCTATCAGGCCAATTATGCCACATTGCCGCACAAGGCGTCGTCGTCCACACAGAATCTGACGCAGCGTCAGCAGGTGGCGCAACAGGCCGCGGCACAACAAGCGGCGGCAGCTGCTGCCGCCTACTCGACCATGTCGCGCATGTCGTACTTCAGTGGTGCGGGTGGTGGTGGTGGGGCACTGAGTGCTGATGGTGCCGACAGCCTGACGCATCAGCATCAGCATCCGCATCAGCATCAGCATCAACCGTACATCATCTATTCGGACGACAAGGCATACAGATAGATGTGAATTAGGGATTGTGGATAGGTAAATCTGCTTTCATCCTGTCTCCATCAAATCTTTCTAACCTTCTCTCAGTCAATCAGCCAATCAATCAATCGATCAAACAGGTTCTACCACAATCGTCATTGTCAGCTTATGTTGTATATAGACTTAGTTACATTCTAACCGTATCTCTATCTTAATTAAGTCGAACAAATCGCATATGCGTGAATAAACAAATTCTAGTATAATATTAAAAACAAAAATTGTTTTCATTTTGAGCTCGTTTTTTTTTCTTCATTTTATTACAATTCATAAAATATGTTTTTGTTTTTTGTACAACAAGATAATTTCATAAAAGCCTATACTCGTAAATGCAGATATATATAGATATATACTTAGTTATACACATGCATGCTATATGTATATATATAGTCTATATTCGCAAGATGCACACATATGTAAAAAAATGTGTGTAAGAAACTTCAGGGTAACTATTCACAGTCTTTGTTTTCCATCGTTCAACAGAATAAGCAACAACAAGATCAGAGAATCAACTTAATAGCCAAATGCCCAATAATTAACAGTTTGTGGCATCAAAAGAATGGCAACAAACGAAATTAGTTATACATATGCTTAATGTCTATAAACTATATATACATATGATTTCAAATATTAAACAAAGTCTTTTTTGCAAGCCATCCAAGTCATTATCTATGCCATTTGAGCATACGAAGTGTACATGCTGTAATTGCGACGACGATAGTAGATCATTAGGCCAAAGCTGGCGCAGAGTAGAACACCAATGATGCAAATGAGAATGCCTGCAATGAGATTAGAAATTAGTAGACAGCATTAATTATGCAATCATTGCATGATACATTTCAATTAATTTTCACAATTTGCCTTACATTATGTTAAAATATTACTTCAGTTTTTATAACAAAACCCGCTTTCACATTTATGTCACACTTTGATACTAGGTCTTGAAGATAATTCTAAAATGTGTATGCAATCTTCGCAGACTTTTCATGTGGATGATTGAAATGCTTTTGAAGCTGTTCTAATTGGTAATTAATATACGATTTTTTTGGTTTTCTTGCTGTTAAGGCTTTAAGCTTAGTTGGATATATATTGTGTAAAGATCTTTAAACACATACCTGATGCTGCTGCCAAATTGGCTTCCTCATACGTCATCGTCAGTGTGGATCTTTTGCACTCATCAACCCAATTTCCTGGCAACACATCCGCATAGAGATCAATGAGTTTGGCAAGTGGACAGGAGACACCACAATTGGGTATATTCATGGGCAGCGGCTCCGCTGTGGTGTTCTTGTAAAACACCGACACCAACGGCATATTATTGGCATCCACACGTAATTCCAACATTATGCACGCCGTATATGGTGGACTGTGAGGCTGAGTGACAAATTTAAACTTAACATCATTAAGATTAATATATAACATTTTGCAATCTCACCTCAAAGAGCTTGAGTGTATTCAACAAGTTGGCAATTGTGGTATCGTGTGCACTATATATAAACACATTTCGATCCGGTATCAATTGATTTTTAATTTTGATCTCGAAACGCTCCAGAATATCCTTCAGCAGTGGACCACCCTTGAGACGCGCCATTGTCCGGGTATACGTATTAACCGAGAATGCAAAATTCGAGGCCCACGTCAAGTTGGCGCCTCCATAAACCTTTTGTGCCCACACTGGCAGTGTTTTGTTGTATAGCGTCTCGATGAACAGTGTATTGTTCAAATATTGTGCATCAATAAATGTTTTTATTTGTCGGCCACTATTTGCGCTCAGATAGTTAAATAGATTTTCATAGCGTTCTATTAGTGACTGAAATTCCGAAGATGCTTGCAAGTTAGCTAGATAATAGTCAAAAGCTGGACACGGAGCCTTCGCAGCGAGAATCTACAATGAATAAAGATTATATTAGATCAATAAAAATGTGGCGTGTGGCATGTGCAGCAACAACTAGTTACCGGATCAGCCTTCTCTGGTACGGAATGCACAGGAATTGGTTGCCATTTGATTTGTGGATTCCACACATCCTGATCAATCGGCTCGTATAGACCAGCCAAATGGGATTCGGCACTCATCAGTGTACGATCCACATCCGTAGACTGCATATAGATCTCATCTCGGTTGTATCTGCTGCCCAACAGGCAGTTGTATCGTTTCCTCAGCCATTTACCCAACTCGTAATGCTGTTGTTTGCCAAGCTGCACGCAAAAAAAAAAACAATGAAGATATTTAGTTACAGCCACAGATTTAAATTTGAACTACTCACATTTGTCAGCTCACCCCAGGCCGTAGGCCAGTACTTGGGGTTGCCCCACGGATCCGTTGGATACGGATTTATGGGCATTCGATCGCCATGTCGAAATATCTGCAAAGCAACACAAACATTTAAGCATATGGCACCAAAAATTGACTTAACATCGACTCACCACGTGCGCAAATTTGAGCTGACCAGTTAAGCTCGCTTGTTGTTTACCTTCTGCCACCGCCTCCCCCCCGATGTCGCTGGGGCACTGTGCTTTAGCGCGTCCGAAACACGAAATGCAAATCAAGCTGAAAAAGACGAATGTCTTTGCCTTGACCCAATAGTTTTGGCCGTTGCCCATTGCAAACTAAAGTAGAAAGCAAAGAACGTCTCTGCACACACAGTCAACAGTTATTATTAAGTCAATAAGTACGTGGCGAGTGCGTCTGAACACATCAATTACTTACTCACTTATCTTTAAACAAAGGAATGCTGCTGCTGCCTATCACTATATTTTGCATTCAACACAAAGCCCATTGTGTTTCAATAGCTTTCGATAGACAATTGTGATACATTGTTACTTATCGATATTTGAGTATCGACACAAATAAGTGTGACCAGAAAATCATAGAATTTGAATTTCGGAGTGTTTTTCTTTTTGGGCGAATTCAAATTTGAGCGAAAAACTATATACATATTTTATTATTTAAAAAGCTTTTACAGACCGCTGCAGATTGATAAAATTGGTGGTAGATTTGTTAGATTTATATGTGGAATTTATAAAAGAGACAAGTGACTATGAAAACAATGATGATGCCAAGATAATAGCACTTTTAGACAATACAATCAAAAATTGTTTAAACACAGTATTATAAACCAGATACTACACCAGTAAAATATCTGACTTTGCCACCAATTTAGTTTGTAGCACGCATATCATTGCCTAAATGGTTCTGGTAATATTGCACTAAATGGTAAAAAATAAGTTAATATAATGTGGGCATTGCAATTTGGCAATATCAATGGATGCATGTGAAGAACGTATCCTTTCGAGATGGAACGTATCCTTTCGCTGTCAGCTGCTGCCATGTAGATCGAAACAAACTTATTACATTCGTAAAATAAATAATAATAAAATAACTTAAAATCCCAAGAGCTAATTATTCACATATCTTTTGTTCATCCTGTCTGAAAAAACGTATTCAATTCCTGTTGCTCCAATTTTTTCATAGCTTAAATAACGAAATGCCAACATTTCTATATTGAAAAGTTTTAATATTTGTATTGATCGTATTGTAAGAAGAACGTGACGTGGTCTTACAATGCATTCCTTTGTCATTACTAATTGGAAAAAGATCTATTTGCACATTGTTCAAGGGATAATAATTGTATCATCCTAAATTACAATTAACAAATTATACTGTCGTTGATTGTTGTTGTTGGGCTTAATCGTATTGATAAACGGTTTCGAACTTTTTATATACCTTAAAATTAAAATGTCGCGCGCGGACAATTTATGGAAAACAAAATTCGGCTATTAGCAATTCGGTTAGAAATCCATCTTCGATTACAATCTGCGTCGTCCATGATAAAAATATTGCTTTACAAAAATAAAACACTTTAAAATCTTCGATTCCCGCTCATATTCTGCGCTGGCCGCGGTCCATTAAATCTGTAATTGTAAATCTTTAATTTATAAATAATCACACAATATTTGTTTTATGTATTCCTTACCGATTGTAATTGCCTGAAGCACCACCAGCTCCACCTCCACCTGCACCACCACTGCCGAGCGGTGGAAAATCCGTTTGATATGCATTTGGTGCACTATGATGATTGTGACCATTAACGGAATCGTGCTTATTATAATTATGCGACATGCTGCTGCTGCTGCTGCTGTGTCCACTGCCACTGCCACGTCGACCACTGAAGCCGCCACCACGTCCACCAAAACCACCGCGGCTCGTATTAAAACCACCACGATTGCCCTGCGGGCTGCTGCTGCTAAAGGAATACATTTTGAAACAGTTAATCAAATAGTAACTCAACAATTGAAAACCTATTTTACCTATTCATTCCAATATTGTTGCGATTGCGCTGATATGGGCCATTATCATGATCAATTGGTCCATTGCCAAATCGATTTGGTTTGCCACCAAACGACACCGGCTGCTGCTGCTGATGTTCGACGGCGGGCAGTGCGAATCCCCGGCGATCTTGCCCAATGTTATGTGATGAGGAGCCCCCGCCATTGCCACCACGCTGATGACTACCAGAGCCACCGGAGTTACCCGATCCGCTCGCATAGTAATCACTGTGTGATGAGCTGCCAATCATGCCTTGGTTAAATTTGTTTTTATACGGTTGTGTTGAAGGAGTGTCAAAGCTTTGGTTATGCTGTCCCGATCCCTTGCTATACGGCGCACTTCGCTGCTGTCTGAAGTTCAGATCACTTCTCATTGGTCCATAATGGCTGTCGCTTGAGTTTTGTCCACGGCCGCCGCCTCCACCGCCTCCGCCGCCGCCACCGCCTCTGAAATTATTTCCACTGTTGTGACCACCGCGATTAAAATTGCCGCCGCCGCCGTGTCCTAAAATATATATATATATATATGTATATATATTTCAATTTCTAATTATTCAATTAATTAATTACCTTGCATGGGCCTTCGGTTGCCGGCACCTCCACCTCCTCCTCCTCCGCCGCCCCCGCCACCACCGCCGCCGCCGCCACCTCTTCTGTCTTTGGGTCTGCCCGGTTCTACGACAATTGTTTGGCCTTTAAATTCGATGCCGTTTAGAGCGGCAATGGCTGCCTCGGCCATTTCGATGGTCTCCAGATGAACGAATCCGCATCGATTCATAATGTCGCACTCGACGACAACGCCATAGTTGGTGAACAAGTGTCGCAGCTCCTCCGGTTTGCAGCCAGGCGGCAGACTGCCTACAAACACTTTGGCTGTCTGCTAACAACACACAAACTTTCAGCACTCTGCTATGATTTTCTTTAGATCAATACTTACCGACATATATATATATATATAAATATATATATATATAGGAATTTACTTTCTTCTGCTCGCTGTTTTCGTTTTTTCTTTTTCTTACTTATTTTTCTTCTTGCACATGAGCCTTTAATGCGATAAAAACAAATTCAGTGCTGTTATCGAAAACTATCGGCAAGAAATGTTATCGAGTACAGTTGATTTGTTTACTCACTTTTTTTATTGCAAACAAATAGATTTATTTGAAGAATGTGGGCGCCAAGCACAGATGAAACATATTTTGCCAGCATGGACTACAAAAAGAATGTCCACAACATAATGCCAAGCATGGAAATGATGGTTAACTTCGCCGGCGACAGAGATGCGATGCGCAGCCAGAAAACTTGTTTACTCCACGCCGAAAGAATCGACTTTAAGGAGCTGATCGTAAGCCAATTGAATCTTTCCACCTTATGTGATAACTGTTTGCCTAAATCTTGCTTGCAGCAATTGCGTTTGTCGGAGAAATGTGATCAGCGTCGCATGTATATAACCACAGTGGACAGTGCATCCTTCCATCAGCTGAAACAGGATCAATCATTGAATGTCACATTTGGTGGCTTTATGGAGAATGTGGTGCGCATGTTGCAGGACTGCCATGAAGGGAAGCTAGAGTTATGCCTTTCCGCCAGAGATTGCACCAGCGATACGGCGCGAGATCGTCACGATTACCATTTGCAATTTGTGGAGAAACGATCCTTTAAGAATTTGGTGCATCTCTGTCTGCCCTGCCGTTCGGCGCCGCTGCACACAGTGCTCTTCTATATTAATGCAACGCTGGATGCGACGCACAAGAAACTCTATGCGCTGGAGCAGAATACGCAGCAGTTGCAATTGGAAATGAATGCCCAGCGATCGCACATTGAGCAATTGGGCGTGGAGAACAGCAAATTGCGTGAGGCATTCGCGGAGAACACCCGCAAACTGGGCGAGAAACACTTGGTGGAGTTGCAGCAAATGCAAGAGAAGCTGGACAAGCTGAGGGACCAACGCAACAATGAACTCGATCGCAGTCGTCAATCGATTGCCGGACTCCAAACACAACTGGAACGTGCGGCACAGGAAATGGTCGATGTGAAGGCATTGCAGGAGCAGATCGAGAAACAAAAAAAGAACCTGAACGAGGAGCTCATCTGCTGCAAGTCACGCATGTGCACCCTGAAGGAGCAGAACGAGAAGCTGCACAACGAACTAACCGGCGCTAAGAAGCAAGGACGCAAGCTGGAATACAAAATTGAAGATCTCAAACAGCACACAGCCGAGCTCCAGGAGCACATCCAAAAGGGCAACAAGGAAAAGGTAAGTAATATTATATATAAATTAATACATCAAATTGATACAATTTAATTGTGTTTTCAGGCCAACATTGCTGCGGAACTGGAGGCGGAGAAGAAGATACTGCACACCAAGCGGCAAGCTTTGGAGATGGCATCCGATGAGATAGCTAAAGCGAATCAGATCATACTCAAGCAAAATCAGGAGCTGCTCAGTCAAAAGAAGACGATTGCGTGGCGCACCGAAGTGGCGTTGCAGCAGGAGAAGGCCGTCAAGGAGAAGGACAAACTGCTAACCATACGCGACGAGGAACTGCAGCAGTCGCGCCAAACAATTCAACAGCTGCGCGAGGAGATTCCCCAGCAGCTGCAATCGATGCGTCACTTTGCCCAGGGTCTCGAGGAGAAGTACACAAATCGTAAGATGCTGTTTTTAAGAAAAAGGCAACAATTGTTTTAAACTGAATTCCTAATCTCTTTCACCACAGAGATACTTACGCTGAGGGAGCATTTAGCGGGCAAGGAGAACTCCAGCCGCAAAGCCAACCGCAAATAGGCAATATATATAAATATGTAATTAATTAATTATTATGATTGTTCGTTAGTGTTTTTTTTATTAAATTTATTTATGTATCCTAGTGCTCTATTCATAATCTTCATCTGTGTTTTTTTGTCCTGCTTGTGCCGTGCCCACATTCACCGCCTGGCTAATGTCCTCGAACTGATTCATTTTCAGCCTCTCGCGTATTAGTTCCGCAATTGCCTTCTGCGTGCGTCGCTCCAAGCGTTCCAGCTTTTTGCTAACATCCCGCTTCAAATCCCAATCTGGTTTGCGTGGCGCCAGATTTGTGATATCAATTTCATCAATAACCATTGGCTGATGCAACAGATTCAGTTGGGATTGCACGGCGGACTCAATGTCACCAGTTGGTTCTTGGGCCAGCACCTCGCCAACTGTGTTTTCATTTTGCGGCTTGTAACTGCGAAAAATTGGCCTGACAAAAGGAAGAAGCGATAGTCAACAAATTTTACCATTCATAAACATTGAGGACTTACTTTGGCAACTTGTCCGCATTCTCTGTGACTCCACCTGTCTTGGATTGCGCTTGTTCGCGCAGCTTCTGTAAGCGCTCCTTGCGCTTTAGCGATTCTTCTGTTAGCTTTCCCAAGTTGTCGTTATTGGCCATTATTTTGGCAAGGTAAACACCGCGTTAAAATAAAAGTAGTCAGTCGTTGATTTCTAGCACGACACTGCTGCTTTTTATCGATACTTATGAATGAAAAACGATTAATACATACTGCGGTCTGCCAACGTATCGCATCTGCATTTTTGCTCTAGGAGAAAATTTCTTTTATGTTTTTATCTCAATTACATAAAATTATATTTGGTCAATTTACTTTCAATAAATACACACTTATTTAAGTCATCTTGATTCAAATTTATTTTAAGTCCGTTTTGTACTCACTGCATTGGAACTATTCGATATGTGTATTATCGATATTTTAGTCAAGAGTGCATTAGATATACACAAATACTCAAAGCCCAAGTTGGCAGCACACTTTTCCATGAAATAAGAGTGGAGGGGAGGATAAAAACAACGCAAATTTTTACACGAACAAAAAAACAATAAAAAAAAACAAAACATTTTAATAATCAACTTTAAGAATTATACTAATTGCCAAGCTACACACAAAGTTTTGCAAGACGTACATATCACTTGTCCAAAAATTGGACAATAAACCAAATGCAAACACAAACGAAGCGAAACACATTTTAATAATGTAGCAGATGCTGTTGTTGGCAAGTGGTATTGGAATAACAATAAATTAGCTGCTGGTGGTTTTTGGCTGGTTAACAAGTACCCCTCGCTCGCCTGCAGGTAACACAAACTCAACTCGCTGGCTATTAAAAAACTTCTGCTTGCGTTCAATGTGCATTTTTTGTGTGCGCCCGCCTTGTTTTTAATATACCCTTTGCAGTGGAGTATTTCAGTTTGATCGTCAAGTGGGCAACACATTAAGGGAGTAATTAAATGATAAAGACTTGAATTTGAACGATTTTTTAAAAATGAACTATTTTGTTTGTAAAGTATTTCACTGTAAGACTTTAAGGCTTCCATAGAAGCAATCGAATTTTATTTACATTGTTTTGATTAATTTTAACCACTGCAATTAAGCTGTAATTTCACACAAGGGTATTTGGTATTCGGCTTGTCGGAGTTGGGTGCTTCTTTTTGTAGTTTGTTTTTGTGCTAATTTAAGTTGTTGTTTTTGTCTCTCACTTTAAGGGAGCCGTTTGCCGCCGACAATAGAAGCGGACGATCTAGCGGACAGATCACAGATATAGAACTCGCCTCGTCGAGCTCATTGTTCGGCGAATTGTGACTGTGACACCGTTTTTGTTTTTTTTGGGCAGGCAACGAGCATATTGTGTGTGCCCGGCTGTAGCTAAAAATGGAGTGGACCAGAGAGAAGACGCTGCTGCTGATCGGCGAGTATCGACAGCGACGCGGACTGTGGGACATGACATGCGACGAGTATCGCAAGAAGGATGTCAAACAGCGGCTGTTGAACGAGGTTAGCGACGTGCTCGGTGGCAATATACCCATACCGGAATTGGAGAAGAAATTTCACACACTTCGCACACAATATCATCGCGAGATCAATCGGATGAAACGAAAGGAACCCTACAATTCAAAGTGGTTTGGTTTCAAGAATCTCAACTTTTTAAGTTCACCCTATGCGTGTCGCTCGACAAAGGGACGCTTGAAAGCCGAACTGCAAACGCCGGAAAACGCCACAGTTCAAAAATATCCATTGGGAGAGGTGAATGCAACGGACAGCAATAATATGAATGAGGAGTATATAATAACGCCGCGCAAATCGCATGCGAGCAGCGCTCAGGAGCTGGAGAAGCTCATCGAGGAGACGACCAAAGATGCCGATGATATTGATGAGGAGGAGCCCGGCGACGTAGACGATGATGTCGATACAAAGCCCAAACTACGTAAGGAACTCGCGGGCGGGACATATGTGCACATGAACGAAGAGGACACCGAGTCTCTCGAGACGCACACACATCAGCAGCACCACCACCACAATCAGCAGCAACAACAGCAGCAGCAGCATCATTCCCAGTCCCTGATGGAGCTGCATCACACATCAAATGCCGTTGAGGCGGTTAGTTTTCAGGCAAGCGAAAGTGGAGAATTGCATTATCAATCGTCTGGCGCTGGCAATGCTGGTGGTGGTGGCGCGAGCAGTAGCAGCTCATCGGTGCATGTGATGCCCACGCGCATTATAAAGATCCAGCGACGCGATACAACTGGCCAGCCGGAAAATGGTTACTTCGATGAGGCAACTACGCCACAGCATCAGCATCAGCTGCATCCACCGGCGCCCAAGCGTATTTATTTCGATCCAAATGGCAGTCACAGCACCACCATACTCTCTGCCTCCACGCTGGCGGCGGCCACACAAAATGGCAATGCCAGCAATGTGCTGACCAGTTCCGGTACCACAGTTACGGCGGGCACATTACGCCTGCCACGTGTCAATGCCATAGTCAACTCGACGTCAACACTGTCGCCGCCAAAGCCGGCCAGTTCACCGATACCACCTGCGCCGGCAATCTCCGGCACGCTGCGCGATGAGTTCTCCACATACGGAGAGTATGTGGCCAATGAGATGCGTGCCATTGGCAATCGAGAGGTGCTCATCGCACTCAAGCACAAAATCAATACGGCCATCTTTGAGGCGAATATGGCCGAGTTACAGAAGTGAACAGAAAAATTATTTCAAATCACAATCAACATAATTATATATATATATATATATATATATATATATATATATATATATATATATATATATATATATATATATATATATGTATAAACAAATGTTTTTAGCCACAATTTAATCTTAAGTTTCCGAGTTCAACTGTCGAAAATCGAATCGAATTTTACTACAATACCCCCAGTAATTGTAATTGTAAACCTTTCGTGTTTCAAATTGTAAATTAACCTAAATACGTACATAATATATATATATATATATTTATGTATTTAAATATACAGATATGTATATATATATATATATATCGATTTGATTAAATAAGCCAAATATAACGTTTAGTAGAATCCGACTATATGTAAATGTAAATGTATTCGAAACTTTTTCGTCTTCAAGTAGGCGGCCAACACGCCCCCTTTTCATTTTACAATATAAATTGTTAATCATATTTGTTTTAGCTAAATTCTCGTGTGTCCTGTTATTTTCTTAATAATATTCGAAAAATGCATTTGAAACCGATTTGCGAAGCATTTACAGATACGCCAGTTCGCATTGATATTGAGAAACTTGCTGCGGAATTTAAGCCAAAGCATAAGGAGAAAGATGTAGAGAAATCGGCAGTTCCTCGAGATTTCCTCAATAAACCGGATACAAATTGGGCTGTGTTGCCCATGTTCAAATATCACTTGGATCATCTGAAGCCATCTCTATCGTGTCGCACCAATCCCTATATGCGTTGTCGTTATAGAAAATTTCTGAACAATGTGCCGGATAATTATGTTGACATTTTTGTATTTGGATCGAAAGACAACAAGTTATTAATGTTATACCAGATTTAACAAATAATTTGCTAATTAATTATGTTCATAGTCAGCCAAAACCGAGAAGGAAATCTTTAAATGGTCAATTCTATGGTGTGGACTATAAGCTGGCGCCAATACCTGTCTCGGCCGATCCGCGTAATTATGCCGGATCGAGATCGAAAAATTCGAAACCAATTCCTAAATAAATATCTAAAATGTGTTCAAACTGCTCGCACACTGCGAAAAATATTCAAATGAAGCGCCTTCCTTATTATTGTTATCGGCTATAAATGTTATCGAACAGATACAGACTGAAGTCTGTGTCAAGGAGATGGACAACCCTAGAACTATAAACACGGACATTTGGCAACACTGTCCGATCAATTGAGATGAAAAATGTTTACAAAATGCATTAATTGTTGTGCTTCAATAATTATTTGTGTCATATTCACATGCCTTTTGGTCGAAAAGAGTGGCAAGTATCAGAATATGCATATTGCCAAATGCAAATGTATGAAAATAATATGGAATTTTTGCCGCACACAGTTGCACTGAAACGGACACTGCGCCACTACGAAGTTTTCCACAGAGATGATGTTGTACATCGGATTGTCAAGAGGGGCGTCAAGCAAAGCAATAATCCATATAACACAATTAAGGAGCTCGAGTTCAAAACACTGGGCAAAAACTTTCGCGTGATTCTGCATCCGCATCGCGATGTGCTCCACAGCAAATTTCGAGCTTACGCCGTAGATGCGGACGGAAATGAGACTGTTGTGCACTTGGGTGAGCTCCAAAAATAAATACATTTATATCAATCAATATGAATTAAGGTATTTAATCCCTTTGCAGATCATGATAATTTTTATACGGGTCGCGTGTTCGGTGAACTGGAATCATCTGTGCGCGCACACATTGAGGATGGCACCCTGACCATGTCCATAGAACTGCCCGAAGAAACCTACCACATAGAGCCTTCCTGGCGCCATTTGCCCACGGCGAAGAAACACACAATGGTTGCCTACAAATCATCCGATGTCAAGCTCAATAATAATGAGGAGCAGCCAGGCACAGTGCCCAAGACCTGTGGCTACATCAAAGAGGGCCTGGAACTGGAGCACAATGACAATGAGCTCTACGCTCTGCGTGAGAAGCGCCAATCGGATCAATATGAATATACGCCGACAAAGACGCGCTGTCCACTTCTCCTAGTGGCCGATTATCGCTTCTTTCAGGAGATGGGCGGTGGCAATACAAAGACAACCATTAATTACTTGGTAAGTGAGACACAGCTTTGAAAGTCAGCCAATCCAATCATTGATATTCTCCCTTGCAGATAAGCCTTATCGATCGTGTGCATAAAATTTATAATGATACCGTATGGCAGGATCGTTCCGATCAGGAGGGCTTCAAGGGCATGGGTTTCGTCATCAAGAAGATCGTTGTGCATTCGGAGCCGACACGTTTGCGGGGCGGAGAGGCACACTACAATATGATACGTGAAAAATGGGATGTACGCAATCTGCTCGAGGTAAGCCGAGCTGTAAAAATATTCAAATCAAGTCGTGATTTGTATAGCTTAAAAAAATATTGTGTAAATCTTGTTCTATTGTTCTACTTCTACTCCCATCACTGCTAATTACTCTCATAACTATGATAATAATGTAGGTCTTCTCACGGGAATACAGTCATAAAGACTTTTGCTTAGCTCATCTCTTTACCGATCTCAAGTTCGAAGGCGGCATTTTAGGCTTGGCTTACGTTGGCTCCCCACGCCGAAATTCTGTCGGTGGTATCTGTACACCAGGTTGCTAATCCCCGAGATTAACATATTTATTCATCATTTAGCTTACCGTTGTGTTTCCCTTCTTTGCTTTTCTTTTAAGTAGTGGTTTATTTGATTTGATTGAGTTTGTTATTAAGGCCATAGACAGAAATAGATACTTATATTTATTCTCATTTATTTTTTAATCTTGTAAAGAATACTTCAAGAACGGCTATACACTCTATCTGAACTCGGGCCTAAGCAGTTCCCGTAATCATTATGGCCAGCGCGTAATCACACGCGAGGCTGACCTGGTTACGGCTCATGAGTTTGGACATAATTGGGGTTCCGAGCATGATCCCGATATACCCGAGTGTTCACCGAGTGCCTCGCAAGGTGGCAGTTTCCTGATGTACACGTACTCCGTCAGCGGCTACGATGTGAACAACAAGGTAAGCGAATCCTGCTTAATACTACTATACAAATAACTAATTGGATTACGTTTCAGAAATTTTCACCGTGCTCGCTGCGATCCATACGCAAAGTGCTGCAAGCCAAGAGTGGCCGCTGCTTCTCCGAGCCCGAGGAGTCCTTCTGCGGCAACTTACGCGTCGAGGGCGATGAACAGTGCGACGCCGGTCTGCTGGGCACCGAGGACAATGACTCTTGCTGCGACAAGAACTGTAAACTGCGCCGTAATCAGGGCGCCATGTGCAGCGACAAAAATTCACCGTGCTGTCAGAACTGTCAGTTTATGCCGGCGGCGATGAAGTGCCGAGAGGCACAATATGCCACCTGTGAGCAGGAGGCACGCTGCACTGGCTCCCATGCCGAATGCCCCAAATCGCCAGCGATGGCCGATGGCACCATTTGCCAGGAGCGCGGCCAGTGTCGCAATGGCAAATGTGTACCTTACTGCGAGACGCAAGGCCTCCAAAGCTGCATGTGCGACATCATTGTGGATGCATGCAAACGCTGCTGTCGCATGAGCATCAATGAGACGTGTTTCCCCGTTGAGCCGCCAGATGTTCTCCCCGATGGCACACCCTGCATAACTGGTTTCTGCAATAAGGTTGCTTATGATTGATATTGTTATATTTATTTTTATATTTAATATATTTAACTGTTTATACAGGGTGTGTGCGAGAAGACCATACAGGATGTGGTCGAGCGTTTTTGGGACATTATTGAGGAGATAAATGTGGCCAAAACACTGCGCTTTCTCAAGGACAACATAGTCAGTAAGTAAAGGAGGACTGCTCTATGATATATATATATATAGATTGTTTATATGAGCTTAACAATTTTGTTTTGTTTTGAATAGTGGCCGTTGTGATGGTCACCGCTGTCTTCTGGATACCGGTCAGCTGTGTCATTTCGTATTTCGATCGCAAGAAGCTTCGCTACGAAATGAAACAAATCGAGTGGAGTCACAAACTCGATCTCATACATCCCAGCGACGACAGGCGTCGTGTAATACACATTCGGTAGGGTGTACCTTCTCTCTCTCTATATATATATATATGTATCTGTATAATAAGTAATCTTATTTTGTGTATTTAAAGCGTACCACGGCAGAAGATCTCAGTGGCGAGAGCTTGTAACTAACACAGAACGCGGTGGCGGCCATTGTTTTATCTTCCGTGAGCATTCTTCTCAAAACTGCCACAATTATTTTATATTAAGCATTAACATTTAAAATACATAACATAATGAATAAAATTCCCGATAATATAGACCAATTCCCAATACAAATGTATTACCTGTCCCCCAAATTGGGCTAAATTATAAAGCACTCAAAACATGGATTAAAAATTAACTATTAATCTTTTTAACAGTGAGCAAAATATAATTTAAATCCCGCTTTGTGAGTATCTACTACTACTATTAATTACCATTTTTGCATAATTGCATTGGATTTTGTTTTGTTTATTCATACTTTAGCAAAAATATGTTTTTGTGTGTGTGTTTTCAAAGTTCGTTCTACAGGGCAAACTGTTTAACATTTATGATTGATTGATTTTCCGATTATATCTTAGATTACTGGTTTTTTCCTTTTTTTTTTTGCTTTTATATATTGTATTACTTCTTTTTTATGCTCTTGCCATTTGTCTGTGGCGAACTCTCATCATCGAGCTCATCGCTGTCATCGTCCTCATCCGAATACTCCTCATACATCTGACCATCGTCATATTCACCCAAGTTCATTTCAGCCTTAAAGGAAGCACAGTTTTAAGTAGAGTAAGAAATATATAGTTTATATGGAAATTTGCGATGTATGATTTACCTTTCCACAAACATAGACCGGCCCCGTGCCCTGGACGAGCTTGAATGTGACGGAGCCATTGGGGAACTCAACATTTGGCCTCAAACTGCGCGTTTCGCCAACCTTTAAGACCGCAATGGGAATTTTAACTGTCTTTTTCTCGCCGTCATCGTGCACGTTTGTTTCCGCCTGCAAGTGTACGATTATTAAATACTTGTTGTTATGCGATATTAAGCTAATAGATGGCCACTGTCACTGCCCCTTTCCACTTTCCCCTGCCTCCTGTATGTCAGTGTTTTTCCACTGGAGAAATTATTGTCTACATGCCTGAACAACATTGAATTCGCCCGTTTTCGCCTCGGGTCCCAAGGAGATCTGTTTGATGATCAGTTTGTGTGAGTGTACTATATACTCCTCTGGAATTTCCGGCACATCGAACTGTGCAATTGGCTCTTTTTCACTCAACGTAACACCTGGAATCAAGAGAAAATTTGTTAAAGCCAATCGTTCTATGTATCTGTATGTGTTTGTGTGAGTGGGTTTTGCCGGTGATGCCTCATGGACTGAGACACTGGCCGACTATAGACGCCTAATGGTTGATAATCACCGTAAAACGATTCGGACTCCATTTGTATGCAGAAAAAGAAACGCTCTTGTACAGTCCAATCGAAAAGAGTTTATGAAATCTTGTAGTTTTCACACGTGCCCCGTACAATGGCGATAGCTAAAGAGGCAAATGCGGTAGAAAAGATGCTTGGCATTCATCGATGGTATACCGATAGTTTTTCACACGCCGATATTGCTTGCAAAAGCAAAAGAAAAACAAAAATTTTAAAATTTATGTTATTGAAATAACTAATAGTTAATAAAAAGAATGTATATTGCGAAATTAAGTTTTTATATATAAATCCACATGTGAATTAAATATTAAACGATTAATAATAAGTGAGTTGCTTAGTGAATGTATCTGGTAACGCCACGAGTGAAATGCGCGCACATCTCTAGCACATTTTGTATCCCTAGTTGGTAGCTACCATTTTGCAAAAGTTTTTGCTCAACACGTGCTCGGCGCTCATATTTTAAAGCTAGACATAAAATAAATCCGAATAATGGCAGAGGAATCATTCTATGGTAAATAACAATTAACAACATATCAATATAATAGTGAATGAGCGGCGACAATTGGTTTAATTTGCAATGCGCTGGCAACGTTGCCGGCTGCCGGCATTTTTATTCAAGGTTGTGTCTGTGTGTACATGTGTGTGTGTGTGCGTATATCTGTATACATGAATGCAGATACAGATGCATGTTTGTGTGTGCGTGTGTGTATTTTAATCTACAAGTAATTAATTTTTATTTTCAGGTGTTACTTTAACCGCAGAAAGCAACAGCGTCACCTGGGACGTTGTCGCCGATGAGGATTATGCACGCGGTCAGAAGCTGGTCATCAAACAGATCCTACTGGGCGCCGAGGCAAAGGATAATGAATTCAACGTGGTCGAGGTAAGTGCGCCAACTACACCACCAACTGTCAATGTGTGTGTGTGTGTCTCAGTGTATGTGTGTGTGTCTCTCTTATTGTGGACCGGTTTGTATTCATTCTCCAAGCAGGCAGACACAACGTTTGTTTTCTGGATAAAGGGCAAGGGCAAGGGTAGGGGTAGTGGTAATTTTGTCTGTATCTGCATGCAATACGCGCCCTTTGTCTGCTATTAACGCCGCCGTTGTCCTCGCCGTTGCTGTTGCTCTTGCTGCTCTTCTTTTTACCAAATGCATGACGTCACAAATGCCCAAAAGTCGATTTCGCATATGATGGCACTTGAAATACCCCGTAATTCTATATATTTTCATATAGTGTAAATGGAAGAGAAAATGGAATATTTAATATTTCTAGCGGGCGAAGTTGTAGTTTCCAATATTTGCAGATATAATTAACTTTATTTACGACTTCAACTTGTAAGTAAATATTAAACTTACACCAGATATACATATATATTTGTTATATATATGTATGCGTTTCTACAAAAATTGTTCTATTTATGATTTACATTGATTTATTTACAATTTGCGTTTTGCTTGTGTGTATTTATTACAGGGTATCCGCTCAGCGAATACCTTGCGACTCTGCTCTTTGACTGTACCAAAGCAAAACACATTTTGTATATATGTATATATATTTTTTTGTTTATCGACTTGAGTCGCATGCAATTTGATCAAGGCGAGTGCTGTCACCAGCAGCACCCCCGTTTCCCTCGCTGGCATTCTGATCACTGTTAGTGCTGCCTGTATTTGCCGTTACAATTTCGATGAGGTCCGCAAAGCTTTTGGTGAACTGGAACATGGCGCGTGCCTGCTTTTGCAGCCGGCAAACAACGCCCGCTGCTGCCACATTCCAGTTCCAGCAGATGAGCTCGCATCGCAACAGCTTCAGCTCATCGCGCAGCGAGATTATATTCTGTTAAGGCAAATCAAATTGGAATTGTTTAATTTTTTTATTAGTTTTTGTTTGTTGGTTTTGGCGATTAAAATGGGTTGTTGCCTATTTACTTACCAGCGCCACTGTCGCATCAATTGACCTAATCTCATCGCCTTTAATGATCACCAGTCCAATTGAACTATCCGTCCGTTCCTCCTCTGTCACGCGAGCAACTGTTGTTGATTTCAAATATTCGGCAGCCGTATAATCTACACTGCCCTTCAGCTCCGCCAAACACAGTTCAATTCCATTGTGCTTAAAAAAGTATATAACTTAAATTTGAAAAACTGAAATTGAAATGCTTTTGCCTGTTGCTCTTACCTTTTGTGTGGTGAGCTCAAATTGTGGCGTCGTGCTCTTCTCCAGTATGAACAGGGCATTTACTGCGATTCCCACCAACATTCCATATTCCAGTGACCAGAATACACAGCTAGCAGCGGTGGCCACAAAAGGCACCATGTCACGTTCTGGCGAGCGCGAAAATCGAAATCTAAAACTCTGACTTTATTTTGGGAGTCTGTTGCACTTACTCTTTGCCCGCCAAATCTCTGCAATTTTATCGTATTCGACCATAAATATCATGGCTGCAATGATGATGGCCGCCAGCGTTGCCTTGGGTATATATGCAAAAGTGGAGGTCAACAAGGCCAGGGTCATCAGGACGAGAATGCCGGTAAAAGCGCCACCCAGTGTCGTCTTAACGCCACTCGCATTATTAATCGCCGAGCGGGTGAAGGAGCCAGTGATGGGCATCGAAGAGAAGAAACTGCTGAACACATTGCACATACCCAGCGCGATCATCTCCTGCGATGCATCCACAATTTTGCCCTTGGCTGTGGATTGTGAATGGTGAAATCAACTTGAATCTATAGGTAAAACAATAGAAGAGTTCGAGATCACTTACAGAATGCTTTGGCAATTGATATACTCTCGAGGATGCTGAGCAGCGGTATGGTTGCCACTGCTGCGCCCAGATTGGAGATCATGCCGTTAAAGCTAACCGTCTGCCCCAAATCATCCTCCGTTTGAAATGGCGGCAGGCGAAACGGTGGCAAACCCGGCGTAATCGCGCCCGTCATCCGGAATATCATCTCATCCGAATTCCGGCTGAGCAGATAGCACAACAGAATGCCCACAAATACGACCAGAACATTGCGAGACAGCGCCAAATATCTCAACAGCTGCCGATGGCCACATTTCAAAGCAGTCAATTTCTAAGCGAACATAAAAAAGGGAAGCAATTTAAAGTAAATTAACGAAAGTCGATGTCCAAATTTCGCCAACTTACCCGCATGAGAAGCAGCACGATTAAGGTGCAACAGCCGAGAATGGCGTCGTTGCGACGCGTCTCCTGGATGTGGCTAAAGAACGTGATCCACGCGTCGAGAAAACCGTTCGTATTGCTTTGGATGCCAAAGAGATTGCTGATCTGCCCGCTGCCCACATTTAGTGCAGCGGCCAGCGTAAAACCCGTCGTCACCGGCACCGAAATGTAACGCACCAAAACACCGAGATTCAGCAGACCCAACACCACAATTATGCAACCGGAAAGGAAGCACATTAAAACAGCATAATCCGGATTGCCATTCAAATGTGAATACATCATCATTGACAAAATGGCCGTGGGTCCTGCAACAATAAGTTAGTAGGAAACTTCAGCTATTCCAAGTCAAATTATCCATCGAATATACAGTCGCGAAGAAATTAATAGCACCACTTCGGAATTATTTCTTAAGATTGTAGCAACAAACCATTAGTTTGTCAACCTTTGACAACATTTCTTGTGAGAGTGGAGCTATTATTTATTTTTTCGCAACTGTATTTCGTCTATGGTTGACTACTCACCCACTGTGATGTCCTTGCAGGTGCCGAATATAATGTAAATGAATCCACCCATAAAAGCCGAGTATAGACCATAAACGGGCGGCAAACCGGCCACAACGCCATAGGCCAAACCCTGCGTGATGGCAGTTAGACCCACCGTCATGCCGGCCAAAAAGTCAACGGCCAGATATTTGAGCTTATACCCTGGCAGCCAGCTGCAGATGGGTAGCATGTTTTTAACGGTCTGTGTGCTGCAACAGTTGCGCGCCTTGGCGCCCATAGCGCCACACACATTGGGCAACCTTTCGTGATAGAGCTCATCTGGAATGCGACAGAAAAGTACTTGACAGCTCTGATTAAACCAAACCACATGATTAATAACCGAGCGTCTTATCTAGTTGTCAGTTTTTTTCCCTCCAATTACCACTTGGATGGATCTATCGTGTGGCTCAAGCTGATAAAAAAAAAGAATAAAAATATGGCTACCTATTGCTGTACGCTCCAATCGATCTGAAGTGGGCCAACTGAAATTAAATCGATCTCTGAATTAAGATTAAAACCGATTTTTTGTTGATGGCATCTGTAATTCCTTGTGATTGCTGTCCCTCAAGTAAATCACATGCAATTTATTCATTTTTAATCATCGTACACTGTTCGATAAGCATTGGACCGACCACGATTCGTATTGATTTTTGATGTTGAGCAAATTTCTATAGAGTATTTCGTTGTTTTTTCTGTTTTTTTTTTTTTTTTTTTTAATATTTGTTGATTATAGAAATTGGGTTATTCAAATTATTACATTTAAAATATGCTGTATAACAGCTCAACACAATTTAAAAAAAATAAAATAATAATTGAAGATTATTTCAAGAGATGACCTTATGATTAAACAAACAAATTGACATTGTCTTGATAGAAAGTAGTCGCACTAGTAATATAATTAAATGTATATTTGCTTTGAGATTCACTTATCATTATTTTTGTAACGCACCTTCGTTGAAGTCGCACATACTTGCCAATATTTTGTCTTGATACACTTTGAGCAATTAATTGACTTGAGTGCTTCGTAAGTTTTATTAACTTATATTTATAACACCCGCCACGCTACTCTCCACGAGTTGGAGAATTGAAGTGTGTTGTATAAAAAGCGGTTTTGCTCTTGTCTCTGCGACTGCAGACTAACGAATGGCCCGTGTTCGACTTATTAGTACCATTTAATAGCCTGTCTTGCTGTCTCACTGTCTCTCTCAGTTCCAACGTAACGAAACTTGTTGCCTTTTGTTATCGCAGTTTATTTGAATTCCTTACGCTGTTTGTTGTTTGGGTATTTTCCAGAGGGTGGCAAATATCAGAGTCCATATTTCACAATTATAATATCCTTTGCTAGAGGGAGTTTTATAAAAGTATTCACACCCTGAACTCAAACTAATGTCGCTAATTTGTTTTACTGTTTGCATAAGCATATCAAATGAATCGCTAAAATTGACCTCAACCATTCCATTCCATTCGATTTGCAGGTGACCACACTGAAGGACTCGGTGCAGATACCGATTGCAGTGCTGAAGGCTGGCGAGACGCGTGCCGTCAATCCCGATGTGGAGTTCTACGAGTCGAAGGTTACGTTCAAGCTGATCAAGGGCAGCGGACCGGTTTATATCCATGGCCAAAACATCAAGGATGATGTTGAGGTGGTCGACATGGAGGAGGAGGATGAGGAGGACGATGGCGAAGATGATGAGATCGAGCATCCAAAGAAGCGCGCCAAAATTGAGCCGAACGCTGATGTCAAAAATAATGCCAAGAACCAGAAGAAAAAGTAAAAAATCAATAAAACAAAACAAAACAAAAAAAAAAAAACAACGAAAGATTTGTAAGCTAAATGTGTAGGTTTTAAAAGTTTTTTTAGGCCCTTTAAACAATACAATTGCATAAACATAAACACACTTATATAATACTACATGCATGCGATGTAAAACTTAAACATACTTTTAGTTCCTTTCTCTGAGATCCTTAATCATTCAACAATTCAAAAAACAACAAACAAAAAAAAGATACAAATATACTGATGATGTACTACTTACACTTAAGCAATAAGCCAGTCTAATATGTAACAAAAAAAAAAAGAACAACATCCCAAAAAACAAAGCATGCAGCTGCATATATATATATATTTATATATTTGTATATAAAGTATACTTTGGGTTCTTGAAGTTGTGGCTGTTTTGCAATTATGTTTTTCACACAAAACGGCACCAACTTCTTATCCCAGTCAGGCTTTCTTTCAATTTTACAATTGTACTATGAAAACAAGAACAACAAAACAAACAAATAAGAATGCTCTAGTCGAGAGAGCTCGATATGGAGATACACTGAACCCAAGTCTTTAACTCGTAATCATAACTCGTACACGTCTTGCACTCAATATATGTACATATGTATTTGTATGTATATCGAAAGGAAAAAGAATACTTTCGCTTGCTGCTGCTAAATATGAATATAAGATTTATTTCCAGTCTTGATGAAATTTTTACAGATGATTCGCATTATGTCAAGGTATATACATACCCGATTAGAAAGATATATCTTTAAAATTGTGTGTTGTTTTTATTGCTGTCGGTAATTGATGTTTATCAGCAGTGGGAAAAGATAAGTTATTGATTAAATTATATGGTATATTCCAAATTAGAATTCGATGCTAATCAAGAATCTACATATGTATATATGTATATACTTTATGGGGTCGGAGATGCTTAACCCTTTTTATACATTTTCTGGGCATTATCAAAACTCATCGATATACAAAATACTTTAGCTTTCTACATATAATGTATATATCTTATGAGTTCGGAGATGCTTACTCCTGCTTGATATATACTTTTCCACAACTTGCCCTTTTCCACTTTTTGGGGGATATAAAAGTCCGCATCGTTATACAAAATAGATTCGATTTCTATGTTCAATTCCATTGCATTCGTTTACACTTTGTGAGGGGAATATAATCAAAACTCGTCGATATAGAAAATACTTTCTTAACATTTCGATTTTAATGATTCATTGTCAGTTTTTGTGTCGGATTGATACAGGAATTGTGTGGCGGATCTAAAGTAATGTGAGAGGAGGCTCAATTGAAAGAGGAAACCATTGCGGGAATGCCTTTAGCCATTAAATGTTACAAAAGAAAACAAAATTCAATTGTTAAATGGGAGTCTCGCACTTTAAATGTTTCGTCCTTCTATTGTACGCCTTAGTTGCTAGTTGTTAGCCTTAGTTTGGAGATGGCATCACTTTGAGACGCTCGCAGGCACTCTTCTCTAACGCCTCCCGATGCTTGGGATCAGCGATTTGGATCAGTTCGTACATGCGCTGGCGCATATTCTTGCCAAATAGCGAGGCGATGCCGTGCTCGGTGACCACATAGTGAACATGGGCACGGGAGGTGACCACACCGGCGCCTATGCAAAAAAAAGAGAATATATTTTAACATGGAGCATCACATTGGTGTGCTTGAAAAACTTACCAGCCTTCAGCATAGGCACAATCTTGCTCTCTCCTTTGTTGGTGGTCGATGGCATGGCAATGATGGGCACACCCAAACCATCCAGACCCTCGGCAGCACCGCGTATAAAGTCCACCTGGCCACCGAAACCAGAATAGAAACGTGTGGCAATCGAATCGGAGCAGACCTGACCGGTCAAGTCCACCTCGATGCAGCTGTTGATGGCCGTCATGCGGGGCTGCTGCTTAACAATGCTGGTATTGTTCACATAGTCAATGGCCAACATCTCTGTGAAGACATAGAATTATTTATAGAGATTTATATTTGGGCTTAGGTTATGCTTGGCGTACCAATGAAGGGATTATCGTTGACAAAATCGTAGAGGGGCTGATCACCGATCAGGAAGGAGCCAACGATGCGACCCTTGTGCATCGTCTTGCGACTGTTGGTGATGCAACCCTTTCTGGCCAGCTCAACAACGCCGTTGGCAAACATCTCCGAGTGTATGCCCAGATCCTTGTGGTTGTGCAGAGCATTGAGCACCGCATCCGGAATGCTGCCAATGCCCATCTGCAGCGTGGCACCATCTGTAACCAAATTCTCGGCAATCAGTTGGCCGATCTTCTTTTCCACAGCCGATATCTCGCCTGTGCCATGCTGCGGCAGCTTGTCGTTCACCTCAATGGCAAAGTCAAAGTGCGACTTGTGAATGATGGAATCACCAAAGGTGCGCGGCATATTTGGATTGATTTGAGCTGCAAGCAATTCGATTATTTCAAAATATATACCATATTTATATCTAATTCCGTTTTGGCTTAGTGGACTCACCGACAATCTTCTTCGAGTTGAGGAGCGCAGCACGGACACAATCGACGCTAGTGCCGAGCGAGCAGAAGCCATGATTGTCCGGTGGCGACACATGAATTAAGGCAACGTCGGGCTGCACAATCTTCTTGTAGAACAACTGGGGAATCTCATGCAGAAATATGGACATATTATCGCCACGTCCCTCGGCGACAGCTTTGCGCACATTGCCGCCCATGAAGAACGAGTTCGAGCGGAAAATGTCCGAATATTCCGGCTTGCAATACTCCGCTGGACCCTCGGTGTGCATGTGGCAAACAGTCACATTCTCCAGTTTGTTGTTCTTTCCATGCGCCGTCATCGTATTCAGCAGTGTCACAGGAGTAGCGGCTGCGCCCTGTGCGAAAACCACATCGCCTGCAAATTAAACACAATGCAAACTGTTAAAATGTATTCAAAAACTTGACTTTAAAATTAACCTGACTTGTGAAAATATCATATCATGAAATTTGTTAGGTCGGAAAATAGTTGTTTCCAATATTTTGATTTAATGTAACAAAATATTTATTGTAAGTAACAACTTATTACTGCCACTGGAATTCTTTTTAATACATATATATATATATATAATTTGAATTGAAAAGAAAAATGGATTTTTTATGTTTTTGTTTATTTTTTTCATTTTTCATAAAACTTAATTCTTAAATTTGAATTCAATTTAAATAAGTTTTCAACTTTACGTTTAATAAAAAATGTTTTTTTTTTATTGTTTCTCACTTTTTTTATAAGTTCTGTAAACAAACACCTTTGAAACCATTTCTTGTCAGCGTGGTGTTAATAATTTTTTAGGCAACTGTATTTTTGTTTGTGTGTAAATATGTATGTATATTTACCATTTCGTATTCACGTGCAGTTTTTTTTTTGTTTTTTTTTTTAGCATTATTCATTTCTATGCCAAGAAATTGTACGCGTACATTGTTTGACAGTAAACACTCGCCACACACGAACAAGCTTATTTTTAAAAGTTGTAGAACTGATGAGCGAATGTTTACTGTACTTGATATGAGTAGATGAAGTTGCCAAACACTTGCACTTGCTTACAATGTATATACATATATTTATAAATAAGTTGCCAATATTCTATTTCTATTGCATCCTAAAGAATTCAAATGCTGTGAAGTATATATATATATATACATATATATTTATTATTTCTGTTTTTTCTTAGGCGTATTTGCATGCAAAGATCTGTTAAGAACAGGGCTTGCATCTGTTAGTGTTAAAAATGTGAATCAGAAGATCAACATTTTTGCTTTCTCTCTTTTTGCCCACTGCAAACGTCGTCAAGGGAGCTTTTATAAAAGCTCTATCGAAAGCCCAAAAGTCATTGTCTGGATCAACACCCTGCCACAAGTTCATGATTAAAAATTATCAAAAGTCGCATGATAAGAAATGATTTGTCTAAATAACATTGTATGTCTGTTCATTTCTTAAGCTTTTTTTTGTCTGGTTGCCCAAAGATTACTCCCTATATATGCGATTGTGTACATACGCCAGAAGACATACATATATCTACATATCTGAGCATTATCGACCAAAACGTGCCACCAAAAATATAACCAACACAATTTTTCTGCGTTAAATGACGTAGTTGATTTTTGAGCGGCGCGTGTTTGTGAATTGATCTAAATTTAGATCGCTGCCAGCGCTCAACAGAATTAAATCTGTATTTGTGTATCTAACTGTACATACATATAACAATCATATTTCTGTGATTCTACATCGCCATAAGATGAAGCTCAAAAAGTGCGACAACTTGCGATGTAAATAAACATTTCGATTCGTGCTCGCGGGCGGGGTCAACATACGAAACTAGTTTTATTATCATAACATATATTTTGTTTGCCTGTCGTTTTTTTTTTTGGTTGGCTATTGCGCAACTTGTCGAATGAAATTAATTAAATCAAAGCTGAATTAGCACCAACAATTTAACAAATTTATTTGCGACAGCCAATGTTATCAGAGCACCCCAGTTGCTGTACAGTTCTGTGAACTAACACTATTGCATAACAGCTAGTTAATGCACATCAAACATAACATAACATATGTAGATAAGTTTTTCCTTATCAGCACACGAGCTCAGACAGCTCAACAGAGGCCGGTTCTAATAAGTGACTGTGTGCGATGCCAACTCTCTTCTCTGTGCGCGTCTGTGTGTGTCTGTTAATGTTAAACTGAGCTTTCGTTGAGAACAGCTGGGCATAGTACAAAGTGCAATTAATTTGAGCACATTTGTTAGTGTTTTTTCAAAATATATGCACAACTGAAGGCGCAACGGAATGAGAATAGTTGTAATGAAAGCTAGGAACTCATAAAAACAACAGCCTAATTGAATTAAAACTTTGAAACTTTGCATACTTATGCAAATCTCTTATGTACACACTTCTAATAGAAAAGCATGTTATGTAAAACAAGTTAAATTGCTTATTTTGAACTTTATATATATATAGTTTTATATTTTGCTTTTATCATGTTTTCAGAGCCATTAAATTTCTGATCATTGTTACGCCTATTAATTGCTCAACTTTCAATAGGGCTATAATTTTGCTTACGTGTGCGTGCGGAGTAAATAAATGATAAGCTCGGATGTGTTAAGCACGCTCAATTGATTTTAATATTGAAGCACCCTGTAATTTGATATACATATGTTTATGTGCACAAAACACATGTGTAATTTGTGTGTGTGTAAATAGTTTCAATTGCAAACGCTACACTCACACACACAACAACACACTCTCATAATTTGCATGACTTGATTTATTGACCCTCTCCCTTGCACTTTCATTCAGCAGTCTAATCAGGGCAAATAGAGCAAGACGCTCAGGACTTAAAGGTCTTGGTTTTTTGTTGTTGTTGTGTTACATAACATAGAATTTTCGCTTAGAATTGGCAGCGCCATCTTCAGGCGGCGATTCCAGCGCAGATTTACTTTTCGTCAGATAACTCACCAGACTTAATGCAGGCGACGGCCTCCTCGGGCGAGACGATTGGCGGCTCGCGGGGCAACGGATGCGACAACTCATTGACATAGGTAAAATAAGTGTTGTGCGATGCTGCTGCATTTGCCGAGCCAATCCTCAGCAATTTGTTGATGCTTCTCGCACGACGAACCAACATTATTGCAATTTAAATAGACACTAAGTAGAGATTAAATATTACTCTATTTCTCTGTGTCCCAAGTAGTGGTTTGTAGGGGGTGGGCGTGGGTAAGTGCAGTAAAACAATTGTTGTTTTTATTTATTTGTGTGCTGCTTCTGCCTGATGCGATGGTCTCCGTATGTCTGTCTCTCCACTCCAGCGGCGCGATTGCAACTAGCTATGACCGAAAGCTTTACCACACCGCGAAAGCTGTTCAAACCGGCGACGGCTTAACTACTGCGCCTGCATAAATCAGTTATTACATGTTATACGAAAGTAATTTTATATTATTTTGAATATATGCAGAATGTTACATTATTCGTTGTGGCTGCTAAATGTCTTTTTTTTTTTTTATAAATATTACAATTTGTTGGCATTTATTTGTGCTGTCAATCGAAGCCAATTCAATGGCATTACACAGCACTACAAAACTATTCGGGGCGAATGGTAGACCGGGAATATTCAAATTTGCCAAAAAAAAATCCTTTTGCTTTTCACTTATTTTTAAAAAAATTCTTTACAATTACTCAAATGCTTATTGTGAAATTGGCTTTATGTCAAAATTAAAAGTTCCATTAATTTATTTTACAACATATTGAATGAACGGCAACGTGTTCGGGGCGAATGCCAAATTTCATTCACCACGTACGTCATTTAGCTTGAGAAATGCAACATTTTAGTAAGCAATTCACACAGGACGACATCTAGCAGGAGATGCGAAAAGTGATTCTCAAATGCAACATCATCCAACATCTTTTGTAACAGCTGTCCAAGAATAAATAGATAATTATAATGAGCAAAACTGGAGATGATATAATTAAACGGGCTGTTTGGGAGTTCTACCATGAAAAGATATTACTTGACATGTGGGAGGAGAATGTTCCCTTGTTTAAGTCCCCGGTGCATAAGAACAGCAAAATATATAAGAAAATGGCCATAGAATTAGCAGAAGCCGGCCTGAAGTTACATTGGTCGAAAATAAAAATAAAGTTGGATAATCTGGTCAGGAAATACAAGTATGTATATATTGGTACATAGAACTACTTACAATAATATATATAAATATTTTGAAATGTCGCCCAGAACTGAGTTAAGCGAAAGGACAAAGCCTGATGCTAGCTCCAAACGTTGGCTACATTTTAAAAAAATGCATCAAATCATGTCCCAACTGGCAATGCAAAATGCAGGTAAATTTTTCCGTTTCTATATCTATAAATTCTACTAAGAAAAACTCTAAAAAATTTATGTAGATGAGACGGAGATGATGTGTAAGAATGAATCGGATGCAGATGCTGAAAATCATAATGTTGTTGATGATGCTGGTAATGATGTTGTTGATGATGCTGGTAATGATGTTGTTGATGATGCTGGTAATGATGTTGTTGATGATGCTGGTAATGATGTTGTTGATGATAACAATGAGGATGTTGGGGATAATGTTGCGGATGCTGATGATAATGTTTCAGAAACAGATTCAAATAATTCATTTATTGTTGCAACTTCGGAGGAATCATTTCACGGGGATTTCAGTCCAACGACAGATGAGCCACCTGCAAAGCGAAACAAATCTACAAAAAATCCCAAAATGACATCCTTTGAATTGGCAATGGTTGAGATAGCAAGGGGACGAACGGATGATTTAAATCGAGCGGCGATGACAAGGCTGAAGATACTGAATCGAATGGCAAGTGATACGGCCAATTATCATGCGAAAATGTTGGAAATGTTAGCAAAGTGTATAAATAGTTAATAGTTAATGAGTAAACAGTTCGAACGTGCGATTTCAGTTAATTAGCCTTTATTATATGTGTATATATTAATTTACGTCCAAATTTGTAATTGAAAATCCTATGAGATAAAAGCGCCTTGGACTAACAATTAAAAAATAACAAATACATAAATGTAATACTTATTTTATATTAAGAGAACTTATGTGAAATCTATACAACAAAGGGCCTCAACTATTTACATGCTTATATTCTTATATCTTAAATAGTTTAGTTATTGAAGAGATTTCCACATATATATTTCTGCGTTTTTCTTGGTACAATTCAATTATTAAGCCATCTGTATTGTATATATATATATATATATATATGACTAGTTGATGCGTTTATTTTCTTGACTTATTAATGCTTTCGGCACAATCTGGGGGTTGTTGTTCAAAATACAGCTATGTAAATATATGTATATTCTACTTGTATATAGATTGATGATTATTACAAAGTATATTAGTTAGACTGATCTCATGCAAGTTACATATTTATATGCATATATATATATAGAAATGATCGCCATGGTTTACATCACCGATTTAATGGGAATAGTTCGGTCTTGATTTGTGGACGGAACATAAACCATAAAAGATATATATATATATATAGTGAAAAAACGGCACAATGTGGAATTTCATTAGGATTTTTGGGCCTATACAAATCTGACTAGATGATTTATAATTATGTATATAAAAATTCAATTGTGCAGCATTGTTAAATATTTTGGTTTCTTGTTATAAAATTTGCTATTAGATTCACTGATTTTTTGCATTTGCATATTATGCACAAATTTGCGTTGATTGCGAATTCGTGTAGTATTTTTTGTTTGTTAATTCAGTTGTTTTGTCCACTTATATGAAAACTTTTTTGGGGGATTTTCTTTCACAATCTTTTTGTATTTCAGAGTAACTATTTTAAATTATGTTCTACTGAAGTAAAAGCTAATGTTTAAACTAAGTAAGCCAATGTATTAATTTATTTTGTTGGCTTTTTTGCTACGGTTAGTATTTGGTGATATCCTTTATCTCGTTGGCAGCGTCATGTTCAGGCATAGCTCATGATCCCTGAGATCGCCCCAACCGCCATTGCCCTTGCGTAGCTTCGATTTCTTTATCAAGCTGGGCACCGTCATCATCAGGGAGCGCGGAAACAGCTGATTGGAAGTCCGTGCTATGCGCAGCACATGTTGCACCTTGGAGATGACCTGATTGGATTCGCAATTCTTGTTCTTGTGATGAACGCCACTGTAATTACAAAGTAAACTAAGTAAATATTATCAGTTCGATTGATAATCCACTAACCATTCGCCAATGTGAAAGACGCGGGGTCCCTTGACAATCATCGCGTGCAGCTTGCGCTGGAGACACTGCTGAGACACATGTTGCAGCGACCAGTCCCAATTGTAGTCGTCGTAGGTGCAAAAGTGTCTCGCACACCGGCGAATGCTCGTCCAGGTGGTGCGATTGAAGGCAAAGCCCATATTATGCTTGCTGCTTATCCATGGCATGGACTCCACCTGCCAGAGCAATGGAAATGTGAATCAGTTGGGATTTGCTGTTTGATTATGACTTCGAGCGGTTCTTTTTTTGGGTAACGAACAGCGAACAATTGGAAGTAAAACGGGGGGTGGGTGGGGGTAGTTGGGCATGCAAATTTTCATTCAAGTTAAACGAAAAGAAAAATCGAGCCAAGAGTGTGTTTTGAGGAGGAATCATAATAACAAATTGAATGCGCGATTGCATCAAATCTATACCAGAATTTAACTCATGATTAAAATGATCGAAAGTTATAAGTCCCATTTTTGAAAAATGCGCCCATTCGTGTGGATCGCAGTGCTGTTAGTTGATGATGTAGGTATGCCCCCCAATCAAATTGATTTGCATAATCGATAAACGCTCTAAAGCTATGGGTTCGTATAGATAACGATACCTTGCGATAGTCATGGCTGATGCTGCGCCTATCGATCTTGGCGACGTGTACGCGCGTGCGCAACTGTGTGTGTTTATCGAATTATCGGCATGCCAACACAGAGCCAAGCACATAAAAACATATACATAAATATATCGTAGTAAAGAGAGACGTTAACAATTAACACAAACATTAAAAATACACACACACATGCGAATTGCTAAAGCATTTTGGGATTGGATTTGCGGGTTTGGTTAGCGGCTAACATGCAAAACGCAGACAGTAAGCAAATTAAAACAATAGTTATGAAAAATAAATCGGAATCAAATTGTGCGCTACAATTGCAATGATCGGAAGTGCTGGATATCGATTAGGATTATAACGGTATTATTTTTTGTTTTCTTTTTTTTATGTTGGTTATTGCTGTCGATGGTGCTACCTTCTGATAGACGGAATACAATGACGGCAGGACATGATAGTTCCATGTTTGTGCACCATTTTTATTGTTATTATTAATATTATTATTGCTATTGTAATTGTTATTGTTATTGTTGTTAATATTATCGTTATAAGGATTATTGTTATTATTGGTGTTGGATGTGGCTGTAGCGGTGACAGTGTTGATGTGGCTAGTTCTTTTATTGCTGTTTTTTTTATTTTTGTTGCTGTTATCGTTATCGACATCGACGGTGTCGCCCACATAGACTTTCACATTCGCATTCGCATTCTTTAATGAAGTGCTGGATGATGATAGCGCTGATGATGACGCAGTTAACTGCAGAATGGAGTTTCTATTATTATTATTATTATTGTTGTTATTATTATTATTATTATTATGCCTATTCGATCCTAATAGACTGTTTGACGAGATCAGCGAGGAAGCAAACGATTTTTTGTTAGTCTGTCATCAAGTAGAATAGAACGCAGAAAGATATGCATATTTAGAAACGATATATGAATTGCGATTGTGTATGTGTGTGTGTGTGTATGTGTGTGTGTTTGCTTATAGTACGAATTAAAGCAAATCAAATACGGTGAAAACATACATATGTACAGTAGACATATATTTTGTTGAACAATTGCCAGATGAGTGTTACATAGATGTAATTATGTGTGTGTTTTGTATCTGTGTGCACTAGGCATATGTATGTATGTACGTGTGTATGTATGTATGTATGCGTGTATGTATGTATGTATGTGTTGAAGATCCTTTTTGCTAGTGCTTGAAATGATTTAATACACTATTTAAAAACGTTCATGTTTCAGACGGGATATGTTTAGTTTAGAGAACAGTTAAACTGGCAATAAGCGTTGACATTTGCTCTTGTTAAAAACATAAATTAAATATATATTTTTGTTTTTGGTTTTTGTTTTCTTTAAGTCATTTTCTTCTTTTTTTGTTTGTGTTGACGACTAAAACGAATTTCGTAGCCAGGCAAAGGAAGCACAGAGAGTGTGTGTGTGTGCGTGGTGGTGGGTATTTTGAAACTCACCTTGCTGTGGTAGGTATAATAGTTGAATGTCTTCAGATAGGTGCCCAGGGACAGGATATTGCATTGGGGGCACAAGTCTTTGGTGCGCTGCTGCATCATCGCCAACAAATACAGAAAATCCTCGGCCACATAATGATCCTCCTCAAGGAACAAAACGAGACCTAAAATCAAATTATACGAATTAAAAATTAATGAGTTTCTTTGGGGGAAAGTTGCTTCAGCGCTGCTCACCCGTGTGAAACCGGGTCACTTCCAGTTCGTTGAAGACACGATTCGACTTCCACCACCAGTGGTGTTTGGTCTGCGTAAATTTCGCCTCACGATAATGGCCATAGAGATCAGGATATAGGGCATTGTTACAGCTGCTGATAAGAGCTCTGCAACAAAACAAAAAAGCAAAAAAAACGGGATTTACATTGTATTTCGAATTGATTAATAGTCCTTCACTCACTGCTCTCTCTTAATGTTCCGGGGACAATCGTTGGGATCGACGCCGGGATATTCGTGCGGATGTGTTTGTATCGAATACGGATAGAATATCTGCATCACTTTGCAAAAATCAATCTGTTGCACCAGATCATTGATATCATCATCGTAGAAATCGTGCGAGAATATCAACAGAGACTTGGATATATCCCGTGCCTGCGCCAAACTAACAATCAAATGGCGCAGATAATTGATCCTCGTGTGGACCTGCGAGTAAGAAATGTTTCTAGCATTTGTAGCTCCAAACAAAATTCCACTCACCTGTATGACAATTATCACAGAATCGTTTTGCAGCGGCCCAAAAATGTCCTCATTCAGCACCAGCTGCATTTCGTTGTATCTGATTATCTGACGCTTGATCTCCGTCATATTTGGCGGATGATAAACATCAAAGCTGATTGTGGTCGATGCCGCCAAACCAGAGCCAATTGAAGCAGCACCGCTGCTATTCAATTGGAGCGCTATATAGCAGAAAAAAAAAAATAAACGGGGTTTAGTATTTATTCTATTTATTAATTCGTGATAGATCTCACCGGCGCTGTGGTTGCGTGTGTGTGGCGTCAGATATTTGTGCAGTGTTGCCGGCACCATGGACATTATGGCATCAACCGAGTCATTGGTCACCGAATCGCTCACCATCGTATCGCGACTATCCACTATCCACAAAATAAAAATCCCACAAATATTGGAAAGCAATAATTAGCTTATAAAAGAATTCCACTCACAGTAGTTAAAGTTGTGATACTGCAGCAGGCCAAAGATGCACAGGGCCAGGATGAAAATGCTGCGCATATAAAATTTGTTGCGTTTGCGTCCCATTGCCCCCGTATTGGGCAGCGGTATCAGTACACGACCTTCATAGAAAATGAAATCATTTCTGTACGAGGAGAACCGTAGCTGTATTTACCTCTCATTTTTGACATGTTATCGGCGACTGTTTCCCAGTTGCTAGCAGGTGCCAATGAGGTGACTTCTTTCAGTGCGCCATCTAAAAGTATACCGAATTGATAAACGAATGTTATCAATAAAAAATAAATGAACATTAACTAATTGAAAGTGGTGATAAAAGTAAAGCACGAAAAGGGAGTTAACTTCAAAATGCTAATCATTCCACACATTTAATTGGTTTCTTCGAGTAACATGAAATTTTTTTTATCGGATCGCTAATAAAAAACAAGCAGAAGACAGAAGTTGGCAAGTCCCACTTATCTTTTATTTCTTTTGACACAGTATAATTATAATAAAGTAAATATTTTGCTTGACAAACCACCACATGGAAAATATTTGTATTTGTACAGCTGAGCGTTAAGTGCGATAAATTTTGGACATAAGCATAAAAAACAAAGTAGAATGCTATAGTCAAGTAAGTAGTCAGAAAGTGACTTAGTAAGGCAGTAAAGTAAGTAGGTTTGTAAGTAAGTACATAAGTGAGAACTTAAAGAAGAACATAATTAAGTCAAGAAGTAAGCAAGTTAGTGGAAGGAACTCAATAAGACAGTGATTTAATAGCAGTAACTAACAAAGTATGAATGGATGTAAGTTATTAATTAAGTAAGGAACTAATTAACCAAGTAAGTAAGAAGTAAATAGGTAAGTAAGTTAGTAAGCAAGTTACTTAACTTACTTAATTAGTAAATCTATGAGTTGTGAATTGCTGAGACTTTAACACAACATTATTTATTTCGAACCTAAATTGAAATCCCCCCGGTCAGGGTTATTGTAAGTATGTGCGGTATATACGAAGAGGTTCAATCGTATCGTATTCGTAATTGCTGAATTGTTTTATGTTAATCGTGTTTCGCATTTCAAATTTTAAGTGGCTTGCTTTATGTGAAATTGAAGTGGGCCTGCAATCTGGAATCTGTCAATCTAAACGCATTACTCAAGAGGCTATTAATTTACATAGAGAACTGCTTTCAGCTGTTGCAATCGCCATCATGGAAATCAGCAGCAAAGCTGCGCCGCGATAAAATCTCAGCCTTAAATGCGAATCGGCTTCGACTGATGAGTTCTCCTCCTCCTCATCCTCCATGTGTTTAGGTTTAGGTTTAGGCACTTGGTATTCAGTCTCGGGTGATTAGCGATAAGCCATTCAGCTTGACTTGAATCGCTATAACAATAGGCTAGGTGGGTGGTGCGACGTGGATGGTTGGGTGCACTAGTCACAAACGGCCTCCTCACGACACGTAACAATTGCGTGCGTGTGTTGTCATCAGCCTCGGGAGACCGGCGAATATGGCGAATACCTTCTCCGCCGGACTTTTGGAGGAGGAGGGGAGGGGTCGCTCACTTGTAAAGTGGGCGACGATCTCGGACGGCCTCGCGTCAATTGGCATTATAAATAGAATGGCAGATTTGGCGAGTGCCACGTTTCTCGAAATACATCATTGCTTTGCAGTTGTCGCCTCAGCAAGCATTCTTTGTGCCAGTTAACAGGCAGGAACAAATCGAACTAATATATTCTTTTTTTCTTTTGTGTTTGTCAGGGAATATTACCATGACCTTGATACCGTAATATATAAATATATGTATATTTATATAATTCATGAAGTGCTCGAAAATTTTGCTTAATAGGCATTTTAACGAAATCAAAAATTGTATTGAAAAGCAGGTAAATAGTAAGGCAAGTTTATCAAAATTGTAAGCACACCTATATTGTATTGTGATGTTAAAGCTCTATAACATTATCTTTATTAGTTAACAAAGCTCATTTTTGAACTCTGATAACGAAGGTATTAAATAAATGTCCGTCTGAATAGACTGAGATAGAGACTGGGACCATGGAACATATACTAGTCTGTGCGCGCATCAAAGTCTACGTTGGAGTGCTACGTCCACCAGGAGGCTATACAGCCACGCCCATCTCCGCCTCATCCAGGCAAATCAGATATTTCGGAAAGTGTAAATCGGTAAAATCGCATTTCGGTTATGTCCGACTGCAACGTTCTCTGTTGTTGTAATATTTCCAGACAAGCACTAAATTTAATTATATATTTTTATATTTAAATTTAGTGTTTGTTGGGATTTGATATCGCAATATATTTATTTATAGCAATAATAGGAATTGGCAAATGAACAGCAATATTAATATATTTTTTAACAAATGCGTTAGCATAATTGTATTATTTGTTAATTGAAAAAATAGTGGAAATTATAATTTAAGAATTCGACCTTACAAAATGGCAATCTTCCACTGCCATAAGTAAACATCATTTGAAAGGTTTTTTCCAAATTTCCAATTTTGTCTAATTAAAACAGCTTATTTTTGCAATACAACACAATACATATAGAAATATATATGAGATAACACCTTTTTAGAGTCTAATTTTGTTAATTAGCCTAATTTTGTGCTAAAATCGTGCTATAATTATAATGTTTTTTCAATAAACTGTAGCAACTGTCGAAACGTATATTAAATGATAATTAAATCGGCCCCAAAAGTAGATAGAAATAAAAACCCAATAAGCGTCATCAATTCTAGTCAATAAAAAGGAAAAAGCCAGCCAGAAATTTATATCCGAAAACCTATACGCCCATAAATGCCATGGCAACATTAATGTTAATGAAATCAACGAATTTCCATAAATAGCATAAATAGAGCAAAGTTCAAGTGCCGAAAGCCAGAACAAAAAAAAATAGCTAAACCTAATGGGGGGCGTCAACGATGATGACGACGACAATTCGGATTCCCCGCCCCGGAAATAAGCCATCCATTTGACTTTGAATTTGAACTTTAAACATCGATTAAAAGATTAAGCAAAAAAAAACAAAACAAAAAACCATAAAGAAAAGAAGCAAAACGTGAAAGAAGCAATGTCTTTAAGGGCACGCGTACTCAACAGCTAATAGCTAACAGTTAGGGGCAGACAGGGGGTGGGGTAGAGGGAAGGTTGTTTGCGGTAAACCTGTAGACAAGATATTCAGCATAAACAGGTATGTGAGACAGTATTTATTTGTTTATTTACTGTTTGCTTGTTACGAAATCAGTGTACGATATAACGGGGCTAAAAAAAAAAACAAACAAAAAAAGTCGCACAAAAGACAAGCAAAACACAGAGCAACAAGAGTGTTATTTTAGCATATGTTCAACTAGCACATACCACGTACTGTCAAGTTTAAGCTTATCGATTTTGTATAGATTTTATTTTCTTTCTATGTTCTATTCTCTTTTTTAAGTTAAGCTTTTTTTTAACCTTACGTGAAAATGAAATATTGTTTAAAGTTTATATTTTTCCATTTACTTTAAAATATTTAAATAAATTTATACTTTTTTATTGTATGTTTATTAATATTAATTTCAAATTTATATTTATTGAAGCCTTTTCAATAAGTTTGTTCTTTGAAAATCGAGGAAACTCAATAAATAAAAATGGGTGGTTTTCTTTTTAAGAAGTTTTGCAAGTTTGGTTTTTGATTAAATTTAAAGAAAAATTCATAGTAACTTTTGCATTCATTTTCGCCAATTTGAATGTGCAAAAATTGTATTTGAATTTTGTGCACAAATGCACATAACATTTAACATGGCCATTTTGGCCAATGCTAAATGCTTACAGGGTATACAGGGTGCAAAGCCTAATTCGCCGCTTACTTTGCATTTAGTTGTGGTTGTTGTTGTTGGCTTGTGAAATATTGTGCTAATTTACAGAGCATACAGCTATTGAAATAGATGTTAATTATATATATCTAGAGAGACGTTTAAATGTACCTTTGACTAAAATTGCAAGTGCGCAATATTTTCGTTTGTGGCTCCGTTTCGTCTGTCGGCATCGTTGTTCCTCAATCGATTTTTCAGACTCCCAGTCCAGTTTCAGATTTAATGCCTGCATTTAAATTGTTGCTGTTGTTGTTGGTTTTTTTGTTGCCGCATTGCAGTCGCTTTGAATAGAATTTCGAGCATTTTGCGAAAAGTTCTCCTTTATTGTAGTAGTCGTATTTTCTCAATTGTTGAATTACTTAAATGTGCTTTTTTTTGTTGTTGTTGTCGTTGTTGTTATAAATTATTGTTGTTGTTCACGTTGCTGTTGTGGTTGTTGGTGTTGTTTTTAGTGTCGCTGCGCGCCTTGCGTTTGAGATTCATGCAATTTCTATTGAGATACATGCTGGCAGCTGCTGCTGCTGCTGCGACACACACACATATACACAGCACACACGGCATCTACCGATTTTGATTGCTACATTTCACCAGCTATTTAGATTTTGTTGAATTTTTATTGCTCTAACGTTTTATGTAAATTATGTATTCACTTTTCGCTTTCTTTGGTGCGATGCACACCAACAAAAATTTTAACCCGACCACCGCTCGCAAACCTAGCTAGCGCTGCGCTCTCACGACTGAAAATCGAAACCCAAACAGCTGGGGCCGTCGTTTGATGAGAGGCATGCGTAAATTTTAGGCTGACCATATTCTATGTCGTTCTGCTGTCAAACAAAAGTTATCGGTTCAAAGTAGTGTTAATAATTACTTGAAATAGCTTGCAATATATTATAAAAATTGTTGCCTCATCTGCACAATAAAATGTGACAGCTGACTTAGTAATTTATATATTTTCAAAAGGGGCTCCCAAAAGTTACATTATTTTAAGTTTATGTATATTTTTTACGGAGTTGAATCGCTCAAATGTGCTGCCACCCTGGACTGTAACTATCGCAACAAGCTGCTTCGGCAATCGGTTATCGGTGCGCACTACTCGATAGCTTTATATCAGTTCATATTGGATTTGGAATTGCAGCCTTGGTGTCTGTCGCTTATAGTACCGAAACGCGGCCCAGTTTTTTTGTTTTATTATTATTATTCCAAAAATATACAACGTACGCCGCGCGTGAATCATTCGCGACGTCTCGCCTTAAATCGAGTGTACACATCATAAATTTCAACGAAACCAACAAAAAATTTAATATTCATCAATTTTTGTTGTTGTTTTACACGTGGACACTCGCATTTCAATTCGCCCGATAATATTTATTGAATATCGCCGTCGCTGCGCTTCGCCCCCGCCCCGCACGCCCCCGTCTGCCCCATCGTCCGTGTGTGTTACGAATTTTGTATAAATAGTTGTGTGTTCTCAAAAAGAAATATAATAAAAATAAAACAAAAAATATGTTTAGTTTTCTGAAGCGCGAGACTAAAAATCAAGAGGTGGTCGAGAATGTCATCGGTGAGCTGAAGAAAATCTATCGCAGCAAATTGTTGCCATTGGAGGAACATTATCAATTCCATGATTTTCACTCGCCAAAGCTGGAGGATCCGGATTTCGATGCGAAGCCGATGATCTTGCTGGTGGGGCAGTACTCGACGGGCAAGACAACCTTCATTCGTTACCTGTTGGAGCGTGATTTTCCCGGCATACGCATCGGACCGGAGCCGACAACAGATCGTTTCATTGCCGTTATGTACGATGACAAGGAGGGCGTTATTCCCGGCAATGCACTCGTCGTCGATCCCAAGAAACAATTCCGGCCATTGTCGAAATACGGCAACGCCTTCCTCAATCGTTTCCAGTGCTCGAGTGTTTCGTCGCCGGTGCTGAATGCCATTTCCATTGTGGATACGCCGGGCATTTTGTCCGGCGAGAAGCAGCGCATCGATCGTGGCTATGATTTTACGGGCGTGCTCGAATGGTTTGCGGAGCGTGTGGATCGCATCATTCTGCTCTTCGATGCGCACAAGCTGGACATCTCCGATGAGTTTAGGCGTTCGATTGAGGCGCTCAAGGGGCACGATGACAAGATCCGGATCATATTGAACAAGGCGGATATGATTGATCATCAGCAGCTGATGCGGGTTTATGGCGCGCTGATGTGGTCGCTGGGCAAGGTGCTGCAGACGCCGGAGGTGGCACGTGTCTACATCGGCAGCTTCTGGGATCAGCCGTTGCGCTTCGATGCCAATCGGCGTCTGTTCGAGGACGAGGAACAGGATCTGTTCCGGGATCTGCAATCATTGCCACGAAATGCGGCATTGCGTAAACTCAACGATCTGATTAAGCGTGCGCGTCTGGCCAAGGTGCATGCGTTCATCATTGCAGAACTGCGCAAGGATATGCCATCGATGTTCGGCAAGGATAGCAAAAAGAAGGATCTGATCAAGAATCTGGGACAGGTCTATGATCGCATTCAACGGGAACACTCCATATCCCCCGGCGATTTTCCGGATGTGAAGAAAATGCAGGATCTGCTGCAGCATCAGGACTTTTCCAAATTCCATTCACTCAAGCCCCATCTGCTGGACATTGTCGACAATATGCTGGCCAAGGATATTGCGCGACTCATGGAAATGATTCCCCAGGAGGAGATGTCACTCGTCCAAGATCCAGTAGTCAAGGGTGAGTTAATATTGTAGCACATATATATATATCTGCCTTATCTTGGCTACAACACTCTACAAAATTGTCTCTTTTGTCCGTTCTCATCGTCCTCGTCCTCGCCCTCGTCTAGCAATCGAAGGTAATCATAATAAACTTCAAAGCAGCACTTTTCAATTGTTCAATTGTTCACTTGCTTAATCACCTGGTCACACTATCCACTTGCATACAAAATCGATATAAATCGATAAATACACATTTCAGCACCTAGCAGAAATGAAATATTGTTTAGCGCTTAACACATTTCCAGGAGTGATAAGTCAGCTGATTCATATTGCCCTCATTGCATTCCATGGCATTCCACAACTGCAATTTCTTGATATTTTTGAGTTATCCAACGAAAGCAATTAATGATCACATGTTAATGCTGCCGGTTTTTGTTTTTAGATTCAGCACATTTGGAATTAATGTTGCCAAATTTGTTGTATGTTAAATTCCTGAAATTGGAACTCTATTTTGTTGCTATTCCCAAGCGGAACATGACCCCGAAAGCGGTTTATATAGATGTCATGAATATAACATTTTGACGATTGTCTGCAAAGCTAGACTGGAACATTTTCTACCGTCTCAGACAGCTTTTCCAAAAAAAATAAAAAAAAATCTTTGCGCACGCGCAACTTTTGCAAAAAATACAGCTAAAAGCAAAACACAAGTTGACCCAGTTAACAAATAGTCATGCCAAATTGTTGAAAACAAGTTTACACACACACACAGAAACACAACAAATTCACAGCTAGTGCGAGCGAGCGAGACAGAGATATATTTGAGACCGCTGAATGTGTCTAATGAATGCAGCAATTACAGTTTAAGTGCTTAGCAGCGCATGCAGCGTGCAGCATGCAGCATGGAAAGCTACAGGAGATATACTTGGGCATTTCCACTCGCTTTCCTAGCATCATACATATATGTATATATAGTTTATCATGTCTAAAACAAATTTCCTCTTTCACTTAATTGTCTTTGGCTTACTGACTTGCAGCTTCCTCTTCTCGCACTTATGCAATGTGGCTTATTTAAATAATATAAAATATTTATGTTTAAAATAATTGCAATTTTTTCAAAGGTTTATTTTGAATATATTCTTTAGTATTACTCTATAACTTACAGTCAGTATTGCTCCTGGAAGTACTAAAAAACAAGCAATAAAATAATAGCATCACCTGCGCACTTTATTTCTATAAAGTTCGTTTAAGTATTTCTAATTTTCATAATTAAATAATAATTTCAAAATTTGAAAAGTGTTGCTATTATTTTTTCGTTCATTTTCTTCGTTTTCATAAATGTTCTTAAATAAGTTGAAAACCTATTAGCTTATTTTCAAGAGTCTTTCACTTCTAAAAACGAGTTCATAAATTCTTTAAACTCACAAACTTAAAAGACACATTTTCAAACATTTCTTGTCAAAGTGGATTTGTAACTGTATGTTGTCAAATATGTATATATATATATATATATAGGTATATATGTTGTATCTCATATCTGAAACCAATTTCCCCTTTCAATTAATTGCCTTTGTCTATTTGGTTCGCAGCTTCCTCTTTTCGCACTTATGCAATTGGGGCTCATATGTATGGAGAATATATATACATATATATACATACATATTACTATATATATTTATAGTTTTATACTGGCTAGGCAAACAGTGCGATAAGAGCGCTTCGCTGATAAGCGGAAAATTACTTTGTTTCTATGCTGGACGCACTTTTTTTCATATTTTTTCTATTTGTTTTTGGCGACAAGTAGAACTTAAATAATGTGCAATTCAAATAATTTTGTAAATAGCCAGCGAACGTTAAGGTAATAAGGCATTTTCAGTTTTAAGCTTTCATATCTAACACAAATACTGTGAATATATATGATAAGCAACAAATTTCTACTTGAAAATGGGTGGACATGGAACATGCAAACACTTAGCGAAAAAGTGTTTAAAAGTGCTACTAATGTGTATTTTGTACATAGTTCAATAGAGTTTGCTCTTATTATCATAGAACTCTTGTTTTAGAATTTTCTATGGATATTTTGTATAGGGGTTTCAGGAAAATGTTTAATAAGAAATTGCAGTGCTTAAATTGTGAAGTTTAATGAATAAAATTGTGCTATTAATGAGTATTTTGTAGATAGTTCAATAGCTTTTGCTCCTATTTAAGTATTTAGAAAATAAGTAATTGTGTTCCATTTGTAGAACAGTAAATTTTGTCCGTTTTTTATGAGGGTAACTACCTAAATACAACAACAACAAACTTATTATCACAACTTGGTCGTTGGCTGTCGTCATGTTCCAGTGATAACAATTATCGAACCGAATTGTTTGCCATGATGTAAGCAGTGAAAAAAGTGGCTCATTGAGTGACTCATGTCTAAGGGAAATGCCACTGAGAGTCGAGAGTGTGGAGAGTGGAGAGAGGAGAGAGAGCTCTTCATTCATTTTTAAGTGGGTACAGTCAGTCCACATACATATTTCACACTCCAGCGCTCAGCGGTTAGTTGGACACAGTCTGACCATCGACGCATCCAGATTCGGATTCAGATTCAGTTTCCAGCCAACCATGACGACGAGCACGCATTGAAAGCATTAACTTAAAACATTGAGACCAGACAAATCAGTGGAAAAACTAGTTAGATCTACACCTGTTGTGCATCCGACTATGAGATACCCAGCACTAAATTCATCAATATTTAAGTCTTAAATAATCTCGATAAATTGTGTTTTTGTTGTTAACTTTTGCGTACTCAATATTTATACCTCTATTTGCACTAGGTTTGCCTTGAATCAAGTACAAATTGTTAAATTATCATTGATTGACGTATGGAAAAATTGTAATAAAACCACCTTGAATATGAATATTAGACAGAAATTCGATTAGTATACAAAAGCTATGAATTTTCATACTAAAATCATAAAACGAAAAAAATTTTATTTTTTCTTCAATATTTGAAATCAAAGTAGTTTTTATTTATTTCAAGCTATTGTTTCAGATACATAATTGTATTAGCTTAGAGCATTTAATATTCTGCTTTATATAAATGCACTTATTCCAATTGCTTTGGGGGCATTAGTAATTGCTGTTTGATCAGTGTAATAAATATATAAAAAACGATTATAATTCTCGTGTAAATTGTATTTAATGATGTCCTCTGTGTGAGTGTGTGTGTGTGTTTGACCTATGAACCCCCCCACTTCGATAGATAGTCTGTGATTCGACTTTGGTCGTGTGGAATGGGAAAGTTCAAGGTCTTTTGGGTGGCGCTATGTGCCCAATTACTACAACGTCTAACGATTGCTTTGGCACCTGTTTGTTTTCACTTCGTAAAATGTTTATTGGTTGTGCAGCAGCTTTTTAACATTTATAGGCCAAGTCAAATAACGCATTTGTTTGTTGTGGCTATCTTTCGGGTTATCGCGTTGCCAGGCTCTGCTCCTCTTCAGATAGATATCACTAAGTCTCTATGAATGTAGATATAGATAAAAATCAGTTCAAGAAGCAACGCTTATCGAAAGTTCATAGCTGAGAAATTCACACCCCACTAAAAGCGAAGAAGAAGAAGAAGAAGAAGCAGTAGCAGACAAACACCCAAAATGTGTCTCATGCTCTCTGTAAAGAGGCGTTCAACGTTCAACGCCCAATTGTCGTCTGGTTAGCACTGTTCTAATTTCCAGCAACAAAGAACTCGCTCTGTTATCTGTACAGGGCTGCAAAAACAAAAAAAAACATACAGATATGCATATATATATATATATATATATATATATATATATATATATATATATACATACATGTGTACATATGACTAAACAGAGTATATTATTAAGTAATACTTTTGCCACATGACGTTTCTGTTCTGTTATACGACACTTGTATGTTAATAAAAACGAGCAACTACATAAAGTGTGACCAGCTGTGCTTATTAAGATCATATGTATTCCATGCACGAATATACACACACACATACAGACTCACACACAGATGAGAAAATGAAAATAATTATTATCTAATAAGTGAACAGCGCCAAAAACAGCAGCATTAACAGCGCGCAAGAGGAAGAAAATGAATTGAAAACGTCGCGAGTTGTACACTCTTTATGTATTTATTTATTTATTACTTATTAAGATTAATTCTTAGCGATTGAAATTCTAATGAATGACTTTTAATTAATTATTGTCATGTGTGCACTTATACATTTATTTATAAGTAAACAGGATGTACAAATGAGCGTAGAGCTTTCATAAGTGTGAAATTTATGTAAGCATCATTAATCATTAAGCTTTCGTTGTGCATTAAGCTGCCCTCAATCAAAAAGCTCAGTCTTCAGGAGAAGAGAAGAAGAAAATGACTTGATAACTTTTGTGTATTTATTTTTGAGCATTAAGAAATTGCTTGGAAACACATAAAAAGCTCATGTTTCCCGCAGATCAAAGCGTTTGGCGACAAAACATATACTTGTATATATATAAGCAACAACAAGAGTAAGCGACCCAACCCATTATTGAATCATGCCTTTATAGCTTTTATAAATAAATCTCGGGGAGATGACTACACATACAAGTTTATATATTTTTAAAAGGTAATTTAATTGCCTTTCATATCATAAAAATTAAAAACAGGGATTGATATCACAAAAAAAGCTCAATGTACGAATTAAAAAAACCAGTTGAAAATTTGCAGTTTGAAATAGTTTTGTAATGCCATTCACCTTCAGTTAGGGTATAATAGTAAATGCTTTTAAATTGCAAATTTACAGGCACACAATAAGAACAATCTCCCCTCAACCCGTCTCATATTTTGCATAAGTCGCGCAGCTAAGCTCTGGCAAAGGCAGCGTATTTTTTTTTTTAAGCTGGGGCCAAACCCATTGCAACCCATTCAATTTTTTATTGCACACACACACACAAACCTCTCTGTGTGTAGAGGAGCAGTAACTAGTTGCGTCCAGATAGATATACTCTTGATGCGATGCGGCACGGCAACCTGAGGCCGCGTATCAATTTGTGTGTGTGGCAGCACGGCGCCGACTGGTCGCGTGTGCCACATTAAGTGGCCCCATCCTATGCAGCAGTGAACATCAAATTGGAATTGAAATTGAGAGAGACAATTCAGGGCGCTTCCACTGGAGACTCTTTATTTTTTTCTTTTCCTTTTTTAAAATGGACTTGCACTAAACGCAGGAAGAAAGCATTTATTTGATGATTTAGTCGTCTATACAAGCATTTCTAGAATGATTCCGCAAAATGTGGCCATTTAAGACTAGACACATTTGAGGTCCACTTGACTGATCTTCTAATTAAACGATTAGCGCATTACGCGGAGGCCTTGCGAAAGCATTTACTATATATATATAGTATGGAATCTATACTATTTATATATACGTATACATTTCGCCAAAAAATCCATGCCAATCCAAAAAATGCCACTAAAGCGATCGAATCTGATGTCATTCGATCACATTTCACATATGCGTCATGCGGCGGGGTATTAAAAGCAACGCCCATTTGTCTTCCCTTGGATTAGCCGATTCAAGTACGTAATAGAGATTTTGTTAGAGTACCTGAGTTTAAATACTCTCAAAAGAAAGTTGCTTCGGAGAAACAAGTACTTGGTCGCAAATTATGACTGATATTTCCAAAGAATCTGCACTTTTAATTACTAAATAAACAAACAAAAAAATCACATAATATAATTTATTTTTAGAAATGATTAAATTTCGAATTTTTCGCATATTTTACAAATTATTGCTTAGGAATAGGGTTTCTAGAAATTATTATTAATTGTATAATTTAGAAAACTGCACAAATTATAATTATAATTGTTAAAGAATTGTCACATAAATAATTAACAAAAAAACCTACTTTAAATTATTTATAAACATGATGAATTTTCAATTTTGATTTTTTGCATAAGAATCAAATATTTCTATAAATTAATATTACTCGTGCAATTAAATAAACTTTAGATAATTTGCATTTCCAAAGAATTATCACTTAAATATTGATGAAATAAAACCTAATAAGACTTATTTATTGAAATGATACAATTTTAAAATCTTTTTGCGTCTATTTTTAATTTTTTACATGAGAAGTATTTCTAGAAATTACATGTGTTTCACACCCTCTAATAAATCAGTAAGACCCTCTCCATACACTGACCGAAAGAAACTCCAACAAGTGAATGAACTTGCCGCCTAAAAATACCCCTTGGGAGATGCAGTGCCAAAAGATATACCCAACCCCAAAAGAGTGCGCTGATAATGTGAATAACGAGGCGAACCAGTCGAAAATCAAAGTCAAGAACGCCTCAGCATCGCCGAACACGACGCTAATTTTGTGTGTCGAATGTGTCGAAAGTGTCGAATGTGTCGAATGTGTCGAGTGCGAGGAGAGTCGCCTCCGATTGGTGTTCTTTCTCTGCTTATTTGTCGTCAGCCGTTTTATTGTTGTTTACTTTATTTATTCGTGATTTTCCGCTTTGGTTTCCACTTTGTCTCAGTGCATTTCCGTTTGTATTTCCTTTGTTGTAGTTGTATGCTCATGCGGGCAATTGACCTTAGAGCTTAGAGGGAAAAGCATCAAAGATAGTTTTCCTATTGTTTCCTGCCATTGTCTACACCAACAGAGTCATTGATTTGCTTGTACTTAAAATATAATTTAAAAGAAGCACAACAATTTATAAAGAATTTTCTTAGTTTACATTGAAGCCCATTATCTTAATACAATTTATTAATATTGTATAGCTTAGAGCTATTCTCCCGTCAGCCCGGATCGATATGATGATAACAAGAATTTAAGTCGGCATAAGACATATTTCCTTAGGAGATTGCATAAAGTAGATTCTTCATAATTTCAGTTGGAAACCAAATGTTGTTGCCAAGATTGGTTCAATACAATTTTCTGAGATTTTCATTACAACTGCTAGCGGAAGAATATCTTGAGTACATTATGCATTTATTATAATTCATTTGTTTGATTTAGAAATACTTCCGCATCACAATCAACTTTGCACAGATTGTGCTCTTGGAAACAGAGACAATTTAGCACTAGATTTATTCATTCTTCAGTTGCCTCGTTTGCTTATCTTGTATATTGTTTGTTATCAACACATGTGCAATATGTTTAGCAATATGCTGCTAAAAAGTTTCAACCCACTCTCAGATTTGACTCGTTCTTTTTATTATTATTATTTTTTTTGGCAATGGCACACTAATTTTTCTGTCGTAGTTTTCCAAGTGTGCGTCAAAAAGAAAAGAAATTTGAACGCTTTGTCACGCTCGTCTCGCACCAGTATGTAGACCTCTCTCTCTCTCTCTCTCTATCTCAGTCTTTCCTCTCTCTCTCTCTCTCTTTCTCTCTCTGTCTTTTACTTAATTTCTTTTTATGCATTTGTGTATCGCAGAAGAGGAGGAGGTCGATATGTGCGAGGAGCCGCAGGTTCTGACCCCGGGCACACAGAGTGCTCAGTTTGTGGAGCGCTTCGATCGCTGGCTGCAGAATCTCCGCCAGCAGCAGCTCAGATTGTTCAGCAGCTGCACAAGTAGAGTAGGCCATATCGAGAACGAGGCAGAAACTGAAACTGAAAAACACATCGAAATCGCAACACCCGCCAGCTCAGGGTCTGCTGCAGTCAATCCCGAACCCAATCTTGATAACCCAGAACCAGAACCGCAGCCAGAACCTGAGCCAAAGCCAGAGCCAGTTACTGATGTAAGCAAGCTTAACTATTTTTGTCGAACTCGCCGCCTAAATATTCATTTGCTTTAATGAAGTTAATAAAGAGAGAAGAGCGCCAACTTCGGCAAACCGAAGATTATATGCCCTTGCAGACGGCAAGGGAGCTAAGTGATATAGTAGAGTTCCGAAGTTGACAATTTCTTGCCAAGTAGTAGTTAGTAGTCTCATAATACGCTTGGCTTATTTTGATGCACAAAAAGAGTTATTCCATAGATCTCATCTGCGACAGATAGTTTCTATGGCTGCTTTCTGATAAATTGATCCAGAAAGAAAAAAAATAATAGCATAATTCTCAAGAAATGTTTTCAAAGGTGTATTTTTAAATTTCTACTAAAGTTAAGACGGTTTTTGGAAAACGACTCATGCAAAAGTGAGATAAAAAGAAAACATAATTTTGTATCCCATTTTCAACTTACTTTAATTAAATTAATTAAAATTATGGCACTTTTCCTTTCAAATGAATATATATACAAAAGATACAGAATCAGTATTAATTTATAGGGGAAATACTAAACAATATATTAAAAATCAACGTTTGAAAAAATTTCAAAACTAATGATTAGTTTTTTCATACGTATATTATTTTTTTTTTTCGCAATTATATGTTCTAAATGACAGCAAAAGTTCCCAGTTTGGCTGGTCAAGAATATATATAAAACAACAACTATAAAAAGGCCTCTGCAAGGGTACAAATATGTGTGGGGCACTTGCCACATGAGGGAGGCGCCATACGCAACGCACTCGTTTGTGATGTTGCACTTTCAAGTAGACTAGACAGCTAAAGTACGTACTTAAGTCTATGGCCTGAGGACGTCCCAGTTTTGGCCCATGGCCAACGACGTCGTCAATTGGAGCCTAAACGATCTGAAGGTTTTTAATTGCGCCTAATTGAGTGCGGACAACGCACCGAACAAACTAAGATTGCATATGCTTCATTAATCTACGACACACACACACACAAACTGAAATCGATTTGTAATTGAAAACTATAAACTATATCGATTGGGTTACACCATTTTTCTTGCAGGAGGTGCCTTCGAGGGCGTCATCGACGACACTGTCTCACCGTTTGGCTACATGAAGGGCGAGGGCATCGATGCTGGATACGGCGAGCACGAATGGATATGCAACAAGGATAAACCACGCACAGATGTCATCTTCAACGAGCTGGGACCGGTCGATGGCAAAATATCCGGGTCAAGTAAGTTGAATAACAATAATATTGGTGCTTCAAATTAATAATAATTAACACACTAAATTCTTCAACAATTGCAGCTGCCAAGCAGGAGCTCATCAAATCGAAACTGCCTAATTCAGTGCTTAGCAAAATCTGGAAATTGTCCGATATTGATTGCGATGGTTTTCTGGACATTGATGAATTTGCGCTGGCGATGCACTTAATCAATGTCAAAGTGGATGGTTGTGAGCTGCCAACTGTGCTGCCGGAGCACTTAATACCACCGTCGAAGCGTCTTGACTAATGCTGCAACAATATGCAAAAACGAAGAACACACACACAAAACCGCACACACACACAAAACGGAATTTGCCGGCAACTCCTATGCAATAATGCAGCACTCTGTTTGTTCTGCTTCTTTAGTTCAATGGCAAGAAAACAGAAAAAAAGAAGGAATTATCTTTTTATACGTACTTTATTCGTCTATAATAATATTGCTAATCATGGGTATTAAAACACACCAATGCAAAAGCACCAAGCAAAACATAAATTCATAGAATTTACACAAGTAATATTTTTGGATAAATAACAATCAATTCTAAATTGTAATGCGAGAGGAAATAATAATTAGTGGAATTATACACTCAAAAAAAAAAAGTGTTGTATATGCACCGCCTAGACACCCAACGTAAATGTTGATTTAAGAGAAAAGTACAGAATAAATACTTGATCTATGATAATGAATTGGAATTGGCACGAAATGAATGAATGGAAAAAGAAAGTATACAATACATGTAGGTTAAAATATGTCTATGCCCTTTGAAGTTTGCAACAAAACTGAGCCACTTTTGATATACATATTTTATATACATAATAATGTATATATATATATAAATATATACATACATATTTATACACAATGCATTGAAGTTGGTTTAAAAGTAACATATTTATTTGCAATCTTGTTTAATTTATCAAAATGCTCTGCGCATGCAATGAGAATTGTGCAATTTTATTGTTGATTTAGTAAAGCAAATTATTAACTTTGCTTCTTATTTAGTGAATTCTTGAATATTAATAATGTGAATTGATAAATTACTTTAAAAGAAAATGTGTAAATTACAAATAAAACGAAACATTTTTAAAATGTGCTTTTAAATATAACACTAAATTTGGCAAAATGTGGTCACACTGCCTTTTTCGTTGATAGCTTTCGATATACATGCTGCCAATCGAAAACAAATTTCGGCATTCATTTCAATTGGTCGTTTACCTGATAGTCCCAAATTTTCTGTTACCTGAGCATATTGAACTGACCATTTTAATCAGTAACTAAAATGGCAACCTACGAAGAAGTCAAAAACATTCCCAACGAACCCTCGAAATATTTATTCGATGTTCGCAACAAATCTGAACTAGAAGAGACTGGCACATTACCGGCTAGCATTAATATACCGCGTAAGTAGTTAAGACACATAGAATAATTAATTACAAGAACAAAATGATGTCATACTGATTACTTTTATGTTTTCCTTATGTCAGTGCCTGATCTTGAAAAGGCGCTCAATTTACCTGATGGCGACTTCAAGACGTCGTATGGACGCGCTAAGCCGTCCACGGACGCTGTGATGATATTCTCTTGCAAGGCAGGCGGGCGTGCGGCACGTGCTGCGAATTTGGCCAAGACGCTGGGATTTACCAAGTAAGAAATATGCACAGTCATGCTGATACATAAGAATGTATATTTATTAAAACGTGCTCTAATTTGCAGCGCCGTAGCCTATGCTGGCTCATGGACTGAGTGGGAACAAAAACAAGCTAAATAAAACTGAAAGAACAAAACGAATAATAAATATCATTTGTAAAACATATGTCAATCAATAAAAGCACTAAACGTTGACCTCCTGTAGGTCACCCCAGCTGCGACCTATTTTTAGCTTCACCCTGAGCGGCACACTTAATTTGACACAGTTTTCCATCGTCAGACTGAGGACTTTGGCCACTTTCTTCGCCTTATCCACGGGCACCTCAAAGATGAGTTCATCGTGCAGATGCAGCACCAAATTGACGGCATTTTCCGCCAAGCCCAGCTTCTCCCGATAACGTCCAATATTCTTTTCCATGCGCAAAATGGCACTTTTCGCAATATCTGCCGCCGAGCCTTGGATAGTGGAATTGATCGCCTGGCGCTCGGCTTGATCTGCACAAGAAATGCGTTAAGCAAAATGAAAAGAAAATCTAACTGAAATACGCACTTTTTATCTGTGGCTCGCCACTGTTGATATGATCCAGATAGCGACGTCGACCCGTTATCGTCTCCACGTAGCCATTGTTCCTCGCAAACTTGACCACTTTCATGGCATAGGCTCTGTGAATATAGATTACAGAAATAAGTTGTAACGCATCGAATTATTATTTGGGTATACAACATAGACTCACTTGATGCCGGCATATGCCAAATGGAACTGTTCTGAGATCATCTGTGCCTCCTGCTCTGTACATTTGAGTGATTCGGCCAGGCTGCGCATGCCCATGCCATAGACAATGCCATAGCAGATCTGCTTGGTGCCGTTGCGCAGTTGCTCGGACACCTCCGACTCGGGTATTTTATTCCAATGCGCCGCAATGGCTGTGAACAGATCCTGCGGCGAGTTCATTACCTTGAGCAGTGCCTGATCCTGCGACAGGTGCGCTAAAATGCGCATCTCCAGCTGACAAAAATCGGCGGAGAGCAGACACCGTTTCCCATCCATTGGTGCAAAGGCGCTGCGACACGATATATTGATTTTCTCTGCACCCAGCTGGATCTCAAAGTCTTTGGCCACATTCTGCAGATTGGGCTCCGACATTGAGATGCGCCCCGTGGCCGTATAGGTGATACTCTGGCCGTGCACTCGGTTCGCCTGACAGCATTTCAGCAGTGGTTGCATGTTCTTTGAGAGCAGCATGCTCAGCTTCCGATAGTTGAGTATCAGCTGCGACATGGGCGAGTCCAGCTTCTCCAGAATCTGACGCGATGTGCTGATGCGTCCGTTTGCCTTGCGATGCAATCCCAGCACTTTAGCCACCGCTTGCGTGGAGCCTAAATTGAAACGCGAACCATGCAGCTCATAGATTTTCGCCTCCAGTTTCTTCATGGTGGCCAACATCTGTTGGAAGAGAGTCTGCAAACGATGCCCCTTGGCTGGGAAACCAATGGATTCCATGTGGCACAGCGAAATTTGTATGGGCATCTCCAATTCTGCAACGAGTTGGAGAAAGTTAGGGAGAGAGGAGCTGCTGAGAGTGTGATGCATCTACCTCGAAAGAACTTGAGCAACTGTCCCGTGCCAATCCGCTCGAGATTCTCGATCTGCCCGTTGAGTATGTGCACAGTGACACAGGCCTCGATGGAGGCGCGCACCTTGGCCATGATGGCGCTGCTGGCGTCCAGGCCATAGCTACTATAGCCGCGACCACTGCCGCATAGATTCGATAGAGCCGTGCACTCCGGTGCAAATTGCTGGCACTGCATTGGAATCGAAGCTCAACACAAATGGGAAACGCATAAATAATAATTCTATATTTACCAAATTTTGAAAGCTAAGCATCTTATCCGGCTGTAGCAGCCAGTTGCCCACTTTGGGATCCTCGAGCTGAACGTTCATCCTCTCCAATTGGGGCAGCACTTGCCGCAGCGTCTTCAGCTGCTCCTTGCCATCGTGCGTCAGGAGTGTTAGCTCCTGTCGCCCCATCAAACGGCACAATTGCTCCACTTTCATGCTGCTGCTGATTAGATGATCCTGTTGCTGTTGCCCTTCCTCGGACTGCATGTTAAGCCAGTAGATGACATTATCCGCCAGGCAAAAGGCAACTCCGGCCACAAAACTGCTGTCATCCACCTGAAAGTTGATCTGGGTGCCAGCAGCTGCCTCACGTTGTGCCGCCGCCGCCACCTGGTTGATCAACAGATTGGCGCCAATTAATGGCTTGCGTCTGCCCGCCTGCGCCTGCAATCCAACGCTGAAGCCACAACGCGTTGCCCGCTGCAGTTCACCGAATGCCAGCTGGAACAAGTCTTTGTTGCCGCATATATCAATGACATCGATGCTACTGAAACTGGATGCGTTCTCATCCGTCTTGGAGCAGCTGAGTATATGCGATGCATTCAGCTGCAGTGGTTGCTTTATCAGCGAGTTCTCCATGGACAGATTTGAGAGCTCGATGGAGGAGCCACCACTCGATGCGGACTCCGGTTCCGGTTGCGGTTCGGGTTTGGGACTCTGACGTCGCTTCGAGCGCAGCTGACAGGAGCGCATAAGCCGTGAGGCATGTGGGGTTAGAACAGTGCATCTGTCCGGTGATTCTTTTGGCTGCGAACTGGGAATCTCATCGGCTTCCGCGTGGCTTTTACTTTCCGCTGCGGTCAGCGCTGCCGTTAGACCTGTGTTTAGCATAAAGGAGTCGTCCTCGCCCGCAAACAGATCCTGCTCGAAAACAGTTGATTTGTTTGGCACCAGAACTGAGCCAGTGCTTTGATGATTACGTGGACTACGTCGTGGCAATTGAGTGGGTGTGTTATTCCTGCTTTTGTCGTGTGGCGTTTGAGTTCGTAATTCTTTTGCATTCAGATTCTCCTTTATGCTACTCGTCTCTGTTTGGAATTGCCTTACAATATTCCTGTCAGGCGTACAGCCGGGTAGAATCTCTGCTGGCGCATTGCCGGGCAGACCTTGGCGCATGTTTTCCATTGCGGCGCGTCTCTGGTTGATTTTCATCAGGGCCGCATGACGACGGTCCTCAATCTGCTTTCTGAGCAGCTCATTGCGGCTGGCTGCGCTTGTGCTGGGCTTCTCCTCTACCTGGACAATTGGTACATTGGTGCTGGAGCTGATCGGGTTACGTTCGGTGAGCACTTTCGGACTCGCTGGTGGATTCGACTTTTGGGTTATCGAATTTTTTATTACAGGTTCATCTGGTTTTATTGACTGCCTGGTCGCAGGACTTGCTTGCTCAATCTTGCGCACCTTGCTCAGCCTCTCGGCTCTGTCTGGAGTTTTGCGCTTAAGTTCTGAGCTCATCAGTGCTGCTGGAGGTTGTTGTTTAGCCTGATTCTGGACCTTCTCAAGTGACAGGTGCAACTCATTTACTTTTCTTATGTTATCACTTGTTACCTTGGAGCTGTCTAGAGTTTTGAGCTTGCGTTCTGATCTCAAAAGAGCTGCCGGACTCATTTGCTTAGCCTTGAAGATTTCTAGAGTTTTGCCCTTGACTTCTGAGTTCATCACAGCTGCTGGAGGCTGCTGTTTAGCCGAATCCTCCTCCACTGACATATGCAACTCTTCTACTTTTAAATTGCTACAGCTTTCTGTTGTCTTAGAGCTGGCTGGAGCACGTTGTTTAGCCTGCTCCTGCTCCTCCAGTGACATGTGCAGCTCAATTACTTTTGAATTGTCATCACTTATTGCCTTGGAGCTGGCGGCCACTTGTGTCCACTGGATGTTGCGCACACCAATCTCATGTTGCACAAACAGTCGCGCCTCCTGGATGAGCAGCTTTGCAGCGTCGGCAACTGTCATGCCCGCCTTGCCCGTTATGAAGAAATTCCTCGCCGAGTTGCGTTTAGCTGCCTCAATGGCGTCTTCATGCTCCTGCTGCTTGGCCGAGTCAAAACTTAGCGAATCGAAGAGCAGCTGCTCCAAAGCAAGCAGATTGGCGCCAGCCAGCTCCACGAGACTGGTGATGCCCGCATCGTGAAGCAATCGGGCACGCTTGTGCGTCAAGTCGGGCAGACGCATCAGATCGATGAGATCGCGATGGATGCCAAAGTAGAGGCGATCCTTGAACTGGGACACAACCAGGGCGAGTGTTGACCACTGCAACGAGTTGCAAAAGGCCGTCACAATGCCAGCAAAGGTGGAGGCCATCTGCTGAAGACTCTGCAGCATGCCGCGCTGGCATTTGAATTTGTGAGCCACCACATTGATGGGTGTCTCGTTGACCAGCTCCTGCAGCGCCAGCGCTGTGTAGAAGCTGCATAGAGAAGGACATAACTAATGACGGCATTTGGGCTTATTCTCTACCCCACCACTTACCGCTTGTGTATCTGCATGAGTTTGTAGTCAAGTTTCGTCTGGCCACGCATGGCGCGCACGAGGAACGCCTCCTTGACACCGATCAGTTCGCCCACCTTCTTCATGGCGGGATTCAGTTTCTCCCACATGTCCAGATAGAGCAGCCAGTCCACATCCTGCAGTTGATAGCACACCGAATATGGCGTAACTAGATACACGGCATGCAGTTCCGACTCGAGGACAAAACAACGACGCGACTTTTGCAGCTCTGCAAAGAGGATTAGGCCATCGGTTGGCGGCATCGATGAGGCTAGACAAGCAGCGCCCAAGCGCGTGGCAACATAGTGCTCGGTGTCCGTCTCCTCGTCCGTTTGCAAACGTATAAATTCGTACTCAACCAGGAAATCCAATGCATCAGTTATGTAATGTGCTTCATCCTCATCCTTATCCTCATCTTCTGTCTCCTTTTCCACCTGTGGATTCAACGTTTTTTGCACACTAAGCAGAGTGCAATTGAAGAAGCTATCAACGTCTTTTTTGCTGCTAGCCACTCCGGATGAGATGACCTCAAGCAGCGCCCGTTTCAGATGCGTCTGTAAACTTTTATAATTAAATATTTATGGGACACTTGAGTTTTGCTATGCTGCTTACGCTTCCGTCCAGATCTAAGCAGGATCTAATGGGCTTCAGTTGAGCCGTGACCAGTTCGCGTCCGATGCGCGCATTGCTCTCCGTGCAAATGAGTATGGATTCGCCCAGTGTGTCCTTGCCGGTGCGTCCAGCGCGACCAATCATCTGTCTGTAGGTCAACGAACTCATCTGCTTGCCACCAAACAAGGGCGATCGGATGAGCACACGACGTGCCGGCAGATTAACGCCCGAGCTCAAAGTGCTCGTGGCGACAATCACCTTCAAAGCGCCCGCCTTAAAGCTCGCCTCCACAATGTCCCGCTCCTCCGTGGTGAGTCCGGCATGATGAAAGGCACAGCCGTACGTAATCGCCTTGGACATGATCGCATCAAGACCTGTTGAGTAGTTTAATCTTTAATTCTTGAAGGGTTTAATGATGCAAGTGCAAGTCTATGTAGTAGACAGAAGGAAGCATCAGCGAGCCCAGTAAGTAAGTAAATATACACCTGGACAGTTAATGGCAATGCTTAAAATTAAGATAACTTTAATTTATCTAATGATTTGGATGGAAGACTTGTGCGTAAGCTAAAAGATCAAGGAAAACAATTGCAAAGAAACCAAAATGCAAATAATACCATATTAAATTAACTAAGGAAGCAGTCACTCAGCTACCTGTGGGTATATCTCGCAGCTGTTGTTTCACAACCTCAATGGACTCCGTGTTGAGCTGGGAGCGCAAACGTTTGGCCAATTTGCTGTCGGATTTGATGAGCGCATGCATTGCAGTGGCCAGCTGCACGGCCAGATTCTCGCACCAGTCCTTGGAGGGACAGAAGACAACGACGGAGCAGCCCTCGAGCAACGTTTCGATGCACAACTGGGCCACATGATCCGCATCGTTGCCTAGTGGCGGCACCTCGGAGCTGCTGCTGATGTTGCGCAAGAAACGCAGTTGATTGTCGTAGATCTTGTTGCCCACCTTGATCATCTCCTGCAGCGCCACCGGCCGGTAATCTGTGATGTAGAGTTCCGCGTTGAGCCACTGCTGGAGCAGTTGCACATTGGCCAATGTGGCCGACATGGTTATAATCTGGATTTGTAGCCCATGCTTGCGGGACATATACAGCACCTTGGCGAGCAGCAGCTCCAGGATGTAGCCACGACCCGCATCCGAAATGAGATGCACCTCGTCCACGACCACTGTGCCAATCTCATCCAGTTTGCCCTGCTCCAGCAATTTGTTAACAATCGAGTTGGCCTTCTCAATTGTGCAGATGGCCACGTGAATGCTCTCGAATCCGCCCGGCGGCGTGTAACCCCCAAAGAAACCTTCCACCCGGTAGCCGGCTGGCGTTAGCAGATCCTGCAGATAGAACATCTTCTCCCGCACCACCGAAATGAAGGGCAGGATGAGCAGCACCTTTTTACCACGCTCCAGCACCGTCTTCAACAGCAGAATTTCACTGACAAGTGTTTTGCCAGCGGATGTTGGCGCCGAGTAGACTAGATTCGAGTGCTCGAAGAGCACTTTGGGCTTGCAGAGGCACTCGACCTGCCAGTCGAACATTTGGACGACACCCTTCTTCTTGTACTCGCCGAGCACACTGTGCGGCAGATTCCAGGCGGAAATCAGCTTGAGCGCCTTCAAATCTATGGGATTTTGGGCGGGTGAATCTCTTGTGGCGGGTAATGAATCCTTTGTAATAGTTGAATCACTTGTGGTGGTTGAATCCCTTGTGGCGGTTGAATCCCTTGTGAAGGCTGGACTGCTGGGTGATAGGTACAACTGATTTGGTGACATGCTGCTCAAGTTCTGAGTGAATCTCTGGCAATGGGCGACACTCTGCTTGGCCATTTCGCAACGGCTGCGCATCAGATCCTTTTGGAGTTGCTGTGACGCCTCCGCATCCCTAACTGGCAGTAGAAAACTGCTCTCATCGAGATTCGCCAATTCAATGGGTGAATGATTAGTTCTCTCAACTGTTTCCGTTTCCGTATCCGTGCCGAAAACATCTTCTGTGCAAATTTGCGCCTCAAAAACCGATGTGGTGCTGACATTTTGCGAGTTACTTGCAAACACTTCGTCGTCTGCATCCAAGTTTGTAAGGATTTGGGAGACACGCATTTGTGATGTGTCTGCCTGCTTGCCCTTGGTCTGCTCCTGGTTTCGTGTTAGCGAAAAATCATCCTTAAAGAACTGCAAGTATTGTTCACAGCTGCCGTTTGTTTTTGTTGCTGCTCCTGTTATCCGCCCCAGCTTGGAGTCGGATTTACTGCGTCGAAATTGCTGGCGCTGTGACACATTCGATCTATTCACGGTGGACTGGGTGTACAGACGTTGAGGTCTCGATTTAAATTTGGGCGGAGATTCTTGGATGATTTCCAAGCCACTTGTTAGTTGATTGTTATTGTTATTCCTGAGTTTTTCTGCTTGTGGGCCTTTTAAATCGTTCTCTAGTTTCATGAACGTACTGTCGCTAAATCCAAAGGATTGCGAAAACGCCATCACTTCCAATTGTAATTTAATATTCTATTATAATACAATTTAAAAAATTAAGAAAATTAGCTTAAACAAAAAACAAAAATAAATAATTTCCGCGGACTTCCGACAGCGGCCTGCCAACTTCATTGACAGTGTGTCAGTATTTTTAGTAGTATCGATATCGATGATAATCGAATCGGCCAACTTTTGGCGCCAAGTTGAAAACGATAGTTTACAAAAAACTACACATATAAAGTTTAATGAGAAACATAATTGTGTCAATTTAAGATTAAATTAAATTCAAACTTGTGAACTTAAGAGTATTTTGCTAGCATGTTTTAATTCATAAGAAAGTGCGATGGTTACACAAATATCGATAGTAAGGATATTATCGATGATGCATGCAATACAGAAATCAGTGTTGAGAAATAAAGTTATCAACAATACCGATATGTGTATCAACAGTCTGTGTGCACATAGCTGCAAAGATTTCTTAAGGTCCACAAACAATAATAAATAAATTGAAAAACAGTCAATACGCATTGCATATATGCGATAATTGAATTGCAGCATGGACGAATTCAAGGTGCCCGGCCTGCCAGTCACTCCCATATTCAAATACCAAGAGCCTGTTGCACTCGAGAAACCCGCCGAGCCTCCGCCGCCGCCACCAGCTCCAAAATCGAATCCAAACAGTAGCAGTTGCTTGTACAAAGTGCCAAAGTGGTCCCGCCCGCCAGCTGCACACGATATATATAGATTCGAAGTGCTCAAATCGGGCCAAATCATTGACGAGGTCAAGGATCTACAGCATCAGGCGATCTGGACCTTTGGACGTCTCCCGGAAAATGATGTTGCCATGGCGCATCCAACAATATCACGCTTCCATGCCGTGCTCCAATACAAACCGAAGCCGTCTAGCAATGCAGGCAGTGATGATGATGTCTTCAGTGCTGACAATTTGCCAATATCCGATCAATCCGAGGGCTGGTACATCTACGATCTGGGCAGCACACATGGCACCTTTCTCAACAAACAACGTTTGCCGCCACGTGTCTATATACGCATTCGTGTTGGTCACATGCTCAAGCTGGGCAGCAGCACACGGGTGTACATACTGCAGGGTCCCCGTGAGGATGAGGAGCCTGAATCAGAGCTAACAATTACGGAGATACGCGAGCGGCGGGAACAACAAGTTGTCTTGGCTGCCACAGAGAAGGCGCGCAAAGCCCTCGAGGCTGAGGAGCGTGAGCGCAATGAAGGCGCCAGCTGGGGCATGAGCGAGGATGCCGATGAGGAGACGGATCTGACACACAATCCATATGCCAGTTCTAACAACGAGGATCTCTTCTTCGACGATCCCAAGCGAACGTTGCGTGGCTTCTTTGAGCGCGAAGGCCTCAATCTGGAGTACAAATGCGATGAGTTGTCCCAGGGCTCATTCGTATGCCGAGTAGAGCTGCCGCTAGACGATACCAATGGCAGACCCATTGTTGTCGAGGTCACACACAAGGGACGCAAGAAGGATTGCGTGGTGCAGTGTGCACTGGAGGCATGCCGCACTCTCGATCGACACGGTGTTCTGCGGCAGGCTAATCAGGAGTCGCAAAAGCGCAAGAATTTGAAAACGGGCGATTCCGATGACGAAGATGAGTTCTGGGATCGCACTGGCGATGTGGCCAGAAAAAAACTACGCAAGGCTAATGCATCCGCAAGTGTGACACTTACCTATGATGATTTGGTAAGCCAGTAATACCCATTAATCCAAATAGAAATTAATTAATGTTCTTCAATTTTAGCTTAAGCAGGAATTCGAGCTGAATTTGGAGCAGCTAAAAGTGGAGCAAGAGATTTTGGCTTACCAGCAGAACGAGAAGCGTTTGAAGGAGCTGGCTGTTAAGCAAGAGAGTGCCAGCGATGATCTGGACAATTTCATGGATACACTCTCTGGAAATGTGCCGCAAGTGGATAAAACGGAGATAAAAAAGTTGCGGGTAAGTTGTGAAATTTGAATTGTAAACATTTTTATATTTAATCTGTTTGCTTTTTTCAAGCTTGAGGAGCAGCGCATAAAATCTGAACAGCAGAGGTTAGAACGACTCATAAGAATAGCCAAGCCTACGGCATTTTCTTTAGCCATGCCCAGTGGCTCAATGCTGAGGAACAAGACACAGGAGACAAATGCAGCCAAAAAACAGCTGCCAATAATTGGCAAGCGAAATCAGTTTAGTAAATTCAAAGTGGTTAAACCACTGGTCAGCACCCGAGCCAAAGTGCAAACGAACGTGTTTGCATCCGATGATGAGGAAGTCGAAGAAGACGAGGAGTTAGAGGAGAAGACGGACATGGCGACGTCCACGAAGTTTGCAGCGGAAACAATAACAAAGCCATCAGCAAGTGAGGATACAAAGGAAATCAAGTCAACGGTCGATTCGGAAACACACACGGACAAGTCACTCACAGATCCGGATGTAACAAACACATGTAATGTGGTGCCGACAATTGACTCGACAGCGGAAGTGGTGCCCGCTGAAACAGTAGAGGATGCAACAGCAGTCACAGACACCACAGCACTTGCAGACGCTGCCGAGGAGCAGAGCGCCGAGGAGTTGGCTGCCCACAAGAAACGACGTCAGCGTGCGCGACAACGCAACAACAGCAAGCAGCGTCAGGATGTGGACATGGATCTCCATGAGCTGGCCGAGCACGAGGATATCGAGAAGTACGCCAAGTGGGTGCCACCGTCTGACCAAAGGGGCGATGGCTTCACACATTTGAACGACAAATTCGGCTACTAGAAAAAACCATTTGCCTAGCACTAAGAATAAATGATCAAAAAACCACAAATGATATAATTATATTTGGTTAATAGGTGGCGAAATTAACCAGTTTATGATAAGCTCATTACTATTAACGTATTAACTTTCGCTAAGCTTATTACCAATGCATGTAAAAAGGCTGATATTTGGTCATGCCTAAAGACTTGTTTGTACAGTGGTCATTCGAAAATAGAAGGCTTTTATATGATTAGCATTAGACAGATTTCAAACTCATTTCTTATTTTATTCTTTGCCTTTTTTACATTTAAGTGACATTGTTTTAAAAATATTTACTCAAATCAAATGAGTAAAAGACAAATATTGTAAAAATGATTAGAAAAATATATTTAGAATTTTTAGTAAGACTTATAATATAAATGTTAATCTAAATCTAAAACTAAAATAAAAATCTAGTAGCACAAATTGGCGAGTAACCGCTGTACAAGTATTTCTGACTATTACATTTTATTTGCTGTGCTAAGGTTGCTTAAGTGTATGTGCTGTGTGTAACATAAAATGAATAAATGTGAATTTAAAGTTAAAACCGTTTTGCGCCAAGTCCGGGTGTTCAAGTATGAACATGTGCCACTCTAAGCATTCTCAAGCGTGTGGCACTTGAGGCTCACGCTATTAGAGAGAACAGAGGAGGTACAAAGCGATCGCCTTACAAGCGCGGTTCCATTAGATAAGAAAAAGTGTGAATTTTGATTTAAGAAATTGCAATAAAATAAAGGCTTGCTCATCAAAGCTGGCAGTTCGAAACTAATTGTCGACTCAGTGGGACACTAAGCACTATACGTGTTTCACATGGGCGTGTTGAGAATTAACAAACTGCCAGTGGCTTTTCACCACACTCTCCCAGCAAGCAAACACCTGTAATTTCCCCAACGTTATTGTAATATGCCTACGCCAAGGAGAGAGAGAGAAAGAGTGAGGGAGAGAGAGAGCGTGTGACGACGAGTGTTCCAACCCCTGATTTGCTTTCCACTGGCATGGGTCGGGAATGAGGGGTACGAATGAACACCAATACACGTTACACGTTTCCAGCACACATATAGGGAATGAACTCGGTTGTGGTGTGTGTGTGTGTGTGTGTGTGAGCGGAGCACAGTTGATTGCCGCTGTTAAGGCTCCAGCACTTGAACTTCCAATTCAGTTATAATTTTGCTACTCTTTTCGTCGGAACGGCGAACGGCTGTGCGTGGGACGAGTTTCTTAGTCGAATCTTAGTTGTTTATAATCAAGTGTCGTTTAAATTAGCCGAATTTATAAATTGATTTAATCGATTCGATTTCGGTTTCGTTCACAGTTCAAATTTAATGAAAAGTCTATATAGAAGCTACTACTACCTATTTAATCTCAATGCTAACGAGTGTTATATAAATTAAAAAAAAAAAAAAACTGAAAAAGAAAAATTGAATTTGTTGATATATTTGAATAAAATTTGGTTTTAATGCGGTCGCCACGTGATTTCTCAATAGCCGGAGCACATGTGTGGGTTACATTTTAAAACGCGTAACAGTCCGTCTCAAAAGACGTCCCTGCGTTGGGGCGACTGCTGCTGCTGCTGCTGCTATTGCTGCCGTTGTTGCAACTGCCGTTAATCACGTGCTTTCAACTAATCCGCGCCAGACTCTGTTTCCTACATCAACCGATTGTTAGTCGCGTCCGTGTCTGTGATCTGTTCTCTCGTCTACTAAATATGAAAAGTAGTCGCACTCAACAAGAAGCATCGTATTTAGGAAATGTTGCATAAGCCAAGGCGCATTTGATTGGCGCGCACATTTTGCCGTCGTTAAAAGCAGAGACGCGGGACTCGTCGCATAACTTAACGCCTGCTTTGAACTTGGCGTACACAGTGACACCACATACTTGTATATATATATATATATATAGGCATACACTGTGGTAGTGAAGGTGAGTTCGATTGACAGCAAATGCACGGGGACATGCGCAGAGATTGCGCGCCTACTCTCTGCCTACTCTCTGACTGCCTCTGGGAGCAGCGATGTGTGACACTTGACGGTTTCTGTTTTTCTGCTTTATTTTTTTTTTTTGGAAAGCGCTTAGAGTTCTATTTTATTTATACCCTGTATTTAAAGTGCTGCAAATGTATAGATCAGCCAGCAAGTTGATCAGCATTAATATTAAGGACGATGTCTCTAAACTAGTCTAAATATCGACAAATATCGATTTGCGATTTGGTTATAAGAATTAAAGTCATCATTAAATATGTATTTTCCTCAGAATATTTGATTTCAACACAAAAGGTCAGGTACCTGTTTTTGGGCATTTTCACACATTTAAAAGTCATTATCCTTATGCCCTTGCAAAAGGATTGCGTAATAAATAAAGGAGTCATTTAAGTTATTTATACACAACAATATAAGAAGACTTGATGGTGCTACTGGGTTGTCGCTATATATATAGTATATATAGCTCAGAGAAGAAGAAAAACAGCTTAAGCCGCGCGAGGATGAGTACAGCGTATCTGTTAGTCGACCACTCTCGACTAGAGCATTCTTACTTGTTTGTAGTTGACTAATTGCAAATCATTTTGTGAATGAATCCAAAAACGTTGGGGGTCATATGTCAACTCTTACATCTACTGGACTACTTAGGCATTTATATACAGCTATATGTATCTGTCTGTCTGTCTGTCTGACGCTTGAAATGTACTCATCTGGTTGAAGAGTACTTTGTCCGGTCTAATCGACGCTGTCATTTAGGATTATTAAATGTGCCGCAGACTGAAGGGTGGCCAGCTGCACTACAGGACCCTTTAAAGTTGCTCGTATTTCCACAACTGTGGTTCCTAGTTAATTGGATCCATTAGCGAGGACAGCGAATGGCCAACAGCGAATATCCTTCTGGGTTATCCTTGCGTAAAGGTCAGTGGGTTGGGTGTATTGGCCTTGGTCATTATGTGGGTGCGTGTGCTGGCGAGGGGATGGGGTTGGCAGGCGAATAGTTGGTGGGTTGTTGGGGTTTTATATTCAAAGCAATTTAATGCAACTGCTGAAGGCTTGCACCGGACTCCAAAAAGCGTGCAACATTATTTATAACAATACTGCTATCTCTCTCTTGCAGCAAAAGTATTTGTTTACAACAAGAAGTTATCGCTTGTCAGGCAACCCTAAACACCCGTTATATATACATATTTATATCTATATATCAAGGAAGGGGTAGCAAAATGATCAACATAGCTGGAGTGGTGAGCATTGTGCTCTTTTACTTGCTCATCCTTGTTGTGGGCATCTGGGCAGGTCGCAAGAAGCAGGCGGGCAATGATTCCGAGGAGGAGGTCATGTTGGCTGGACGATCAATTGGTCTATTCGTTGGCATATTTACCATGACAGGTGAGTCTAAGCTAGCTGAAGTATCCTCTGTTGCTTAATCTCTTATCGTCCATTTAGCCACATGGGTGGGCGGTGGCTACATTAACGGTACGGCGGAAGCGATTTACACATCGGGTCTGGTCTGGTGTCAGGCACCGTTTGGCTATGCCCTCAGCTTGGTATTTGGTAAGTTGATCAGTGCAAAATATTTGATTCTTTATTCACGATTTTCTACTTTTAGGTGGCATTTTCTTTGCCAATCCAATGAGGAAGCAGGGCTATATAACCATGTTGGATCCGCTGCAGGACTCGTTTGGTGAGCGAATGGGTGGCTTGTTGTTTCTGCCGGCGCTGTGCGGCGAAGTCTTTTGGGCCGCAGGCATTCTGGCCGCCCTGGGCGCCACATTGTCCGTTATCATTGACATGGATCATCGCACCTCGGTCATATTGTCATCGGGCATTGCCATATTCTATACACTGTTCGGCGGACTGTATTCGGTGGCCTACACAGATGTCATACAGCTGTTCTGCATCTTTATTGGACTGTGGATGTGCATACCGTTTGCCTGGACCAATGAGCATGTGCGCAGCTTGAGCGACATGGATGTGGATTGGATTGGGCATGTGGAGCCGAAGCAACGCTGGTTCTACATAGACTATGGCCTGTTGCTCGTCTTTGGTGGCATTCCCTGGCAGGTGTACTTCCAGCGTGTGCTCTCCAGCAAGACGGCGGGTCGGGCACAGTTGCTTTCCTATGTGGCAGCCGCCGGGTGCATCCTGATGGCCATTCCTCCAGTGCTCATTGGTGCCATTGCCAAGGCGACGCGTGAGTTGGAATTAGCAGTTGCTCGATTTTGTTAGCTAATCTCTCTGTTTTCTGTCAGCCTGGAACGAGACGGAGTATAAAGGTCCATATCCGTTAACTGTGGATGAGACGAGCATGATATTGCCCATGGTCTTGCAGTATCTGACGCCCGATTTCGTTTCGTTCTTTGGCCTGGGCGCCGTCTCCGCTGCTGTCATGTCCTCGGCGGATTCCTCCGTGCTGTCCGCCGCCTCGATGTTTGCACGCAATGTTTACAAATTGATTTTCCGTCAGAAGGCTTCCGAAATGGAAATCATTTGGGTAATGCGCGTCTCCATCATTGTTGTAGGCATTCTGGCAACCATTATGGCCCTAACCATACCCTCCATCTATGGACTGTGGTAAGTGTGCATACACTGAGAAAACTATAACTATGCCGAGCAATTTTGAAAAATGCAGAAAGTGAATTTTTAATTTTTTTCTTCAAAAAGATACCTTTATATACTTTCAAAATGTACAGAGAAACTATAAATATTTGAGGCTGATATTTTATGTATAAATCCCTTAAAAATAATTATTAGGAAAACACAAATAAATGTTTTCAATAATCGAGTAAGAAATGAAAAACTGTTTTGTTTTGTTTATTTGTTTTTAGAGCTATAATTATTATTTATGCACTTATAAAAATTACTTAGAAGCTAAAAATATATTCGCTTCACTTTTAAAGAAAGTGTTTCATAAATTTAATAAGCAAAATTGATTTTTTTTGATGTTCACTGTATTTCTAGTGCATTTTTCTGAGTGTAGCTTAAACTGATTGACAGCTCATTTACCTAAGTACACCCAAAAATATGTTTTCTCCTCCGTGCAGGTCCATGTGCTCGGATCTGGTGTATGTCATTTTGTTCCCACAGCTGCTGATGGTGGTGCACTTTAAGAAGCACTGTAATACATATGGCAGCCTGGCGGCTTACATTGTGGCGCTCTGCATTCGTCTGTCCGGTGGCGAGGCCATATTGGGCCTGCCCGCCCTCGTCCACTATCCGGGCTACGATGTGGAGACGAATACACAACTGTTTCCCTTCCGCACAATGGCCATGCTGATAAGCCTGATCACCTTGGTGTTTGTCTCCTGGTGGACCAAGTACGTCAACTAATCACTTTAATCAATTAGCTCTGATGCGAAAATCAATTTTTCACAGAATGATGTTCGAGTCGGGTAAACTGCCGCCGAGCTATGACTATTTCCGCTGTGTGGTCAATATACCCGAGGATGTGCAGCGCGTCGGTGATCCGTCCGAGTCCGGCGAACAGCTGTCCGTGATGGCTGGTCCCCTGGCTCGGTCGTACGGTGCGGCCACAATGGCCGGCAAGGATGAGCGCAATGGTCGCATCAATCCCGCTCTCGAGTCCGACGATGATTTGCCCGTGGCCGAAGCACGACGCATGAATCAACAGACGGCACAGGCGCAGGTCCAGAAGATGCTGGATACGGCCACCGGCCAAAAGTCCGGCGGTGGTGGTGGTCAAAATCAGGCCATGGCTATGCCCACACCGGAGCAGGATAATACGGCGTTCTGAGCGGTCTCCATGCTATCGGTGAGATTAGGTTTAGGCTCACAGTCCCACAACTTGCTACGTTTTATGTTGTGCTTCTTAGATGGATATATACACTATATATGTACATACATATCTAATGTATTTATTTTCAGCATACGTTAAACACACAAGTGCTCAGGTATAAAGTGCAGAATGTTGCGTTCACAATTTATATACAATATTCATTTTGCCATAGTTTTGTGTATAGTTTCTAATAGAGAGATCTCTCGGGGAGATAACTGCTTACTCCATGTCCTGGTTACATTTCTTTTTTTTTTGTATCGCTTTGAGTAATAGAGTAAATGTAATAGAGAAATACATAAATAGTTCAATCGACACATATCAAATGTATAAATGTTATATAGGGATAACTTGAAAACGAATCGATAAACATATCAATGTCAAAACTGAATGTAACTGAAAACATATCAATTGCATTTCCCATTCCACGAGAAATGTAAATAATGTTAAAAATACAATTATGTATTAATTAAAGAGCGAAGACCTGCTCTCAAAAATATATACAACTTATATTGGGTCCTACTCAACTTTGATTGGTTTATGTCGTTTGTGTAATTGACAAATTGGCGTAGTTTGATTGAAATGCAAATATATACTAAAATACATTTCTATGAATTTGTGCTTAAGGTATAGGTGCATATAATGTGAATCATGTGTCCTTCCACAAGAAAAGAAAAAGAAAGATTTATATCAAAGCTGACTTAACGTACAGAACATAAACATATCATCTATGCAACTGAGAAAATACTATTCGACCTAAACGGGATATATAAGTAAATTGAGCGTTATATAGGCAAAAGAATTTTAGCTGCTCTCAAAGAGCAAACATACCACAAAAGTAAGAAACTAAACACATAGAAAAAAAAAGATAAAAGAGAAACTATACCTAACATATTAGAGAATGTTGCGTCATAGTACCTAATACGTATATATAATTATCATATATATATATACACAGTTATACCTATACATATATACCTATTTATATATACAAATATAGAAGGAGATACACTGAATTTAGAAAGCATATACCAAGTGAAAACCTATTTTGATTCTCTGCGGTAATATTCGATATTGGCAACCCAAATTGATTGTAAACACGCGCTGCCTCTGAAAAAACAAATCCCAAAATACAAAAAAAAAAAAAAAAAAATAGAAATAAACCTATCGAGAGAAGCTAAACATTTATTCCCAAAAACCATATTTAAATCGATTCCATAAGTATTATGTATTTTATTGAGAGATTTGCATTTGTTCGTTTCGATAATTGCCCTTGGCTCGTTTGTTAAAGTTTGTTCCCGTTGATCTGAGACATTTGATACATATATTCAAATCGATCAAATACTTAATACTTGATGTGAAAACTATTTTAAATGTAATAAGTACTTAAATGTTGACTGCTTTTTGGAATTGAGCCACATATGTTTGCTCGAACAAAATAACGTTTTTTAAACCTTTATATAAGCGAATTGTAAGCGAAAAGTAATTCAAAGATTTGACACATCAAAGAGTCCACATTAAGCATACTCAACTCAATATACATACGTACATAAAGATATACATATATTTACTTATATCTGTTCTTGCTGTTGTTACTTACTGTTAATTGTTACATTTGTCTCTGGTTTTTAAGTTTTCTATCAAATCTGAATGTATATCTGTCTATCTTTCGCTCACAGATATATATATATATATATATATTGTATATGTTTTTTGTTATTGTTTTGGAAAACTATCTTTAGCAATTGTTAATGGAAGTTTGCAACTTCAAGTGTTGATTTCCTTTTTGTTGTTTTTATTGTGCAGCAACGCGAACTGTATATAACAAAAGAAAAGAAGACAGAAACTTTATTGAATTGTTTAAGCAACTTACTAACAAACAAAACCACCAACTATTTTATGTATTACAATTACTGCTGGATGAGCATCGAACGAACTACTAAAGTACTCCAAATAGACAAAAAAAAACTAAAAACAAAAAAAAATATTTAGAAATCATGCGATGTTAAATAGTTGATTGGGTTAAAACTTGGGGTTATACTTTCGTTCACCTATTGTTGTCTAATCAATTGATGTATACATATTACTTATTAGCGGCATTATTACAAACTATGTTAATTATTAAACTGAGGCGAGATTACGATATACAATATATATGAATAAATTATACCAAAAAACAAACGAAAATACATATCAATGTTTAAAGCATAGCAAAATAATAAAAAAAAAAAACGAGAGAAGAAAAAAAAAGTATTTAATAAATAACAAATATATATATATTAAAATGGTTTCTCTGTTGATGCAAATTACGTGTAATTATTTATTATATTTCGCAAGTGGAGTGTATTTATTTATTTGGACACATACACAACTCTATTTACGGCTTGTGTAACAGCAGCAAACATTACAACAAACAACAGCAAACAATGGTTGCTCTATTATCGTAAGCGGAAATTTCCCATCATAAAAATGCAGTTTCCAAGAGGGGAAGTGAAGAGCTGGCCCATCCAAAGTTAAAGAGCAAATGGCAATTGAAGTAGCCAAAAAAAAAAAAAACAAACAATGCAATAGCAGAAGATAACAACAAGATCAGATCATCTCGTCTTGTGGTTAGTTATAGTAGCGATACTTATGGGAAACACTGTCAAATTAATTTTGTGGTAATGCGCCAAAGTCAAGATTCATTATGCTGCATTTGTAATTGGGCAATTAACTTGTTTTCTTAATTAGCCACAAGTCGTCTAAGGCATCCCATCACAAGTTCATATCTGACGTCGCACAAGAATTGCCCTCTAATTGATGTTGTCTGTTGTTATTGCTGCTGTTGTGGATGTTGCTGTCGTGTATATTGCTGCTGCTGCTGCTGCTGCTGCGACTGCTGTTGTTACTGGCATCTGAATATCCGGTATTTTTACGGAAATTTGCATAGCAAAATGGCAAAGCTGTTTTGGATTTGGATTTGCCTTCAACTGTCAATTAACCAACGTCATTTCATGAACTTCAATGTCTACAAAGTGAGTGGAACTCATTGCGAGATCTCACTTTAGAAGGGAATCTGTTTTTTTTTTTTTTAGAAATAATTTTTTCATCATCTTTATTAAACAATTCATAAGTATTAATGTCTAACGCATATTACAACTAACATTCAATGGGTCGTAAAGCGGGGTCGAAATTTTGTCAATATGGGAATAATTTACAGTTTTTGCTTTGTTGCTTTTTTTTTATGGGTTTTCTTGTTTTTTTTTGTTTTTCGAGAGCAGCTGATGATATGGGATGAAGCGAAACTGAGTGGGATGAGGATACGAGTATTGTAAGGCACTTGAGCGAATCTGGGCTCACTTGCTCACTATTTGCGGTAAGTGTAGCCACCATTGGAGCTGTAGCCCTGCTGAATGGTCTCTGGCACTTGGCTGGGCGCCGAGTACGAGTATCCAGAGTCTTGAGAGGGTGCTCCATACGATGAGGAAGGTTCACTAGGAGCACCATAGCTGCTCGACGGTGCGGCCGGTGCACTATAGGAGGATAAGGGGCCAGTGGAGAAACCACCGCCGCTGGAGGATGACGATGAGGCTGATGACGAAGCGAACGAGGATCCGAAAGAAGAGCCACCATGAGAACTGAAGCTACCGGATGAATGGGAGCTGGACGGTGCACCATATGAGCTAGATGGGGGAGCTGCTGGATAAGGTCCACCGCTACTGCCTCCTCCACTAGGTGCTGAGTAGGAGCTGGATGGCGGTGCTCCATATGAGCTGGACGGAGCTGCTGGAGCTGGGGCAGAATAAGAGCTGGAAGGTCCTGTGCTTGGAGCGCCATATGAGCTTGAAGGAGCCGATGGATAAGGTCCACCACTGCTTGATCCATGGCTTGGTGCGGAGTAGGAGCTTGATGGACCAGAGCTGGGCGCGCCGTACGAGCTTGAAGGAGCTGCTGGATAGGGTCCACCACTGCTTGATCCGTGGCTTGGTGCAGAGTAGGAGCTCGATGGCCCAGAGCTGGGCGCGCCGTACGAGCTTGAAGGAGCTGCTGGATAGGGTCCACCACTGTTTGATCCATGGCTTGGCGCCGAGTAGGAGCTTGAAGGTGCTGGTGCACTTGGTGCACCATATGAGCTGGAGGGAGCAGCGGGGTAAGGTCCGCCACTGCTGGCTCCGAGACTTGGTGCCGAATAGGAGCTGGAGGGTCCTGAGCTTGGAGCGCCATATGAACTAGATGGAGCCGATGGGTAAGGTCCACCGCTGCTTGATCCATGGCTTGGTGCGGAGTAGGAGCTCGATGGACCAGAGCTGGGCGCGCCGTACGAGCTTGAAGGAGCTGCTGGGTAGGGTCCACCGCTGCTGGCTCCGGGACTGGGTGCAGAGTAAGAGCTGGAGGGTTTGGAGATTGGTGCGCCATATGAGCTCGAGGGAGCAGCTGGATAAGGTCCACCGCTGCTTGATCCATGGCTTGGTGCGGAGTAGGAGCTTGAAGGTGCTGGTGCACTTGGTGCACCATATGAGCTGGAGGGTGCAGCGGGGTAAGGTCCGCCACTGCTGGCTTCGTGACTTGGTGCGGAGTAAGAGCTGGACGGGCCTGTACTTGGAGCACCATAAGAACTGGACGGAGCGGCTGGGTAGGGTCCACCGCTGCTTGCGCCTGGGCTGGGAGCCGAGTAGGAGCTAGAGGGCGCCCGCTTCGGTGCACCATACGAACTAGATGGTGCTGCTGGATAGGGTCCACCACTGTTTGATCCATGGCTTGGTGCGGAGTAGGAGCTGGATGGAGCAGAGCTGGGCGCACCGTACGAGCTTGAAGGAGCTGCAGGGTAGGGTCCACCGCTGCTGGCTCCGGGACTGGGTGCAGAGTAAGAGCTGGAGGGTTTGGAGATTGGTGCGCCATATGAGCTCGAGGGAGCGGCTGGATAAGGTCCACCGCTGCTTGATCCCTTGCTGGGTGCGCCATAAGAGCTTGAAGGAGCTGCTGGATAAGATCCACCGCTATTTGCGCTTGGGCTTGGTGCGGAATACGATGAGGATGGCGAACTGAACGATGGGTGAGTGGAGAAGCTGCTGCTGCTAGAGCTGGAACCGCCACTTGGAGCTCCATACTTGGAGGAGGGAGGCGATATTGGGTGGAAAGAGCTAGAGCCCGACGAGGGAGCACCGTATGAAGAAGAGGGCGCTGATGGGGCACCTGGTCCCGATGTGTAGCCACTGCTGCCGAGCACCTGCGTCTTTGAGGGAGCGCCATAGTTGGTGGATGGTGCTGATGGCAATGGGACGAAGCTGTTCACGCTGGGCGCCCCATAGCTGGAGGATGGACGAGATGGTGCGCCATAGCTGCTCGATGGCGATTTGGGTGGACCATACTTGCTGGATGGTGGTGCAGGTGGTGCTGGAGCACCGTAGCTAGATGAAGGTGCAGAGGATTTCGGTGGACCATAACTGGATGAGGGACGACGTGATGAGTGATGTTTCCGGGGTGGTGGTGGTCCATACGACTGGCTGGGACGACTCGGTGGTGCACCATAGCTCGAGGATGGCGCTGGAGCTGGGCGCGACGGTGGTCCGTATGAGCTGGAGGGCTTGTGATGATTCGACGCTGGATACGGACCACCCGAAGAAGCACCGGGTGCCGAGTAGCTGCTGGACGGAGCTGGTCGCGAATTGAACGATGGCGCCGGACCCGAAGCGGGTGGCAAATAGGAGCTGGGTGGTGGTGCGCCGTACTTGGACGATGGTCGGCTGCCCGAAGACGGTGGCAGATACGCATTGTTCAGTGGCGCCTCACGCTTAGCGGCAGCCACATCGGGTGGCGAGACAACGACGATGAAGACAGCGGCAACAACACCGAAAAGCTACAGATACAAGTTGCGTGTGTGCCACACACAAAAAGAAAAAAACAAAAAAATCAGATAAACAAGGAAATTAGTTTTCTATGCCGATCCGGATAATGTGTTGTGGCCATTACAACGAATACGACAAAGACAACGACTACGACTACGACTGCAACTCAGACTTACCACTGCGTACGACGAGCTCATCTTGCCGCGGTGCGTTTCACTAGCAAATTGGCCAAGCTATCGAAAAAGAGAGAAAGAGAGCAAAAGAAGGTAAGTCCAAATACAAAAGAAGAAATAAATTACGCTAATGTTGCATAAGTTTTTTTTTTGTGATGCTCATCATGTGGCTATGACCGACAAATGAGTGGACAGCTATGGATTCGACCCTCAATCGCCGGCCACCAAAAACGCTCATCAATCTCCAAGCAGTCAGCCAGTCAGCCAAAGCCAGCACTCGTATCAATGCCAAGAACTCTGCCAATATATACCCAACTCGCGCCCAGCCGTTGGACCGTATCGCCGAGTTTTCAAATTTAGTTTGAGCTCTGAGCATATTTGAATAAATTATGCTGGGACCCAAAACAAAATCGCAGAATGAAGTGAAACTTTTCGGTTTTGCCCAGCCAGCAATTGAATCAAAAGCCTAAGCCGATGGCTTTTATTCATCCTCAGTCTTTGGCTGAGATTTTATCAAATCATATAAACTCGTACAGCTGCAACAACCCTATCATAGTGCTACATCCCTCTTGGTGTTGCCACAACGCTTGCCGCACACATTTTCCTCTAGTTTGCCGTTTGCCAATTATTGCCTTGTTTTGTTAGTTGCACTCTTCTTTTGGCCTGTGCCATTTTTTTTTCACTTTCGATTGTTGCTACTCTTGCGTGTTTTGTTGTCGTCTTTATTGCAAAAAATTTAAAAAAAATAAACAAAATAAAAAGCAAAAACCCAAAACCTAAACACCAAATTGTAATTATTTTCCATTTTTAGCTCACTTAAGTGCTGACAGTTTTGACCCGCTCATTGTGGTAACAACATATTTTGTCTTTTTGTTCATTTTCCATTATTTTTCAGCGCTTATGTGCGGTGCGTAAGCATTTCTAATTGGCCATTGACTGCCGGATTGTGTAAGACGGGCCAACATAAATTGGAAATTAACCAAGACAAGACTTAAAACTCCTTCAACAAGGGAGGATGGGTATATTTAAATATTTGCGGTTTGCGCAAAAAGTTTTTAAGCCATAAATACACCCTTTGCAGATAAACTTGTATTTTTGTATGCAAATCCAAAATGCCGATAAACTTGATGTTTAAGTATGAACTTAAATATAGATGTTAATCTCTGTGGATTATGGGTTAACACTTGACAAAAGCTCGAACGGCAAAACACTTGTAAACACAACAGCAACAACGCAAATTTAAACGGTTATCCTTAGTGCAACACACACACACACAACAAACACAAACTAACCGTTCAAAGGCAACAGCAATTGTGTGTGATGATGTGCAAATGGGTGATTGGTTTTTTGTTTCTTTTGTTTTTTGTGTGTTTTGTTTTTTTTTTTGCTGAAGATGATATGCTGCTCAGCCGAAAGTCGAATGCAAACTACTCTGTTGTGTGTCGCGGAGCATGCACTTTTATACGAATGCCGGGCGCTGGTATCCCAGCCAAGCTGAACGAACAACATAACTGGGCAAAGGCAAAAGCCAGCCTCGCAGCAGGCGGCGCAGTCGGCGTCGAAGCCAAATAGTAAAGCTTCCAACATGTTTTCAAATTCGGTATTTTATGTAACGTCAAATGCACTCTTCAACCACAACAATAACAGCAATAACAGTAACAACAACAACAATAACATCAATAGCTGTGGCGCTTGCACGACTGCGCAGTCGAAGTCGACGTTGACGTTGACGTCAACACAAAGCGGCCACTGAAGCTTTTGCGGTTGTTGTTTTGTTATTGTTTTTTTTGTTTTTTGTTTTTTTGCATTGATAAAACGATTGTACACAAACTTGACTCACCACCACTAGTTCGGTGTGTGTGTGTGTGTGGGGCAAGTTCAGTGGCGGCATCAATCATAACTGAACGCAATAGCTAACGGCAAGCGTTGTATAATTGTGCGTATACTTAATGTGCATAGCGCATACGCCTTAGGCTGCTGCTGCCGGAATAATCGCATTTAAATGATCATAAACCATGATCTCTATTCACATTTATGCAAAACTCTTCAAGGTTGCAGGATGTGCGACGCATAGTAATAATTAGTCTTTTGCTGTTGTCAATTATTTATTATTTTGTTTCAAAATTTAGTAAACAGTTGGGGGCATCTCGGGTTTCTTCCAGATGTAACTGGCCCATGGGATGCACTCCTTGAGGAGATGCATGTAGGCTAATCCCTTGGGGCAGTCGACCTCGGTGGCTGGGGTGCCCAGTGTCTCGCAATGCCAGTACTTGGCCGGATCGAAGTGATGGGGATAGGTCTGTCCAATCTCAGACTCATCCTTGCAGGCCGAGCGACCAGCGTCAGCATTGACAAAAACAACAATAGCAGCCAAAACGGCGAACAGAGCAAAGGCTGCAAGCAATCATGATTTGTCAGTTTATATTGAGTATATATATTTAAAAAAAAAAATCCTGTTTTAATACCCACCGGTCTTCATTGTGAGCTGTGAAAGTTTCTATCAAGTGTGCTCTCTCCAGTGCAGAAACGATTCTTATATAGTTCCGATTCTTCTCGGGGACACGCGCATGGTTACAAGCAATATAATAAAAGAAAAAACAAGTATGAAAACACAATTGGAAACCATCGCATCTGTTGATTACTATCTGAGAGCAAAATGCGATTGATAAGAAAGAAAGGAACCCCCAACAATAAAGAGAGGCAAGAGGAGAGTTGGGTGTGGTGCTATATCAATTTAGTTACTCAACTAATTAGTGTATTTTTCTTTTGTTCTTTCTTTTGATAAAGCAGCATATAAAAATAGAAATAGATACAGCAACTAATTAAATTAATTGAAGTTCTTGAAATTGATTTATTTATTAAGATCTTGGATCACCATCAGATATGTATTCAGTATGTGTGCCAATTTATATTCGTTATTTCATATTCTACATCATGTTTCTTCGTTATTGTTGGCCTCTCTTTTGTTTGCACAGAGTTATGAATATTGATTAATGAGCCATTTGATGTGACAGCTGTGGAATTTGCATAGCGTCTGGTTTCACAAAGTCTAACCGAAGATAAACGAAATTAGACAATGGAAGGTTATCCATATAATTATAATCATGCTGTAATGTGAATGCATTTAAATTGCAAAATAAACATCGACGCATATTTGTTGTTATCAAATTGATTTCTCGATTTTTGCCAAATTACACTTATAAATAAAAGTGTGTGTGTGTGTGTGTGTGTGTTTATGTTACAACTTATGTTAACTGTTTGTCTCTTTGTGTGTGGCTTTTATTGTTGATGACCCCCTAAAGCGTTTCGTGTGGCAGTGGCAAAGCAAACACTTGACCAACATAAATGCTTAAGTGTGCATGCAAAAAATATCACGAAATCACTGAAAACGACAACAACAACAACAACAACAGCAACAAAAGTAGCACAAAAAACCCACACTGTTAACAGTTGATGAAAACAAAAAAGGCCAAAATCTATTACAAAATGCTTAAATAGTAATTACAGTTTCCGCATTGAACTAGTCGTTACAGGGGGAGGGGGAGGCTTTGCGTTGGTGAAGGGGGAAAGGGAAGGGGGCCGGTGTCGCCAAGCGGCAGGTGCCTTTGGTTGCTCAGCTTAATGATGCTCCTAGGCACCCAGACAGAAAGAGAGAGAGAGGGAAAGGGTAAGAGTGAGAGTGAGAGTGAGAGAGAGTGAGAGAGAAAACATAAAAGTGAGTTCAAAACGGCGACAATGACTTGCCCCCTGGGGGCATTTAATTGGGCTCGTATGTAGTATTTCGGTTAAGTCGCTGGAGACTCTCCATATTAAATGCTTCGACTGAATTTTGAGCATTTCGTTAAAGACGATGACGAAGACGAATTGGTGCCACAGCTTGGGAGCAGTCAGCTCATTATCGATTAAGTGGCCACGCTTTGAGTAAATCCAATTATTGGGTCTTAGGTAAATGCGCCGACCCACAGATTGCACAAGTCCCCAAAAGTGTCTCACATCTGTATCTGCATCTGTATCTGTATCTGTATCTGTATGTGGCTGACGTGCGCCCATTGACGCGTTTCTATCATTTTGATGAGCTCTAAAAATAGTCGAAAGGCAACTAACTAATTTGTACAAAGTGCTTTTACTTGTGGAGCATTTAATTTTGGCAAAGAAATTATCAAATTAAAAAACTGATAAGAACCCAGCCCAGAGCATACAGGAACAGAGAGTGTGGCACAGCGAACACTATAAATATGCTGTCAAAATGCCAATAATTGCAACATTTCCATTCAGTCACTCAACGAAATGCATCTGGGTTAGTGGGAGTCACTTTTAAAACATATATATATATACATATATGTATTTTATTCTGACATTTTCCAATTTTTTGTAGCAACGATCTTCAGCTTCCTGCTCTTGGGCATCTTTGTGACCCTCGCATCGGCCTATAACGGCCAGGATATCTATGCGGAACCGAACTGTGACATCGTTCAGGATCATGCTCGCAAGTTCCGTGACATCTCCGATCCCACCCACTACTGGGTGTGCCCCGAGGGACAGGAGAAGGCCGACTATATTCAGTGCCCCGATAACTATGCCTTCATGGAGCCACAGCAGGAGTGCGTTGTCTGGGAGGAGTGGAAGTGGCTTGAGCCATACACTAAATAAACCATGTCTACGACGAAACTTCGATGTTTAACGTAAACAGAGACCAGCATAAAAAAAAACCAAAATATTTATAACCTGTCGTTTTATATTACTTATCCTTCATTTCGCTCTGTTTGTCAATTAGCTCAACCAAGTTTTGATTGGATTTTATGGATTCTGTGTGCGTTTGAGATTGTCCTCTGCTGCGTGGTGTTATCGATTTGATGTCAAATAAATTACTTAATTAAATGCTCAAACTTTGGCATGCGTTGCGTGCCACATAATCTCCTTAAAACCACACCTGCTTAGCGGTGTCACAAGGGATAACCAAAATCGTTGTAACAATCAATTTTCATTTATTGTTACAATCTTCCGGGTTGGAGGGGGGAAATGATTTTGATTGTGCAGAGTATGCGAATTCATGCCAATCATTCAAATCATAAAAAGCCTGTCAATACTTAATGCGATAACTGCAATTAAATCCAACTGATATTATTTTGCTTTGTGCATTACAATTGAGACTTCCTTCCTTTTCTTTTTTTGTTTATTTTGTTTTGTCAAACAATTTAAAAATATATATATTTTTTCAATTAAGTATATTATACAATAATGTTTTGTTGAACAATTTAAAAATATATATATTTTTTCAATTAAGTTAAGAGTTAAATTACTAGCTACAAAGGCCAACGTCTCCATGGTTATTCAATATGTTTAGCTAAAGACTAGATTTGTTTCTAACAAAGATATTTAATTTCAAAATTGTTTCTTAATAATGGCTTATTTTATCTTCAATAAAAAAAAACACGTTTATTATGTTTGTCATGTTGGTTGCCCAAAATTGCTCTCTTTGCAACTTTATTTGCTACGTTTCCGAGAAAATATTTATTAAATTCAACTGATTAGAATTCAACTCACATAACTTTGGCAATGTTGACCCGATAACCATGTGAACTACTTCTTTTTCTTTAAGCTTTGGCTTTTGTGTAAAACGAACATTTATTTATTTGTTAATATTTATTTGTCATAAATCGACGAGTTATGTCAATGGCCATGCGAACATCATTGGTGGTGTTCGTGTTTGGCTACGCTGTCTGATATATGAGGCATGTGCATATATACATATATATTGTATGAGTACGAGTATTTCTGATAAAATATAATTAAGCAGTGCGTGTCTATTGCGCTTGTAATGTTATCTAACACCTTCGATTGCCAATCAAAACTGTTGCCGACAACACGGCTGCTGCTGCTGCTGCTGCTGCCGCTGCCGCTGCTGCTGCTGTTGCTGCTGCTGATGGTGCCGCTGTTGCCGCTGTTGCTGTTGCTACTACAATCAATCACGTTGGATGGCTATAGCAGATATATTCATTTAAAGAGGGAACGAGAGTCGGGCTCACACACGCTGAGATGATGACAAACGCTGCTCCAATTTGTGGGGGGCTTAACAAAATATAAATTGTTCATTTCAGTTTCAGTTTGTGTGTGTGTGTGTGTGTTTGTTTTTTATTACTTTTATTTTTGTTTTCCTTTTAACAAGTAAAAGTCGTAAATATCAAACAAAACGAAGGCCCCAATAAAGTTGCGGGCTCGCATTAAAAGTGAAAAGTACTTCAATATATTTATGTTAGAAATCATTGCCGCAATGCAAACAAGCTGAGCGACCAGCGACTCCATCTCGCTGATGGTGCCGCTGGTGCTGCACTCAAGTGGTGCTCTCATCATTTTTTTTTTTAGGTGCCGATGGCCCACAGTATGGTAGAGTGAAGTGTTCATCAATGGCATCATATAATGAATTTTACTGATGTTTGCTTTATGCTTTACCACACAATTCACAGCAACAGCTGAAAGGTTGGCTTAACTTTGCCCCAATTAGTGGCTTGAGCTGCTTGCTGCTTGCTGCTCTTTAACCTGAAGAAAGTTTCAATGGCCTTGACAAGGCCCATCAAACTAACTACCTGGTTGCTGCATCTAGCATCTAAACAGTTGAGATATCAGCTACGTCTTCAGTTGCAGCCTCAGCCATGACAATGACAATAGGATTCATTTGGTAATAAATGATCCCAGCGACTATTTTGAATGCCGCTGCGTGGGTTTCGCATCACCTGCTGCCCGCCTCTGGCTCACATTTCTGGGTTAAGTTGCCGCATAGGCAAAAACAAAATGAACAACAAAATCTTTCGCAATTAGACGACTCATAATTGTTAACATTATATGTTGACGGCTACTTGTTTCAATAATACTTCGGCGTGATTGTGCAAATGCCACAAATTATGAACAATTGCACTGAGTTGAGGAGCAGCTGCAACATTTAATCCACTTTAATGTACCCATATCATTACAAGCTTAAAAGCCGAATCGTGATTCGTTTCCTCTTCCAAATGATTTATAAATGATTTGCTTGCAATAAACAATTTTCAGAATGTGTCAATATATTTAAGTGGCCAAAAGATTATTTGCCGACTCATATTTCATTGGCTCAGCATTTCTTTGGGCAGTAAGGTTAACGAAGTGGATACAAGTGGATGATGTTAACTTTATTAATATTCCGAATATAAGTTATTTTATCAATTGTAATTATTAAAGTCAATTTATCTTTGTTAATGGGAAATGGGTACAATTTCTTTTGATTGATGCCTGCACTGATAAGATTTGTTTGCTTATTTCTCTTTGTAAAATTCGACACATGAAAATACTTACAAGCATGCATACTAATACACAGAGTGGGGCTGCCTGGCCGTGAGTTGAATGACAAATTGACATGTCGCAAAAATGATAAATCTACCGGCAGACAGGTGGTCTGACAGATAACCGCGACAGTGGCAAAAGCAAAGTCCAAATGACCTTTCATCAATGTGACAAATAAATGCAAAGCTCCAAACTGGGCCCTAAGGTGATCTAGATAATAAGCACTCAGCTAGCGAGCATGAAGTTAGCATAGGTCGAAGTTCATGCTGTGGCATACAGCCAAACTTCAAAGTCTTTTTATTTATTTTATTTATTTTTTTTGTTTCACCCAAAACCTCCCATACTTTATTTCAATTCAAGTCCGTTGCTGACGTCATCATGCTAAACAGCTTTCCTCCCACACCGATTAGCATCATATCTGACATCAACTTAGCTGAGAGAAAAAAAAGAAACTTTTGTAAATAATTTATTTTTCATTACACATCAATAATTCAAAATGCTGCAAATGCGCAATTTACATGGATTATATCCGAATTGTATTCAATGTCAACCCTCATTAACAGCTATCAATCGTCGCAGCTCTTCGTGCATTAATTAATACATGAATCAGTGATAAATATACCTGAATTGGCAGCTTTGAAATTAATTTTCAATTTTACTCATAATGTGCACTAGAATTCATTCAATATTATTATTCAAATATTTATTAGAATATGAATATTTTTATTCCTGATCAAATCGTCTGTCAAACTTTTCATCGCTTTCGAATCAAATTGAAATTGCATTTAAATCAGACATAAATATGCACAGCATAAGAAAAGTAAAGAAAAAACATTGGAAAATATTTGTGAATAACGGTTAGGCATTTTTAAGACCCCTGCAAGAAGCTTTCACCACAGAATGCCCCTCTTCAAACAGCTGATGAAGAGCTGGAAAGCGCAGATGACTTGTAGCAGACTGGAAGCCCAATGGCATATCCTATCCTACTGGAAGCCGCCGATTCATTCTGACAGGCCAACAATTAGTGAAAAGGCAGCTCCGCCTACTCGGACTCTCTCTACGTGTGTGTGTGTGTGTGTGTGTGTGTGTGTGTGTGATGTGTGTGTATATGTCTAAGTGTTTGTGACAAGGCCACACCCACGCGGCCATGTTTGAATGAAATGACAGGCTGCGTCGTCGGAGGCGCCACCAGCAGCAGCTGAAACGAGAAAGTTGCTCACCATCCCAAAAAGGAAGCCAAAGCGAGAGAGAGAGAGAGAGCGAGAGAGCGCCCCAAATGGCCCATTGGAACAAAGTGGCAAATGGAACATGTAACGGTTTTGACAAACACACAAATTCTACACAGCAACATGAACATGAACCCAGTATTGAGAATTTAGGTTACACATTTTCAGAGGGCAGCTCAACTCGAAGTGTTGTTGTTGTTGTTGCCAACTTAAGTAAGGTCATCGAAATGTCAAAAGTTGCATTTTTCGATTTGACAGCGTCACAGACACACACACACACAAACATATATATATACATACATTTAAATGCATACGCATGCATGCAAGTAAATACATACGAACAGTTAAGCAAAATTAATGTTATCAAGTGTTGACATTGTTTTTGTACACACACATATATATATATACACACACACACGCACATACACACAGATATACAAACACACACATGCGCATGTATTTATGTGTGGGTAGTTGGCAACGACAAATCGCAATTAATTTGCTGACTCTCTGTCTGCGTCACCGACATCGTCGTCGCCATGACGAAAAAAAAACTTGTCCGAAAACTTATTGATCGCACTGTTCTTTTTATAAACGACCTCTCCTGCTCGCTCCCGTTACGATTTATGGGCCAGCGACGGCCACTTTTCGGCTCCTTTTGCGCCCCTTGTCCCAATATGCTTCAACACTTTCGGCGGCCATTTTGGCGTCGATGCTCCCGTGGGCGCCTTCAAATTCCACCACTCATGTGACACACACACACACACACACACATACACCATAGCACACACATAGAAATGGGAATCTCTCAATAAATATATTTTTTTGTTCCTTTTCCTGCTTTGATTCTAGTTTCAATGCGTCTCCCTTACTCGCATTTGGCTAACGTTTTCTCTCACTCAACCGTCTCGTTCTCTTTCGCACGCTCGGCATTTTGCTGGCTGGTTGGCGAAACGTCAACACTAATTTATTTATTTTCATTTTATTGATATTATTCTGTTTGCGCAGATTCCATTATATTAGTACTTAGATTCCTATTCCCAGTAATTTCAACACTTTATGCATTATTTTGCGCTCCTCGACATTTAAGTGTTGTAAAATTCAATTAAGTATGCAATTTCTTTTTGAAAGGTCGCTGAAACAATTTTCTTGTTGTGACTCCCCCGGCAAGATGAAAATATTCCGAGCATCGTCCACATTCCATAATAATTTATAATAATAATAAAAAAATTACATTTTTAATCTTTTCCCCTCGCAGCACTCGATAGGATTTCATGCTTTGATGTTTGTACTTGATTAAAGTCAAATTGTTGTTCTCAATGTAAGATTTGTATTCGTTCTTTTAAGACTTCATTCTTAATACTACGTCAATTTGTGTCTTCAACTTGAATTTAATCAGTGTCAAATTTATTTGATTTTTTTCAATGATTTTTTTGATTTCCAGTTACCAAAGTGTTTAAAGACAACAACAAAACGCACCTCAAGCGCCTCGTATTTTGTTTTTGCGTTTTTACTGTTTGCTTATCTGTGTTTTTGTAGACTTCTCTCTTTCCCGCGCTCACAAGTAATAATTTTCATGTTGTTTTGGCAGCGGTTTGTTTACAGTCACATTTCTTGATGGCGTTGTTCTTTTGTTCAACGTTGTTGTTGTTGTTGTTATTGTTGTGTGAAATTACAAACCAGCTTTGCCTAACGTCTACTAACTCATTTTCTGGTCAAAGGTTACGAACTGATCTTGACAGTTTTGCAAGCCGGGTGTCAAGTAAATTTATTATTCCTTAATTGTGGTAAATGTAAATTAATGTCTTCTCTTAGGCGAATGCCCCATTTTTATACCCTTAACTCATTAAAAATGCGTAAAAAGGGTAAAATGGTCTTGTGCTCAAATGTAACTGACAGAAGTTAGCATCTCGGACTCTATAAAGCATATATTCTTGATCAGATCAAATCATATAGCCTCAAGTATAACTTGAAGTATACTTCAAGCCAATTTGATCTAATTTTATGGATAACTATCGATTTTCAATATAATAGCCAATTGATATATAATAGAACTTGGCATATTAATGATCAACTTCATGAATTTCATCAAGATCGGATACGAAACACCCAAGATATAGTCCAAAACGTAATCTAATAGTTTATATGAATTGAGCTCGGGCTTATAAATAAAAACATTCGTTTCCTCAGATAAATTTTTTAACATTCAGTACCATAAGCAATGAGAGGTCTTCCACATCAACTTACATTTGAGTCAGCAAAGCCTTTTAATATATAATAATAATATTATTATTAATATATTTAATTGAGAATTCAGAGTATTTCGTAGTCGAGCTCACTTGACTATAGCATTCTTAGTTGTCAAATATTTATTTGCTTCATGGCAACTCACTGAATCATATTGCAGGTGTAGATGATTTGGGCATTCTTTTAGGAGGCAAGCTCAAGTTTGACATACAAATTTTGGTATGCCCTGTAATAATATATTATTAGTTAATATTCGGTGTCTTGGGCTTCATTAGGCGCTGCTCGAAAGCATTTGATGATACCTAATTAAGTAAAACACTTTATATTTCACTAGTGCCTCCTATTCTTGTGCACATACCCCTTCGATGTTTTAAGTGGCATACTAATAATGGCTTATCTATTTACCGTATTAGACCTTTACTAATAAATTTTCTTGTAATACGAACAATGCTATCCATAATCCGAAAATAAACGGTAATGTTAGTTGACCTTTGGCTTGTATAGCTTTAATCAAGTTATTGTAATTCAATATACTCTCCGCTTTCAAGGCTTAATGCAGACCACGTATCCCTCGCATTTCTCTTTTTTTGCGAAATCCAATTTCCCATCGCAAATTGTTGCTGCTCCTCAAACCTTGCCGCCATTCCCCTCGAATGCTAACTGGTCACAGCTCGTGTTACTATTGCGTAATCTTTAAATGGCTGCGGCAGGTGCCACAGACACTGACAGCATCAACGTTGACGTACCAATGAAAGATCACAAAGTGCCACAAAGTGTGCAACATGACAGCCTTCCAACTGAACATAAATAGAAACGGGGACACAAAATATGTAGTAGCAATATTCTGTACACTTTGATTGGAATTCAGCATGAATGAAATATGACCAGGAAAATGCAGAAATTGTTTTTAGTTTAATAGGAATAAATACAGTATTAGCCTTGCTCTTAAATATAAATAGTTTACAGTTTTAGTTTTCCATAAATCATATCTAATATTATTTACAAATACTTTTAAGCAAAAACTTTTCTATGTTTAAGTAACATTTTTTACAAAGTCCAAAATAATTATAGATTCTACAAAACACTTCCTATTCTGAAATGGAGGAATTTCAAATTCTAGATTTTAGAAATGAATGTACTTTTTATACACCAACCTGGCATTTGTATTTCCATTTATTTCATTTCTGAATTGTAGATTGTGTAATTTAAATGTGACAGTCATGATTTATAAAAAAATCAAAGTTTTACTTTTCAGATTAACAAAAAAAACTTTTATTTTGATTATGTAGGTCTTATTAAGTGTCTGTCATTTTCTGGGATTCACGTCAACCCATTGAAATTCAGTTGCCAAACATTTTTTGCTGGTGCCATCAAATGCTGCACGGTGGGCGGTGTCTCAAACCAGGCAGGGGATGGGGGCAACGACGCGTCGTCGGCAACCCGCTGTCTATCCAGCTGTCAATATCAGGAGACGGGCAGCACAGGATCAACATCCACGTCAACATTAACACATCAAGCTTTTATGCCAACAGCATTGCAAATATTTTATGGAAATTCTAATTTAAACCATCTTTGGTTTTATGTTCTGTCTGCGAACAGCGTTCGGAGCAATCCAATTAAGCCAGTAATTCACTATCTCTCTCTATCTCTCTCTCTCTCTCTATATTGCTCTCTCTTTTTAAGCGTCTGATGTGCTTTGATGTGTTTTCGAACTACGGTTAGTTTAAATTTGTAAACCCAACGCAGCCCGGGTAGATATCGTATGTGGTCATTAGACAAACACACCAGTATACACATGCATACACACACACACACACACACACACACACACATACACATATATATGTATGTATGTGGGTGTGAGTATATATCAAAAGTATAAAAATCGATAGATTGTAGGCATAACGAGGAGGCGAAGGCGGTTTTTACCTTGGCCACATCAACTCAGTCCCAAGGCCCAAGGCAGAGGCACAGCGTGATATTTTACAAGTGTTGCTTTTGTTGTTGTCATCGTTGTTGCCGTTGTTGCTGTTGTTGCTGTTGTTGTTTGTATTACCGGTGGTGGTTGTGGGCTGTGGTGTGGGATTGCACTTCATGGGGGATGGTTTGGTGGTGTCTGTTTTTACGGTTCGCTAACGTTCGAACAGATGCCCTGAACTCGTCATCTAATTACAGAAAAGGCGTACTTGCCTCTTAACAGTTATATATCCTGGCCTGAAAGCCCTTTAGCTAGCTTCATTGCTAGTGATTTTCAACTCGTTAAGGTACATTTGTTATATATGTATATTCAATATATGAATAATGCAATAATTTGAATAATTATATCTGGCAACCACAGAAATTTTTGAATTTCATACTTGAATCAAGTGCATGGAAAAGTTATAGAATATTCTGTGTTAGAATAAACTAGATGCATTTATAGTTCGATTTAAGTATAGTTTCAAGCAATAAAATAATAATATCGTATGTGATTCTTTCAAAAAGAGTGTTCAAAATTCGGCTTAGTCTCGTCTTACAATTGAAGTTGTTGTTGTGGCTGCCAACTGCACGAATAAATTCATAATTGAAAATAAACATTAAGCAATGTAATGGAAATTTGAATTATATTTGCTTAATGTTCATTTGCTGATTCATGCTTCACATATATATATATATAAGTCTGTACATATATATTTATATATATAGATAAAAATTGTCGAGATATTTGAGTTCAAGAGCAACAGTCTTAAGGTTAAAGCTGATTCCTTGGGATTACGCACATTTGACAGTTTTATTGCACAGTTTTGTCAACGTTGGCTTTCTGCAAAGTGTTCTGAAATAAAGATTAATTACATCTATTTGCTCTCACAATATCATTGATTATGAAATCCCAAGTCATTTTCTGTTTGGTAATTGGTGTACAAAATCTTTAGGGATAAACAATTAGCAGTGAATTAAAAGAGAATTAAGTTTAAGTGCTGTGCAAACTGATTCGACAGGGTTGAAGAAATTCAAAGCACATTTTTAGATACACCTTGGATTGTGCTTAAAGGAAAACAGGAAGAAGAAATAAAGTATGTCAAACTGAACTCGCACAATCTTGATTCTTTGATTAGGGAAATCACAAAATAATAACAGAGAGAGAGAGAGAGAGAAAGAGAGAGAGAGAGAGAGAGAGAGAGAGAAAATGAAGTATTTCATATTGAATTGCCACAATCTTTTCTCAGTAGTCTTAAATATTAGGTATATTTTTTAGTAATTCTGTGTTTGCGTATCTAAAAATATATTTAATCTTCATCAAGCTATGCTTCTAACTTGAGAGACTTAACAAAACAAACACAGTGAGAGAAAATGAATTACTTCAGACTGAATACATTTTACATCTTGATTGAATTGTTAATGTGTTTTTAAGTATTTTTTTTATATTAAATTTGATATATATTTATATAAATATATTTCATCTTAATGGTACGCATAGCACTTGAGTTAAGGAATGTCATATAAGTTATAATTTAATGAAAACACTCTTGAAAATGTATTTGTATTTGGATGAAAATGGGTCACATGACAAATAGGGCTTACTATACTTGAGAATACTTCGTTCATGGTCAGATTCAGTGCCAAGTTAAGTTGGACCATTTAATCTCAGTGTAAGCTTGTTCTATTGTGTGCAGACTAAGAAGCTTTGCCGTTTTGTATTTATTTTAGTTGCGTGTCTTGTACACATTTCTCTGCTACGGCTGCTTTTGGCAATGCTGCGGGGCCGCCTACGCGTCTTGGCCACTGGTAAATAACCTTGTTTCCAACCACTTTCCGACAACTCAAAGTACGTTACTGCACGACTGTGACGACGACGTCGTCGTTCTATATAATTTTCTGTTTATATACGGTTATTTTATGTATTATGTGGGTGGGGTGGGGGGCGGCTATGTGCTTTATATTTAAGTCGTGGCTCAAACAACACACACGCGACATCAACTGACGCACACCTGCTGAGGCACACCTTGATTTACCTTACAGCCCCCCACCCACCGTTAGGGCGGCAGGCGTGGCAGCTGAGCCATTTCTGCTCCTTCGACATTGCTGCTTGTCGCTGCCTTCCTTATCGATCGTCTGCATTAGGTGGTTTCTCTATTTTTCTATTTTTCTATTTTCGCATTTTTACTTCATACTACCAAAAATGCTATAGGGAAATATTCGCAGTTGGACTTTGCGCACGTAATTGCTTTTACGTGGCCAAAATTTAAAGTTTTCCACTCTGATTGCTTGGCTTATGTGCTTCTTGTTATTGCTGCACTTGGTAAATACTTTAAGGTACATACAACTCTCTAAGAGCTTTGGATTCATAAATAGGATTCATAGTATATTTGAGGTAATTGTTATTTGCACAAAATGTATAAGAATATGAGAGAGATATTTAATACGCCTTACCCTTGGTTTGACTTTTACTAAAAGTTGTGGCCAATACATAAACACATATTAAATTGCTGTCGACAGAAAAGGGGTAAACTGAATTACTGAATTATTTATATTTAGATGTGTATATTTGCACAACTTGTATTACGATTGTCTTTTATTCATTGTCTAAAGGTTGTTTTACATTCAGTTGCGTAAGCATCTCGAAGTGAATATCTAATGACTTTATGACGTTTAAATAAGTGAAATTATTATTTTCAAGGACAACCACTGTCAACGCTCTTTGTGCCAATTTAACGCTGGAGATTTGTGGCAAATCAAGATACAATAGCTTTATTAAGCCGCTAAGATGGTGTGGCATTTGAGGTCGAGTTCCAAAGTTAAATCTTGATAAATTGCAAAAAGCGTCTCGCAAAGTGATAAATGACAAAGAAATTGCCAAATTTGTGCGACACTTGCTCGAGCCACCAGCAATTGAGCTGCCAAAAAATATAACAAAAGAATATGGCAAATGCTACAATAAATACCGAAAAAACAAAATATATATAAAATGCCCACATGTGGGCCTGGACAACAATCGAGAGTTCAATTGCGATTGCGATTGCCATCGAGTCATCTGCACTGCAGCCTGACTGGCGATGGCAGATATGAATCAGGACACATTGTGTGACCAGAGGACCAGAGATGATTATACACTCGTCTTGTTTGCTTGTGCAAATTAAAAGAAAAGTGTTCTGTGTGCACTTGTCAAATTCTTCCCCTATGCAAATTGATAAAGAGCAAAGGAAGGGAGATAAAAAGAAATTTAAACAAAAATAATACTATCAAATAATAAACGCACACTTGCCGAGCACCTTACATAAGAGCCCGAAAAGTATGCTACATTGCCACACAAAGGGAAAAGCACAAGCAAAACCACAAAACGGCAAATAGAAGAATGAAATTTCAAGTCAACTGCGTGGACAGGTAGAAATTGATTTTCTTTGCGTGCGGCCAACAAGCAAATGCGATCCAAAGGCAAAAACGACACAGCGCGAATAGAATTTTATTCAAATGTGCTCAACTGGGCGAGAGTAATGTGCATGGGAAAAGCGACGCTGGTGGAGAGCTGCAGAGTGGTGCACGGCGGCATGGGGGCAGGGCGGTGGGGGAGGTGGGAGAGCGAGTGTTGGCGAAAGCCAACCAATTGGCTGGCTGCCTCGTGGAGGCGCATGCGTCATAATCCTGCGCCGTGGAAAGCTTACGGCTTGATACGGGAGACTCGCGACGTGCTGCTTGGAATTCCAGGCTGAATACCGACAAAATAACGGTATACAAGCAGCGTTGGGCCAGCAGCGCCAGACAGAAGTTACCTTTGCTCCTGCCCGGACGACACAACGCACGCTGCCATTTGCTGTCGTTGTCGTTGTCTGGCCTCGGCCTCCCACACACACACAACTACACAAAAGAAAATTCTAGAAAAAAAAAACAAAAACTATCATTTCGTGGCAAAAAGAAGAGAACATTTTCGAACAAATTATTTTGCAAAGTACAAAAGTTTTCGAAACGGGCAACGGGTGCAGAGTGTCAGCGTGTACGGTGTGTTCCCTGTACGGTGTGTTCGGTGTTTGGACTGTCATGTTTTTTGGGCTCGTGTCTCGCCTCAGTTTTTACATAACTCTGCCGTCAAAGTTTGTGAAAAGCATAAAAGCAAAAGAAGTCCAATAAATCGCAATAACAACAGCAACAGCAACAGCAACAACCACAGCAACAACAACAGCCACAACAAGAGCTGGTGAAGTTTGCGCGCAACTGAGTCGCTTCAATTCGAGAGAACTACTCATCATTTAATTGCTGTTTGCATCCAAGGAACGTGGCGTCCAACGAAGGCACCAGCAGCGCCACGGGCAGTGGCGCGGAGTCGGCGGCACTGTTCTCCAAATTGCGTAGCTTCTCCATTGGCAGCGGGCCCAACTCGCCGCAGCGTGTTGTCTCCAATTTGCGCGGGTTTCTCACCCACCGCCTCAGCAATATCACACCGAGCGATACAGGTGAGCCACACACACACACACACACGCATACGTATTTGTATGTATGTTTTCCTTTCTTTTTTTTTTTTTTGCTTTTTCTATGCTGCAATTTATTTCGAGTACTTACATAACCTGACGACGTGGCCCAGGATATTCACATATAATTAAAATTAAACAACTTCTCTCATACAAACACTACAAAAGCTGCAAGTGTTTCGTCCTCATCGTTGTCCTTTGACACACACACACACACACACACATGCACACAAGGTGTGGATAGACACATTTGTTTTGTGGCACGAGCAAACATTTCGGGCTCGTCTCTCAGTGATACAAAACGGAATGGAACAGTTACAGTTGGTCTTCTAACGTGCGAGTGGCGAGAGCGTCAACGCTTCTTGTTGTTGTTCTTCTTCTAGTTCTTGTTCTTGTTCTTATGTAATGTACACAGGACACTCGAGTGGATATCTGAGAATTTTATTTGAGAATTGTATAAAAGGAGCTGACTATTTCGAGTTGGGCTTAACTGAACTTTTCTCATCTACTTCAACACAATTACATATTTACCATGTAAATATGCTCAATCAAGTTGAATTTTTTATTAATTTATATACAGAAATTTGGAATCTATTAGATTTTTATTGATTTTAAAATGTATTGTGTTTTTCAGCATAACTGCACTTTTTCCATCAACTAGTTTATTAATTTCTTAATAATTATTTTTATTTTATGACCTGAGAGCTAAAATGATTAGTTATTATCAACTCATGAATAATTAAAAAAAGATTGTCATTATATTTTTAATTATTGTCGATTTATATCAACAAATTTATCAGATCACTTTAATTTTGTTGTTAAAATTAGAATTATTATTAATTTATTAATTTATTTATTAATTTGAAAACCTCAAAGCTGCAATGATAAATTATTATATAAAGATGAGTAATTAAAAATTCACTTACATTTATGTTTTAATTTACTATCATTGTTCAATTGATCAGTTCATTTCAATTTCGTTTTTAAAAAATAATTAAAAATTTGAATCGAATATGCTACTTACAATTTATATTTACCAACTTATATTAGCTTCTTAACATTGTGTTGAGAGATGTCAGCTAATTGTTAGAGCCGAAAAGCAAAGATTTCATTATTAGGTTTGTGATGGCTAATGAAATTTTCTGCGTGGTTTTTCATTAAATCATTAAAAACGACCAGTTCTGTGGGGTGGCTAGAAATACTTCTTCGCACTAGATCAAGTTTATCAAAAAGACAGTTAACCACCTGAATAAGGAATTTTTGCTCGGTTGCTGTGCTGTGGCTGTGGCTGCTGCTGCTGCTGCATAATGAAACCAATAAATATAAATTTCCCACACAAACACAAATACAAACACAAAAACACGGGAGAAACAAGACAACGGCTGCCTCGTCATTAGATTGTTTGCCTTGTTTGCCCTTGTAGACGCGTTTGTAACGCTGATGTGTTCATAGCGGTTTCATGTCAAAACAAAAAGGGCGCTCGGCGGCCCGAAGGGGTGGCAACCAGGCCCAGGCCCAGATTCTGACGCAGAGACAAAGGCTGGCTGGCAGCCAGGCCAGGCCAGCCAGGAAGGTAGCTCGGTAATAAGCCAAACGAGAAACAAGTAACGCATTTGTCTTGATGCTGTCTGATAAAACACCCGACCGTCCCTGCTCCTGAATTTTCCGCAGAGACCGCAGAGAAACCAGCACAGTTCGAGGGTTGAACTGGGCACATTGAGCCATCATCAGCAGTAGCAGAAGCAGGAGCAGCATCAGCAGGAGCAGCATGAGTGCAAACAAGAGGGGGACGCCGAGTCCTGCGTCTGGCAGTCGACATCAAAAGTCGTAAACTCATAAAACGGGCGCTGATGGTGTTGTTGATTGGGAGGCATTTGTAGCGATACAAATGCTCACATTTTGCGCCTTGTCAGATGCTTAAAAACTGGTCTTCGTGATAGCCAAGATCTGGCCAGCAGCATTGCTATTAATCAAAAGTTCCAACTAAATTAACTACGGCATAGGAAAATGTATATATGTATATATATATATACATATATATAACATGTAGTTCTGCAAAATAGCTGTACATAAAGGTAATTTATATGTCTATGCTGGGGCAGGAAGCACTAAGCGCTGAGCTGGCCAAGTTATTTATGTGCAAATCAATTTGTAACTGAAGCTGACCAAGCATGCTGCCTGGGTTCGGTGAGAAACATGCTCATTTAATACGCCCACAGTAGCCAACGAGCTACGAGCCACGCCCATTTAATGCTTTGATTTATAGTCACACTCAGCAAAAAATAAAAATGTTGTGAAGGTTCTAGTGTACCAAAATATTTCTTTAATTACGTTTCTTGTTCTGATTAGATTTCTTAAGGGAAGACTATTTTGGGATAGGTACGATTTCTAGATAATTTTTAAAACAATAACTCAATTGCTCATAGTAAAATATTTAGTTATTTGAAGTACCAAAATACTCGGATGTTAGTTTGAAAAGAGAACTGAGGGTTTCAAATCAATTATTAAATTGTTTTACAATTTTAAAAATCCAATAACTCTTATAATGAAGAACTGAGGTTCTCAAATTTATGAAAAGTCAGGTTATCAAATAGAAACTAAGCCATTTTATACATATTTGAAACCCAAAAGCTTTCGTAATTAGTCATTTCTACTTCATTCAAGAATTTCTGTACATCTTTATGTAAAATGAACGTTCGAAAATGTTTTCGATCTTTCAAGAATACTCAACGTTTGTGCTTGAAGTGTCAAGTACAAATCGGTAGGGACTTCTTTCTAATTATATTTGAATATGAAACGGAATTTATCTTTGAGTGCAGTGTTGCTAAAGGGAACCGGCTAAAAGAGAAAATAAAATTGCCTCAACAATTGCCGCCAGCAGATTAAGTATTATGGTATTTTGTACATGTTGTTTATTTTTACGATTATAGAGCCGAGAAAAAGACACCTATTATGCCTGGTGGCTAATGGCAACAGTCCCAGACCCATCGGCTGGATCCTGAACTCTGTTGGCCTGCAGCTAAGTGGCAGTGAATCTCCTGGGACTTGATAAAAGCCATTTTATGCTTATACAAAACAATGAGAACAACAACAATAACAACAACAACAATAATCCATCTATCTAGACACATTTTGGGTGTAACTGATGCTTTGGGGATTTTGATAACTTGACTGCTCGAGGCAGTGAGGGGCTATTTAAAAACTTTAGCAATTAAAAAAAAATTTGTTTCCTGCCTTTTTAGCTTGGGTCGCGAACAAACCAATTAAGCTAACCCAATTGTAGGGAAATCGATAGGGCCGAAAGCCAAAGACAAGACAATTAAACTTGAAACAGAAACAGCAACAGAAACAGCAACAGAAAGCAGGCTGAAGAAGGCGAATGCGATGGAGGATGGCACAAAAGAAGCGCTTGACTGACAAAAGAGGGTTAAGGCCAAAGCGCACAAAGGGGCGCTGCTTAATCGATCAAGTTGGGGGAGTGGTTACTGAGCTAGCCATTGTTAGCCAGGTTAGTCAGGTGAGCTGTCCACAGTTCATTAAATGGACAGATGGACATACAGCAACTACAACAAATATTGTACACACAAATTGCTCACATATCATTAATCAATGAGTGCGCCCAAAATTAGGCAATACATTGTGAGTGACATATAGGCAACACTGAGTGCCATAAATATGCGCACGCCTCAGCAAACACAGACTCGAACAATCGAAAAAGATGAAACTTGGCAACCCTTCGACAGCCACTTGAGCAAAGCAGCTTACAACACTTGCGGAGTGCTCGACGGGTTCTTTGGTTGTTCGGGGAGATAGGTTTGTGGGGGGTTCAGGCAACATATGCACTTGTGTGTGTATGTGTGTGTGTGTATGTGTGTAGAGAATAGCACACTTGTAGGGATTTGCGACGCCTTTTGTCGACGGACGTGTGAAGCGCGGATTATCATAAATGTTATGATTGGTTTTTCTTTTCATTCATCGTATTCTAAAAAGTATTTAAATTGTTGAAAAAAGTTAAACAGTTTTTGGTTTAACTCTGCTTCTTGTATATTTAATTCTTTTTAATTAATTGTTTTTTAATTTCAATACAGTACACAACTTTTTAAAGAGGTTACAAGAAATTAATATTTAAAAATTAAAGTTAGAAATTAATAATAAGAACAATTAGCGGAGTAATCAAATTATATTTAAAAAATATATATAAAATGTTTGATTGAGCAATAAAATGTTAAACATTATTCGCACTTAGGCTTGGCAATTGTCTACTTTATGGGTATAAAAATTCAATTTGTTCTTCTACTTTTTGGAAAGATGGAATTTCATTTTATGCTGATTACCTCGTCAGACCGACAGAGAGTGACAGGCAGGCAGGCAGGCATTCAAAAGGCATTTGAAAAACCTTCCGTAACATAAATAAATAAATATAATTTCATTCTTTGCCCAAAGTCTGAGCTGGGAGAAAGGAGGAGCTTTAGCTGCCTGTGTTATTTTTTTGTTGTTGAATGGGGTAAGTGCTGCGTTGTTCCTTAGTCAACAGAAAGTAGCAAAAGTCGGCGATCATCCTGTCTATGATTCAAGGTGAAGTGGGTCGACTCAAAGGATGAGTGGCAAATTGAAGCGCAAAAGAGAGTGTTACCCGCCATCTTATGAAAACTTAAAGCTACTTTTGCTCATAACTTACCTACTTGCTTATGTAGAGAACTACTATCGGGAAAGTAATCTATTTTAGTTGCCCCTTGCAGCTGGCATTTTGCGCCAGCCAGCTCAAATTGCAGGCGAAAATTTCATTTGGAGTCTGTAGAAAAGTGCACTTTGGTGTGTTATCGAGCTGTCTGCAAATAGATTGAATTTCCACAAACATACACACTCACACACGCTTAAGCAAGACTAAGACTTCCAGCTAGACTAACATTTGTGGCAATTCCTTTCGGATGGATTTCATGTCTGTCCAAATTATAAAAGCTGAATGGAAAAAAGTTTTACATTTAGGTTTTTCGCAAGATGCCGCATTATGAAATTATTCATGAAATGGCCAAAAAGAAAAGGCCAAAATCATTGCTCACAAGGCTGTGAATGATTTTCGAAAGTGCGGCAGCTTGGAGGCTGCATTAATAAATTATGAATTCACGACTGGCTAATTGAGGTAGTTGAGGCTGCTGATTCTGGTTCTGATTCTGCTGACTGTTGGGGCCGGGAAGTTGCGCAAATATGAAAAGGAAATAAAGCGAAATAAAGCGCCCAAGGATAATGAACAAAAAGGGCCAACAACAGAAGTCCGACGAAATGAATTTCATGTTTAGTAAACGTTATGAAAGCAATAAACAGAAACACAACCTGAAATAGAAATAAGCCTATATGCGAAAAATCAAAAATGTTTTATCGCTTGGGAAACTCGTCAGCTGTCCGAATGCGAGAAGAGAGTTTTCGCCAGTCAGTGGGGAAAAATCAATAAAATTATAAAGGCATAAATATAAATTGGCGCTGTTTGATGTGCGGATGTGCGGATGTGTGTGTGAGTGCGGTGCGTTTTTCTATATAGATTTTAATATATATTCTTGCCTGGCAATGTGCTTGGCCTGCTCTCGCCCTCTCTCTCTCTCTCTCTCTCTCTCTCTCTCTGCCTCTCTCACTCTGTATTTCTATCTGACTCTCTCATTATTATAACCAACATGTTGGCACACACACGTTTCTGCACTTGACTCGAGCAGCGTCAAAGCAGCAGCACAGCAACCCCTGGCTTTGATAAAAGCTTGGCATGTTGCAACCCCAGGGTCAAGTACAGCGACCCACCTGGGCCAGGCTCTGCTTGTTATTTGTAGTTATGGCCCGCTAGCACAAAAAACCAAAATTAAAGTCGTCGAATGAATAAAAATAACAGTGAAACTCGCACATACACACACACACACACACACACATCTCACACTCACATACACACGATAATTGCCTCATGTGCAGGCTTTAAGGGGTGTGTATGCCGCCCCACCAGATCTGAGCAGATTCCCCCCCAGGTACAGACTCAAGACAGGCAGTTGGGGAAACAGAACTCATGAAAAACGTGGTCATGAAAATTTAATGATAAAACGAAATGTTTTCGTTACGTCTCGTATATACCTAAAGGCGCAGACATGCAATATACACTGTGTGTGTGTGTGTGTGTTTGGGGAGGTGTACGGTGCAGGGGGAATATTTTTATACCCAGCACACGTATCGTTTCCTTTTTTTATATGTTTGTCTATTGGAGGGTGGCAGGCCATGCGCTACAAGGTAGATAAATGTTGAAATTAGATCAGCATTGATAGCTGGCGTGGGAGAGCAGACAGTTGGGCACAGCCACCCACATAGAAGATATCGGCTAGAAAAGTTTTCTGAGTTTATCTCAATTCTATAAGGAAAACGAGATTATCATCAGTGTGAAAAGTAAGGAAAACTGTTGTATGAAACGCTTTCCTTAGTATATCCTCTCTGTCTCTTTAACCAACGAGTTTTATTCTAAGGATTCAAAAAGTTTGAAATCGCAAGGAAAACTTTCCAAACTTCTTTAAACCAAAGAAATATATGACAATTCATTTAAAATACTATTTGGCTTTCAAGTATATTAAATAAGTAAATATTATACAGCGAAATGAATATATTAATATAAATATATAATATGAATGGGAAATTAATAGATGAAATACACAAAATTAAGTACCATATACCATATACATATAACTCATTGAAAGGCGCTCAATTTTTTTATTTTTCTTATGAATGAAATATACTATGGATGTAGCCAACTATTATACTAGCTTTATATTCATTGTATTATTGGTTTGGGTTGTTATTTATGTGTGGCTTGCGTGCTATTCAAGAGGTGCTTGTCCGTTTTTTGGGTTTTGTACAGGAAACGGCAATGATTACAAGTAATTACAGCACGGCGCAGGTTTCGAGTGTGGCCACGTGACTCTGAGGACTCTCCTCGAACTACCCCTGTGAGTGTGTATTGTATTGTTGTGAAAGCAGTCTAGCGTAATACTCATTCAATAAATTCAATTGTACTATGTGGCACTTGGCTAAGAGCATTAAATGCACATTTTTACAGCGGCTTTCCCTCTCAATGTCTCAATGACAAATAATGTCTTTTGTATTTATTGTCTATGAATATTAATATTGAATATTAATTACTTTAATTATAGAATATATTTTTGGTATTTGTTTTATGATTGAAATGTGTCAAATTGCTGTGCAAAGAAACGCTCTACTTATCTATCTGTGAATACAAACATATATACCTATATGTAAATCGAGAATGTGCAAAAATAAGAAACGCTGTGTAAACTAATCTTAACAATACACATTTTTGTTCACCAGCAGGCATCCTTTTGCAACACAGAAACAACATTTCAATCATAAAAGCAAATGAAAAACAATTGTATAATATTTCAATAATAAAAAATAAATTCTGCCAGCTCCTGTTATAAAAGTCATAAATAAAAACATCTATGCTGAAAGAGTGAAAAAAAAGAACAAATAAAAATAAGAAAAAAATAATAAAAACAAACATCTAACGAAATCTTGTTTCTGTGTCGTTAAAGGTTGTTCACTGGCATGCCAACAACTCGCACACCAACAACAACAACAACAACTACCACAACATCAACAACAGCACGAAATCATGTAAAACACAGCAGCAGCAACTGCAGCAGGAAGAACAAACAATATAGTTAACCAAATAAGTGAACCACCAAAACCACCTCAGAGCCAAGCATATCGAAGAATTACTCGCTCGAAGAATTGCTTGGCGACAGCAATTAACGGTAGGGCAAACGGAAACGGAAGGCGGCCACATTGAGGCACTGTTGCACAATTTCCGGCAGCGAACATGAAATTGAAAAGCGGCAAAAACAAAACAAAGCAACAATAAAGCAGCGGGCGCAGCGCATGGGGTGGCAACATTGAGTACAAAAAAGAACAAAGAAAAGAAGAACAACAAGCGAGTGAACAGAAACTTTAAAGGATAACAAGGAGAAGGTGAAAAGAAAAACGAAGCAGACAAAATGGCCTCATTTCAAATACCATTGATCAATCTGGAGCTGCGCGAGGTGAAGGAGATTGTGTGGGAGAAGATACAGGAGCCGGTGAACCAGCGTCGCCTTATCCTAGTTATCGTATCCATTGCCCTGTTGCTGGACAACATGCTGTATATGGTCATTGTGCCCATCATACCCGACTATTTGCGCGAAATTGGCAGTTTCGATGATGGTCCGACGCCACCACCGCTGCGAGACAATATTACCGGGCAGATAATACCGGTTCATCACGATCATCATGGTCAGGACTCGGCCACGGGCATACTCTTCGCCTCCAAGGCGATTGTTCAGCTGATGGTGAATCCGTTCTCGGGCGGACTGATCGATAAGATCGGCTACGATATACCCATGATGATTGGCCTAACCATCATGTTCTTCTCCACAGCGGTATTTGCCTGCGGCAGCAGCTACAGTGTCCTCTTCTTTGCCCGCTCCCTTCAAGGTGCTGGCTCCGCATTTGCGGACACAGCTGGTCTGGCGATGATTGCAGATCGTTTCACGGAGGAGAATGAACGTTCACAGGCGCTAGGCATTGCGCTGGCCTTCATCAGTTTTGGCTGCCTGGTGGCGCCACCGTTCGGCGGTGCACTGTATCAATTTGCAGGGAAAGAGGTGCCTTTCCTCATATTGGCCATGGTCTGTCTGCTGGATGGTTTGATGCTGCTGCTGGTCATGAAACCGGTCAAGGAACAACTCAAACAGAGCAAAGAGGTCCAGACTCAGACTATACCCATCTGGCGACTCCTCATGGATCCCTATATAGCCGTATGTGCTGGAGCACTAACGATGTCCAATGTGGCGCTGGCCTTCCTCGAGCCGACCATATCCCTGTGGATGGAGGATAATATGACAACGGAAAACTGGAAAATTGGCATGGTCTGGCTGCCGGCCTTCTTTCCGCATGTGTTGGGCGTGGTGATCACCGTTAAAATGGCCAGAAAATATCCACAGCACCAGTGGCTGATGGCAGCCGGCGGATTGGCGTTGGAGGGCTTCTCCTGCTTCATCATACCATTCTGTAGCGGCTACAAGATGCTCATGTTGCCCATTTGTGTCATCTGCTTTGGCATTGCGCTCATCGACACGGCATTGTTGCCAACTCTCGGCTATCTGGTGGATGTGCGCTATGTATCTGTGTATGGCAGTATCTATGCCATTGCGGATATCTCGTATTCGATTGCGTATGCCGTTGGCCCCATCATTGCTGGTGGGGTGGTCGAGGCGATTGGGTTTACTGCCCTCAACTTTCTCATTGCCTTCGCCAATCTTGCCTATGTGCCTGTGCTGCGCAAGTTGCGCAACATTTACGATTTCAAGCCGTTCGAGAATGAGGCTAATATTTTGATGCAGGATCCACCGAACAAGGAGTACCAAACGTATGTCATGCACGACCAGAAGCCCGTCGAGGGCGAGCTAAAGAATCACCTTGAGTACGGACAGCAATATCAGCCGGAACAGGAGACTAATTTGGATGAGCAGCAGCAGCAGCAGCAGCAGTACGAGTATCAATCACAGCAGCAGCAGCAGCAGCAGGGATATCAACAGGATCAGAGCTATCAGCCGGGCTATCAGGAGCAGGGTGGCAGCTATGCTCAGCCACGTGTTGCAAATCCTTTCCAGCAACAGCAGCAGCAGCAGCCGCAAAGCAGAGGTCCTGCCGGACCAGCGAATCCCTTTAGACAAGGATTTTAAACTGTTGTCTAACACAAAAAACCAGAAAAAACAAAACAAAAACATTTAGTTTACAGCAAATTTATATACAATTTGTTTATATGTTGAAAACTTGAGGCGTTTCTTTGTTTCGTTTTGGAATACTTATTAAACTCACTTATATTTCGATAGAATATTACCTATTTATAGTAAGTGGTAACGTACACTATAAAAAAAAAAGGAAAAAAGCATTGCATGCGAATAGTTCAAGCAGCTGTTAGTTAAATGCCATGCACCAGTTTTGTATTATACACGATCGTTAGTTAAAAGAGCTGTAGTTTAATGATAGAAGTAACACGCACGCAGCTCTATACACACATATACATACATATATACATATATATATATATAGCGCCATATCGCCAGATATTTGGACGCATAAGCCCTATACTCAGTACTAAAGCAGCCGTGTCTATCAGAGAGAAGCTAGAGAAACCAAAGCATAGTCATAATTAGATCGAACTCAAGGAGTGGCAGTGGTTCCTGCTGCTATCCGAGTGCACATCTATAACAGATATCACTATATATATTATATATACATATTTATACAATATAGTATTGTAAGCGGTGCTGCTGACTCGGCATCACTGTGCCACAAGTGCCGTTATGGTAACCAGGCAATGACATCCATATCGCAGACATATCACAATTTGCACAAATCGAAAACAGATGATGAGAAGAAGAAGAAGAAGAAACCCTTTCGGTTGTCATTGCGACGGACTTGTGCGTTTCCCAGTGGCACCAGGAGAGCAGTGCTATATGATTTTGATTTGAAAAGTTTTCGTTGAAATATATATTTAACATAAGACACAACCAAGGTAACGATACATATCAGAGTCTCAATGGCTCGCCTGTTAAAATTACCAAAAGTGATATTAACTATTGCTATAGTATACATAAAATCTCACTTATATCGTATATATATATATACTTATACATATATCGTATCATATCGGAATCAAATATTTTTAGGCCGTACTATTATTAAATATATATATATACTACTAACGAATGGAAATCAATTTGAAAATATTAGATGTTTCATATTTACCTACCAATCAATTATTATTTGCTTGTCGACTCTATGCGCCAGATGGTGAACCTCCTATCCGGAGGATATAGCCGCCATAGTAGCTCAACGATAGCATAGCATAAATGTGTGTACCTTGTGTATGTATCTATCACTAAGTACGATACACGATATAAACCGTAGTATATTCACTACATCAATTATACATATATACTATTTACTATCGATGATACTATCTATAACTTCATTTATGATTCATTTCGATTGCACCACTTTTTTGGAGAGCAGTTTATTGCTTCTATATTATACACCTAATTTTAGCCTGCTATGCGGTCTAAAATATCCGAAAGTAAAGTGAAAATTTTTGTATATTATCAACTATACAGATAATTATTGTATGTTTACGTATATGTATGCAGCTATCAGCAGCGATAAGCAAATATACAAATATATATACAATAATTATATAGTTTTTTAATGTGTATTTGGCGAATAATATTACTGTAGACACTTGAAACTTCAACTTGAACATTCTATATCCGTAAACATATCAGTGACACGGCCATTTTCAAATAAATAGCAATGTTATCTTATCTAATGAGTATATAAATACATATGTGCGAATATACTGTTTATTAGAATAATATCATTCGGTTATTTTGAACAATTTTGAAATGATTCATTTATTTATACACATTTTAGCTATTCCTTCATACATACAATCTATGTATGTATGTATAGCAAATGCACTGATTTTCAAAGCAATTAGTTAAGCCAACATCTTTGGAGGGGAAGTTAAATTATCGGATAAGATTTTTAGAATCTATATGGTAGCTATTTTTATTTTGTTTTGATGCACTGAATCATTTGATCAATTTAAATAAGTTGTGTTTTACTCTACCGTCTATTAAGATTATTATTTAACATAACATAACGAATATAATTATATATAACTCTTAAGAGTTCTACATATTAACAAGCTTTAGTAATATGGAACTACATAAATGAACAAAAAAAAAACTCATGAAAAAATCTCCCATCAAATGTATCAATTAAAACGACGTACGTTCGTACGAACAGAATCTTAATGCAAAACTATATATAGAAAACAAAATTTATATACATTAACACAAACAATTAAAACATTGTTTATATAACTGCGAGCAAACAAACCTACACACATATATATATATATATATATGATTATGATCCATGTTGAGAAGAAAAATCAATCAATGATTTCAAAATCCATTTAAAGCATACCATAGCAGAATCTCAAAGATATTGTTGCGATCTGTTTTAAATGGAAACCCAAACACGAAACGACAACTAATACATATATCAGTATGACATAAAAGAAAAAGAAACAAATTAAACACGCATATGTATATTTAATGGACATTTCTAAAAGCAATATACCGAATAGTTAAAATTAATATATCAAACTATGAAAGTCAGTAGGAAACTGTAAGCAGAAGCTAGATATATTTATCTATACAACATTATGTTACTTAATTCTTCTTTAAATGGTCTCGAACAACATATCTTGTTTTTTTTTTTTTTGTATTCATTCAAATCTTACATGAAAAGAATTTAAACAGGATTTTAACCAATTTACAATAAGCGATTAGAGACCATATACATAGTTGAAGTGAACGTAAATTAGAAGAATCTTCCAAAAAAACGGTTTAAGTAATATTAAAATTATATTATTATGTTTAGTAACTGACTGGAGAGCCTGCGAAAACTGTGCAGCACTATCGAATACTTTTAACTATATACGATTCAAGTATAGTATTTATTGGATTCGAACAAATAGTGTGTGTATAGTTTTCATGGGTCCATAAGGTAAAATAAAGTAATTGTAGCTTACAGAACTTGCAACAGTGCCGGCTATGTGTAATATCTTACGAAATTTTATAAGAACAGAAAATACCAAAAAATAAAAAATATATCTGTACGTATTGTATAAATTAAATATGTTGCTAAAAATATAAATATGTATTTATAAAAGAAAAGAAAATAAACACAAAAATAATGTAATATAAAGATACCAATACTTATATATAAATAAAATGGAGAAGGTAAACACAATATACAAAAAAAAAAAAGAAAAAAAGATAATTTCAAAATTAAACTCAACATAAATATGTATTTAAAGTGTTAAATGTTCGATAGCATATTACAATTATAATTATATTAACTGAGCGCATTATAAACAATTATTGTTTATTTTATATAAAGATAACAAACCTAATATGATATGGAATACGGGCAACCACTAAAGGACTCTGAACGCAGAGCAAACAAAATAAAAATTAATGAAATTGAAAATTCAATGCGAGTAAACCTTTTTTAATGTTATACGTAAATATTGTTTAGTAAATATTATTTATAATCATAGGAAATTGAATTTTAAATGTAAAGCCCTAAAGAAATGCCGCCACAGTTTAGTTTTGTATAGGAAAACACTTAGTTTCGAGTATGGTAAGTTTTGATCAAAGTGTTTCAAGTGAATATATATATACAAATATATATATATATATATATATATATTTAAGTAACTAGTATCTGCTAGATTGTATTCTATTTTTCACCACTTGTTTCTGCTAATATGTTATAGACGTTTGTGTTAAACTAATACTAATGTAATAATATATAATTATAATAGACAATTAATGAATAAATATGTCAAGACAAACCTAAAAGAAAATTCCCAAAAAAAAAACAATACAATTGCAAAAATCGAAAATATACTACGTAACCCAGTTCTGTAACGTTGCTGTTCAATTTAAAGGTCTTTCCATATACTCTAAACAAAATTAAGTTTCTATCTTGCTATCCTATCTTTTAACTACACCCAAATGAATAATTAACGCTATGCCCGACATTAAATAGTTAGAACAACTACTCTGAAAAATTCAATTATCGAACGTATACAATCCATGTCGAAAATGTCTATCTTCGGTTTTCCGATGAACACAATACACTTTCCTAGCAAAAAACATTTCATTAACAAGACTACAAATTAACGAGTAAAATCTCTTGTTTAAAACGTTTCAATACAAATATGCAATTTATTTTAAATTTGAATGGATATTTCAATAGCATTCAATATTGGCATACAGTTTTATGGCATCCTACCAAAATGGCTAACCTATCAAAAGACAGCTAGATCATGGCTAAAGGACAAGTTAAGAATTATGAAATTGAATGGACAGCTAACAGACACTATGAATAATACGTACACAAATAAATTATTGTAATTGAAATATGGTAATGGCTAATGAAGATCATGAAAATCGAAATGGATATTGATAATACATATTACGGAGCAAATACACATACAACAAACAAACAAACAAACAAACCAAACAAATACTATTGAAATATAATTGTTAACCATGAAAAAAAAAATGGAATCGAAAGAAGTCTTTCAATGGGAAAATGTGTTTAATTCTATTAATTACCTAATTGAAGAAATACGTAGAGAAATTCTTGGAATTTGCTATACAAATAGATAAAGCATTGTAACTTTTTCAAACTTTCTTGTGTGAGTGAATAGGTAGAGAGAGTCAAGTTTTACAGCAACCTGTGCTGCTGCTGGTGGTTATTGATGTTGTTGGTGGTGGTGGGTTTGGTGGTTGCTGGTGCTTGTTGTACTCATCAAAGTTAGCAAGAGTATGGGTGGGGGGGAAAGACTGGCAGACAGGAAAGGAAATTGTGTGCGTGCCCTGAGGCCAAACATTTTGGACGATGTTGCCGTGTGGAAAATGATTTTCTGTTAGCAATTTCCATTAGCAACTTTTGCCCCAGCGTCACGATCCCATGGCACGCATAAGACATAACTTTGGCTTTTAAGGGAGGTTGGTCACTATCGAATGTGTTCAAGTATTCGCTGGTCTTTGTATGTATGTACGTATATATTTGCTGCGCAGAAGTCCGCATCAACCACAAGCAAATGACGAGTCAATAAGTGCTGGCCAGGCCTCAACTATTTGGCCAACTCATTACAAACAATACGCAAGCAATTTACGCTTTCCGCTTGTTTCAATCTGAACAATTATAAAAATAAAATAGAAAGAATAAAATGTGAAATGCCTCAGTGCGGCAGTTAATTTGAGTTTGCAACCAAGGACTAATATATATGTATACATATATATATACATATATATATATATGAAATGGAGTCGGGGTTGGGACAAAACAATTCAAAGAACAGGCCGCAAACACAAAAGCGCAGCTGAAGGCCCTAAAAAAATATATTGAAAGCGGCGTAAAACAGCAGCGCTAAGACCGTAAAGGATTTACGGCTCAATTGTTGCGTGCGTGCAGCCCTAAACAAGAGCAACAGCAGCCGGATTTGGTGTTGGAGTTGGAGTTGGAGCTGGGGCTGACATGGGTGTGGAGAGTTGGAGCTGGTACTGTGTGGCAAAGCACCCTCAAATCCAAATGAAGCCCTTTACATACAGCGACGGCGAACAAAAGAGGGCAAAAGCTCATTCAATCTTTCAATCGCTCATTCATTCGTTCACTCATTTACTCATTCACTCATTCGCTCCTTCGACAATGTTATGACCGTGCAGCTTCCCTTAGCAGGCTCCTGCTGCTGAGGTCACAGCTTGTTCAGCTGGTGTTTTATGTAGTCGCAACGTGTCGCACGAGCAGCGTTCTTTGAGGGAGTCTCGGATTTGTTTTGCCTTTTTTAAATTGTTCTGCTTCATTTGCTACGGTTTCAGTTGAAAATTTTGGAGTTTTCTTGTTGTTGTGGTTGTTGTTGTTTTTTATTGCATAGACAAAATTCCATAGATATATTCTAATGTGCGGCGCACATTAAGTGGCTCGGCGACACCAAAAACAGGCTATGGATAAGGATCAGCTGGTAAACTAACCGTATACCAAATCCGCTGCTCAAGAATCGATCCAACAACATCTCTCCCGCTTCCCGTAATGAGGTGTGGGTTATTTTGTTGTTCTTTTTTTTTGGGTTGGAGTTTTGCTAAATTGGTACGCTGGCAACAGAAAACATTATTTTTCATTGGGATTACATTTTTATCGCAGCGTCTGACAGGCGGCAGCCTGTCGTCTGAGGCCTTTTCGCATCCATTTTGCGGTGGAGGATGAGGGTTGGAGCCGGAATTCAAGCGTGATTTTTGCTGCTTAATAATGAGCTTGTTGGTTTATTGAAGCGTTTTATTGCTGGCTGTTAAGCACGAGGCGTGTGGCCAATAAGCTCCATCATTTCTCTGGGTTGGTGTTAGGGTGCGAATTGTTCTGGCCATATGTGTATCCACCCATACCACACACCCCATCCACACCACACACAGTTCCCCTTCATAAATAAGATCATAACGAGCTAATGCATCATTCAACGGACAAGAATGCAAATCGAAATTGGGGAGTATACAATTTTTGGCAAATAGGAAAATGTAATCATGAGTAGGCAAAATAACTGACAGCAACCAAACAAATTGAAACTGACATTTGCACACGAAGGGATTCATCAAAAAGATGGGTCGATAGACAGGCCTGCTCTGCCCTATTCTGCTCTGCAAGTTGAAGCGGAAGCGGAAGTTCGGCCTGCGCTCAGTGTCTGTTGTAATGGCGCATGAATATCTGATTAGCCGGCCGTCTGTCTAATCAAAATTTCCAGCATCAATCAATCAATTGGAAATGTTGCCATGACCAAAAGCACGTAATTGAAAGCGATGGACAAGTTGCTGATCCAGCAACTCTGAATGTCCTTAACTGCTGTCCGCTGTGGATAAGCTTTAAAATTGCAAACAAGTCAGCAGCACTAACAAGTATTAAATAATCAAGGACTCGTGTGCGTGGCACATACATACATACATACATATATCCTGACTCCCCTTGCAACCCTCACATGTCATGCAATTAGAGCCACGTTTATTTAATTGCATGTCTCGCTTAACGAAGCTGAAGCCCAGACTAAAAATCGCATATACACAATGGAAAAACAGCGGGCTAAAACTAAGTTCAAATAACTGAGAATCAAGTATTCTCATTTGAAGTAAATCACGTTTGATAGTGGCACGAACTCAATGGAAAAAAGTCTAACTAAAACTAAGTTCGAATCAAGTATAATTGCAATCAAAATCTTAAAGTAAGTTTAAGTTGAAACATTATAGAATCTGATCGAAAAAATCTAAGCAACAGTCTCATTGTTTATCCTAAATCTTATAAAGCATAAAAAAGTAACTCAAGCTCGATGTTGAATATCGTCTTTGAAGTATATCTATATCAATGTAAGGCAGTCCCCAACTTATTTGATTATTTCTCTCTGTGTATGCTATTTTTTATTTTATTTTTTGGTTCAGGGCTCAACATCATTAAATATACTTTAAGTGTCATCATTTGAGTCGATTCTAGACGCATGAAACCCGTTCAAAGTGAAGGATTAAAGTCTTGCGACACGCAGTATCCATAATTCAGTTTTGTATGGGAGGCACAACCTCATGCTTAATTACATAATTTGAATTTTCCACAGACTTGCTAACGCAATTTATTATAATTTACAACAAACTGCAGAGTTGCCCCATTCAAAGTGTCGTTAGTCTGGCGCATCCACAAGGGGCACATTTACCAGACACCGAGACAGTCGGTTACAGGTTGTGGTTAATGTTGTTCCAGCAAAGACAACAGTAACACTCCGTGAGTCGTGAGTCGGGCACAGCAACAATGGAACGGATGTTCAAATTGGTGCCACGTGACTCCATTGTTGGCGGCACCCACAATGTGACCAACTTTTAGCTAGTTGTTGTCCGGGACAGAGAGAGTGAAACGGAGACATCTTTTGCCCAGATAATGAAAAAAGGTTAATAAATTGCATTAGATTTGGCATCTCGTGGGGAAGGGGAGACGCGTGCGCGCAGTTCGAGGGCCATGGGTGGTTTGGCGACCGTTAGTCCGTTTTGCTTTTATCGTGATTGTCGTAAAAACCATTTTTATTAATAACATTATGATTGTCATAAGTAGCGGCAGCAACGGAAGTGTGTGGGCTGAGATGGGGGGCAATGGGCGTAGTGGGCGTGGTGGGCCACATTGCTCACTCTCTGAATTTTCATTCTGAGTCTGCCAAGTGTCGACCATTTTGAATTGGTAGATTTGTGTGTGTATGTTTTAGGTTGAATTTGTCATGGGATATGTTTTGTTTAACATCGAGTGTACAATCTTACTTATCTGGCCAAAAGCTAATAACGGAAATTGCCGTCTCTCTGGGCGAGCGGAAGTGCTTACACACTAGACTCACACTCAAACTACTTTAAAAGGATGCCAAAAAACGGACCGCTCCAAACAAATGGCCGCATCCTAGGCATAGGGCGACCCCCATAGTACGACCCCGCCCCCTTCGAGTGTTTTAGTGTTGTGCAAGTTTTTGGGCATCCGTTCTTTATTGCATTCCTGATTGCGGAAGCCAATAACGTCTTGATTTGCTTCCGAATTAGATACACAACAGATAAGGCCACTTGGATTTAGATGGCAATAAAAAAAAAACACAACAAAAAACAAAAACATAAACAAAAAAAAACTCGATAAGTGAACGGCGTCTTTCTGTTTTTGTTTTTTGTTTATTTTGATTTCTTTGTTAATTAATCTGAAAGTTCTGTAGTGTATATATTACATTTGCACAATCAATTATGACACTAAGCGATGTCAAACTAGACGACATCGTGACATTGTGACAGTTCTGTCCGATTCGAGACCTACGACATATAGTATGGAAGGTACTTGAGCCATATGACAATGATTAAATGGCTGCTTAATCAATCAGCACAATATCGCATATTAGATTTGTGAGTCATTTTTCAAAAAAACACATTTGTCCAAATTATGTTTTTTGTTTTAACATTTGCTCGTTTGCTAATGGATCCAAATGAGGGTATTCAACTCGGACTCACGTTATGAACAAATAATGTTCTCTCTTATCTTATAATAATTGTCTATTGTCATGTTCGCCTTTGTTTTTTTTTTGTTGTACTTTTTCAGGATGGAAAGACTCTATATTGTCCATACCAAAGAAGTGGCTCTCATCCGCCGAGTCTGTAGACGAATTCGGATTCCCTGACGTGAGTAAAATTGATTAGACAATTTGAAATTTCTTTGCAGGCAGTGTTAAATATTTGCACAGCGGCTCAACAAACTTGCTACTCGACTAATTCAAATACAAACACAAATACATGCACAGACACACTCACACACACACACACACACATTTATATACAAAAAGAAAGATACATACACACACACATACATAGACAGACTAATCCTGTTTGTTATAATTACAAATGCAAATAACGAGCGCTTTTGTATGGCAACGGTCCTCTGGGGCAACCGGAACCGAAGACCAGACAGCCAGGCAGCCAGATAGACAAGCAAGCAACCCACAGTTCTAGTAAACAAACATTCCACCACCCACCCCAAACTCTCACCTGTAAAAGCACAGCTCAGCACAGCAACCCTCCCAAAAAAAGAAAAAACAACAAAAAAACAAAAAAAATCTAAAGAGATAGACATCAAAACATGTAAAGCTGAGAGGGGAGGTGGGCGGTTGGGTGGTTGGTTGACTACAGCTTGACGGCTGTCAGAGTCAAATGACAGATGGAATGTTGCTGCATGCTTTAACTATTCCCAAAGAAATGTATCTGGGCAAACGCATGGCATATTTGACGGACTAAAGACAAACTCAATTTGCTGGAGTTTTATTTTTAGTAGATTGAAAAGTACAAAAATGTTTTTAATATTGATTTGTGTCAAAATTCTGGTAGACACATTGCGACTTGTTCGCAATTCCAATTTACCATATCCGCAGAACGCCAACATATGAAATGTTATTTAAAAAAATGTCAAAGTCTTTGTCTAATAAAAACAAATGTCTTTTCTTTGGTTGAATTTTATTTAAATGAAAAAAAAAATAGACTTGCTATTAAATGTCGTTTAGAAACCATTGTTTTCATTTTCTTTTTAACCTATTCGTATTCACATTTCATATTTCAAATAATTACGACTGGATTCTCTGCAAAATTTGAAATATATTTTACTTGCTTCGATCCACACATTGCGAATGCTGCACGACACTTTCGATTCAGCAAAAAAAAAAAAAAGTTGTGTGGCGCCACTGGGGAATCTCAAGGGCAGAGCTCTCAATACAAGTTTTCCGTGACAGGGAAAAGTAAATGGTTGAGAACAGCCAAATAGCTGACAGACCAAGTTGAGCGGGAGTTAATGCAGCACGCCCCAATGTCAGATTCATGCCAATCCCTTTTATCATTCCCTTTTTCCATTTTCCATTTTCCTATTCTTTCTCGTTTCTCGTTTTCTTTTTTTTTGTGATTTGAATTTTTGGATCCCTAGGGTGGACATTTTTTTTTTTTGGCAGCGTGTTTTGTGGTTGTTGTATTCTAACTGCTATAATGTCGTGCATATAAATGAGCAAAGGGTAGAAAGTTAAAGGAAAATATAATTTAGCAAATGTCACTTGAAACTTGGAACCCTTTCTTCTGCTTGCAGACTCTGCCGAAAGTACCTGTCCCACCGCTGGAGCAAACCATGGCAGACTATGTGCTCGCCTTGGAGCCCATCACGACGCCGGCACAGCTGGAACGCACCAAGGGCATCATCAAGCAGTTCTCGTCGCCGCAGGGTCTGGGACCACGACTGCATCAGTATCTACAGGACAAGCGCGAGGCTGAGGATAATTGGGTGAGCCATTCAATTGCATTTATATTAGGCAATAGGCAAAGTTAAAAGTAAATGCGTCTGAATATTAAGTATACATAAATGATCGAGATTTGAGTCCGATAAGTACTCTAATCATATATATATATATATATATATATATATATAGCATATGTGTGTATATGTATGCATGCCAATCATTGCTTTATTCAATGTATTCAATGTAAATTTTGTTCAGCCTATGGGGGACCAGTGGGAAAAGTGCCGACCGTTGGAGATGGAGAGCTTGGCTGAGGCACATTGGGATCAGCTGGACCGGGTGGTGGGGGAACATATATGGTGGTGCCATCGTCGGTGATGGGTGTGCTTGTGCCGGAAGCAGCTGTTGAATCCGAAGGTGGAGCAGGTGGTGAAGGTGTTGTTGAACCAGTTGGAGTCGCGGTGGATTTGGTGGTCTTTGTAACGGCGGTCGATGTATCGGTAATTACTGTCACTTCAGGGGTGGTTGCGGTTGTGGGGCCATCCGCAATGGGAGTGCACGTAAGGCCCAATTTAAGGGCGGAACAATCAGGGGCTGGGATATACTGGGCGCATGTGGTGCATTGCTGGTACACATAGGTGAAAATACCGGTTTCACATTTGGTCAATTTGGCAGTGCCAGTTGAGCAGTCATAGTAACTGTACGGATCCGCGTAGCTTGGTAGCTTGACGCGCTTGTCAGTCAAGCATTTGGGTACAATGTCCTCCGTATAGGTTGGTGTGGGGCAACTTGTCTGTGCGTGGACACCTATGGCCAACAGACCGGCGACAGCGATTAGAACTAAAAGTGAACAAATAAACGAATAGAAATATCATTGGTAATGTGAGTATCCTCCACTCGATATTCTTCTGTCAGACTCTGGCTTACCGGCTTTCATATTTGGCTGGTTGAACGTCTCGCTGGTAACTGATTCCAAATGGCCTAAAGCAAAGCCTTTTATTGCTTTAAGTCTTGACGCTGTGCGCACTTGTTAAACATTTTTTAATCAGCTCACACGTCTAGATTAATACTTGTCTGCTTGTCAAAAGCTAACAGTCAGTTAAATTGAAATTGAAATTGAAATCAATATCGAAATTGAATTCTTTTCACTCTCTATGTAACCTCGATAATATTTGGCAAATGTCTTTACTATTCCCACATTGATAACAGCCAGCGAAAAGCTGTAGACTCTCGTAATTATTGTGTAATCGGATAAGAAACGAACACACCTATTAACACAGCTACCTGCCAATCATCTATATGTGTATTCCAGTATAGATAGGATGTTGTTTGTAACAGCGACCGTCTCTACAAATCATTATATTTCCGTTGAATTTAATCATCAGCTCGCGTCGGTTTTAGTCTTATCTAATTAGTTCTGGTTTGGTGATATATATATATATACATATATAGTATATAATAAATAATTTACTATTCATTATTTTTCTGTTTCCTAATACTTATATTACGCACGTATGACACTATTCAAATAAATGCGTAACTTTACAAAAAAATGGGATTGATACAAAAATGTTGGCAGAAAATGAATTCTGCTGAACAATTTTAAGTACAACTTTTATGAATTTGTGCATTTATCTTAAAATCTGAAGAAAAACAAATAACAAAACAAAGATTCGATCCGATAAAAAGTTAAATCGAAAATGTTTGTTTTGTCGACCTTAATCGTAATATTAATAATAAAAACGTAATAACAATCTACTGTCAGTTACTCATACTGATACGTGGTATCTGCTAGTCATGCATATTTTCAACTGCTGCAAACCCAGCAAATATTAATCAATTAAAATTGCTAAATGTCAACGGCATTGGGCGACAAGAGCAATTAGCTAATTGACTTATTCACACACACACACACATAAATGCTTGTAAGTGTGTGGTGTGTGGGTGTGTAGGGTGTGTGGGGTGTGTGGGGTGTGTGTGTGTGTGTGTGTAGATACACATGTTATTATAGAAACGACACTTCCTATAGCCGACACAAATATTTGGAGCGATTGCAGTAAGATATTTATTTGGTGTTATTTAGAGTTTTGAATGAAATTCCGCTTGTTAAACATTATTTTTTTTTTTTGCTGCTGAGGCTTAGAGTACTTTTTAGGCTGGGGTTGGTTTCTACTGGGCCTTGCTGGGCGGTGTTGGCTTTTTGGCGGCCTTGGGTGGTTGTGCTGGTCCAGCTGGCTTCTTGGCAGCGGCCTTGGGTGGTGTTGCTGGTCCAGCTGGCTTCTTGGCAGCGGCCTTGCCAGGAGTTGGAGCGCTCGGCTTCTTGGGGGCAGTGCCTTTCTGGGGCTGTGGGACGCCGGGTTTCTTGCCGGGCTTGGGTGGGGCGGCGGCAACAAGTGTGGGTGGTGTTGCTGAATCGGTGGGTGGTGTGGGATCAAGTGGCATTGCATGGATAACCTGCTGCTCCTTGTCCAGCCCATTGTGCTCACTGTAGTCAAGGTGGCCCTGGTGCGCAGCATCCAGCCCGTGCTCATGAGTCGAATGCACGGCTTGGCCAATTATTATTGGTGCTTCTTCGACCAAATGCATGGTAATCGGCGCTGCAGTTGGCAACATGGTCATGGGTGGTGAAGGCACATACAGAGAAGGACTGGTGCACTGTTGCAGCACAAATGTGAATATCTCTCCGGGCGGACAGTGTACAGTCAGTTGGCTGCCAAAGACGCTCTGGCACACAAAGTACTCGGAGTTGCTGAAATAGCTTGGCCAGCGGATGCCAATCTCATCGCGGGTGCACTGCAGCCTGTAGTCGGAGCGTGCCTGGGACAGAGCCACCAGGCTGAGCAGAGTCAGAGCGAACACTGCACATTGAAACCCATCAGTGAAAGTGAAAGTGAAAGGAGGAAAGTGGAGACAGAAGACTCACCTTTCATCTTTGGGTTGTCGAATGAATTTGGGTATCCGTTAAAGTTAGATGAAACTGTTGTACTGATTTCGACTATGCACCAATGAGCATTATTTATAGTATGCCAAAGTTGGACGCTTATCAATGATCTCCGATCTGCGATCTGTGATGCGTTATCAGTTCGCTTCGAGGAACGCTCGATAACAACGTTGTTCCTAATAGGGCGACCCTCAACAACAACAACAACAAAAAAACCCAAAATATAAAAATTATAATCATTTCTAACTAACTGAACGCCACACCCAGGCCCAGGCGCACCCTGATCTTGTCATTGACGTTAAACGCTAATTGAGTTTTGATTCAATGTGACAATAAAATGTGCTTTCCATGTCTTGGCACATTCGGTGCTCTTGTCGACCAATTAGATACCAAATTCCATCTTCATTTGTGTCCTTGTAACACGTACAGAAGCCAATTACAGGTATTCGAGTTGGAACTGTTACTCTTTCCTTCAGAGAAGAAGCTCATATCTTGCCTTGCCTTGGGTAACCTTGGGTAAGGGGTTCAGGGATTTTCCTCAAACATAAATTGCCTCTACTTGGCACTCAATAAATTCCACGCTTAAAACTCTATGGATTTAGAGACGCTTGAAGAATGAGCTGTCTCGTCCAACTATATCAACTATCGATAGAAACTAAAGCTAAAAATGTTAAAAGTATTGCTTAACCTAAGGTAAAGTTTCGGGTTCAGTGTATATCATTGACGAGCACTCACGACTAGAGCCTTCTTACTTTATTTAACTTGACACGAATTGATTTTTAGATGTTTACTCAAACAGATTGAGGAAAACCCAAATACGAAATGTGCTTAAAGCTTTGAGATTGATATCAATTACCAAAATCGATCTAACTATTATATATTTTTTTCGGTGTAGGCATACTACTACTGGCTCAACGACATGTACATGAACGTGCGCATCCCTTTGCCCATCAACTCAAATCCGGGCATGGTGTTTCCGCCGCGCCGCTTTAAGACCGTGCACGATGTGGCCCACTTTGCCGCCCGGCTGCTGGACGGCATCCTTGCCCACAAGGAGATGCTGGACAGCGGCGATCTGCCGCTCGAGCGGGCCGCCTCGCGCGAAAAACATCAGCCGCTGTGCATGGCCCAATACTATCGGCTGCTTGGCTCCTGTCGCCGTCCGGGCGTCGAACGCGACTCGCAGTATTTGCCGAAGCGTGCCCAGACCAATCCGGACATCGATGAGGATCGCCATGTGGTGCTCATCTGTCGCAATCAGATGTACTGCGTTGTCCTGCAGGCCTGCGATCGTGGCAAACTGTCCGAAAGCGAGATCGCCTCCCAGATCCTCTACGTGCTTAGCGATGCGCCCTGTCTGCCAGCCAAGCCGGCCCCGGTTGGACTCCTCACAGCCGAGCCGCGCTCCCAATGGGCCCAGGATCGTGAGGCTCTGCAGTGGGATGAGCGAAATAGGCGCAATCTGGAGCTAATTGAGACGGCTCTGGTGGTGCTCTGTTTGGATGAGCCGCTGGGCGTCAATTTCAATGCACGCGGTTTTACGGGTGCCACGCCCACCATGCACACAGCTGGCGACCGGGATGAGACGAACATGGCACACGAAATGATCCACGGCGGTGGCAGTGAATTCAACTCGGCCAATCGCTGGTTCGACAAGACCATGCAGGTAAGCAAACCAATATCGTATACTATCTCTTTCTCTCTCTCTCTCCCGCTCCCTCTCTCTCCCTCTCCCTTGATCTCGTGTGTGGTTTCAACCCGATCCGCTTGTCATTTACAGCTCATCATTTGCACCGATGGCAGCTGGGGCCTGTGCTACGAGCACTCCACCTCCGAGGGCATCGCTGTCGTCCAGCTGCTCGAGAAGATCTACAAGAATATCGTTGACCATCCGGATGATGATAACGGTTTGCCGCAGCATCATCTGCCGCCACCGGAGCGCCTGGAGTGGCATCTGAATGCTCAGGTGGAGCGGCGATTTGCCGAGGCGGCGCTCACTGTGGACAAGGCCATCGATAATCTGGACTTCTATGTGTATCGCTACAAGGGCTATGGCAAGAACTTTGTCAAATCGTGCCAGGTCAGTCCGGATGTCTACATACAGCTCGCCCTGCAACTGGCCCACTACAAGTAAGTCTTCCAACTCTATTCATAAATTGTACACTCACAAAAAAACTGTTTTGGAAATGAAATTGGTATTTCAAAAAAATTTTTTTTTTATTATTTTATTTTTAGTGTTTTAAGTAAAGTTCAAATTGATTATTTTCGTTTGGAAACAGTTGCATTCTTAAAATATTTCCAAATATATTTTGGATCAGCAATTTGATTACTTGAAGCCCATTAAAATCAGTTCAAGCTTGTAAAGAGTATTTTGTGACATGAATTGTAGATTATTTATAATAATGTAAGAAATGTTCAAGAAATTCTAATAACAAAACTATTTAAATGATATACACATTGTTCTTCAATTAATCACAGTGGCCTTCACAAAGCTTACATCGTACTTATTGAAGATATTTTATACTATATTATGCATATTATAGACAATTATATTAAAAACCAATCTGATGCATTGCAGACTTTACGGCCACCTTGTGGCCACCTACGAGAGTGCTTCCACCAGACGCTTCCTGCACGTAAGTCCATCTCTCTCTCTCTCTCGCTCTCTCTCTCTCTCTCTCCTTGGCTATTTCTACAAAGTTTGTCTCTTATGTCGAATAGGGTCGTGTGGATTGCATCCGTGCTGCCAGCACCGAGGCACTGGAGTGGGCCAAGGCGATGTGTCAGGGCGAGGGTGCTAATGTGCCGCTGGAGAGCGATCGCGAGGATGACGAGGAGGATGCTCGCAAAGTCAAATTTAGCATTTATAGCGTGAGTATTTGTGTGTAAATTGTAATCCGGACACCATTTATGAATTGATACATCCTGTGTTCCACAGAAGGATCATCTGCGTGAGCTCTTCCGCTGCGCCGTCGCTCGCCAAACTGAGGTGATGGTCAAGAATATTTTGGGCAGCGGCATCGATATACCCCTGTTGGGGTTGCGCGAGGCATCCGTGGAGGTCACCGGCGAGCTGCACGAGCTCTTCACCGATGAATCGTATAAGATATCGCAATGCTTTCTCCTCTCCACCAGTCAGGTATCCAACAAGATCAGCTGCTGTCCAATTATCGACGGGGCTGCACAGCAACTTGCACCAAGCACTGCGCACTATTTTCATTTCATTGCAACACACTCTTTGCACCATTATTGTCTAATTGCTTAATATTTTGCACCACAGCACCACCATCCAAAACAGCACCACCAGCTCGACACGTAAGCCACTAATTGTCTAATTGAATTTTTGCCCAATTTTGCTGCAAATTGATATATGCAATTTTGAACTAAATTGTGATTTGATCATTTCATTTTCATAGGTCGCCTGCAGTACGGATAGCTTTATGGGCTATGGTCCGGTGACACCACGTGGCTATGGCTGCTCCTATAATCCACAGCCGGAGCAGATTGTCTTCTGTGTGTCGGCATTCTACGCGTGCGAGGATACAAGCGCCTCACGCTATGCCAAATCGTTGCAGGACTCGCTGGACATCATGCATGATCTGCTGCAGAATTAAATGCTGCAAATGGAAATCGTTGGTTACAAATGCGGAATGCAACAAACTAAACATATCAGTAAATGTACCTTAGCAACAAATGATCCGTAAAGATACACATTAACTATACAACTACAAATGCAACACATCCAACAAGAACGAAAAGTTATCTTCGGCATGCCGAATCTAAAATACCCTTGCAGCTTGGCTTCGATTATCCATATATCTAAAGATGATGAAACAGTCATAACCACTTACATTTGTCGGCATATCTTGGCAAAAACAAAATCTGTCCATTTAAACGAATCAAGAATATATATAGATCGTGATAATACCCTCTGCAGGGGTATACAATATAAAAAAAGTTTCATATAAAAATTCATAGTGTAGTCAACTCGCGTCCATATGACGTCATCAGTTAATCAGACAATTTCTAGTGTTGTACAACTCAGTTCGATCATTGAATTGAGATCAACCTGATGTCAATCATCTAGTAATCGTTAGCATTATTGAAACTCATTTGCTTTAACTCACTTAACCCGTGTAACTACTTAGTAGGTGACAAAGAGCAACTCTAGTCAATTAAATGTGTTTTAGAGCAATTTTATGCGCAACTGTTAGTGCTGTTAAATAAATAAATAATTATACATATCTATTTATGTGTTGATAAAATTATGCAATATTATATTATTAGCTTAGCTGTGTTAGAGCTTTAACTTGAGTTTTAGTATCATCTAATTGGCTGTATTAACTAACTGTCTATCTAAAGTGAATATGAATTTCGTTAGTCAGAACAACCATTTTGGCATCCACTGTTGCTTGCAGCTCAAAAGTATGCAATACTTTTTGTTCAATGTTGTGTTTGAAATGCGCCCCTTGAAATATAGAACTCGTTATTGGAATATAAATTATATACATACATAAATGTATTAGATACATGTTAACTGTCCTTTTGTTGCTGTTTCAAAAAGAGAATTACACATAGATATAATGTATACACACCAATCAACTATATGCTTGTTAAAAATAAAAATTGAGCCAGAAACTAAACAGAAAGAAAGTAAATGATATTCGATATTCGGTATTCATAGCAATATGAATCATTATTAGTTGTTGATGTTGATGTTGACGTTGATGTTTTGTTGACAAGCAAATTGAAAATCATTGTACGTATATAGACTTGAAACGTAACAATACATATCAATAAATTTATATACTATATTTACCAAAAAGGAAAACAGAAAACATATCAAACGAATATTAGAGACCTACAATTATTTGAAAATTGAAAATATATACAAATACGATATACATTACTATTATTATACTTGAATGAATATCTGTTGTTGTCTTGTAGTGATGACTAAAATCTTAACTATGTTATACATCTATTTGAATATACTATGTATCCATACATACATACATAAATAATCTATGTTATACACAAGACAAATTCTTATATATGGAAATGTTAAAGGGTTAAAAAATATATATGTTGCTGTGTTCATTGTTGCTCTATATATATAATATATATGTGTACTTATGTATTCGTTCAACTGTTAAATCCCCCCCAAAAAAAAAACACTACAAAACCTATAAAACCCAATCTGTTATCTGATCTATATACTCGTATGCTGTACACTGTATTAAGTTGAATTTGGTTAAATGTTGATGCATGCGAAAAATCACAAAAATAAAAATAAATACATTGCATTGGAAATTGTCTAGATATATATATATGAATATATGTGTATATACACATTATATGGGGTCCATGGATTAATTGTGTGATTACGTCGCTCAAAATATCTTCATGACTAATATATGTCATTGCCACATACATACACACATACATATTTACTTAACTAGTTTGTTGGTTCCAAGAAAAGTCGCATATCCAATATTGGGTTTATTCCGGCTACAGAGATAAGCTAACTGCAGATAAACTCTTGATTAGTAAATCCAATTAATTAAAGAGAATAAAACGTATTCCTCGCATGGCGATCAGCATAAAAGTCGAACGATTAAACCAATTGGCCAACAGTCAACGAAATACTATCAAAATGAAACGTAAGTTAAGCAAACGCTAACAAATAATATCAAATCATTGGAAGATGAACTAAATTTATGGAATTCACTTGCTTGTAGTGCTGCATTTGTTGCTCAGCCTGTGCCTGGCAATCCTGCTGTGCACTGCGCCACTGATCCAAGCCCAAACGGCGCCAACAGTTCAGGCTGCCCCACCAACACCACCCAATGGCCCAGGTGGCTCAGATGGCTCACCACCACCACCACCCACTATGGACACCACAGTATTTTTACCCGACATTTCAACTACCGTCGATGGCTATGCTGGATAAGCCGAATCGCATCAATTTTCATATCGATATTGAGTTTGCATCGCGTGGCAAGAGTCAATAAATTTGCAATTGAATAAAAGCATAAGATTGTTCATTTCTCATAGGATATTTATTGTCCAACAGAAACTCGACAACATAATTATTATTATACACTCGCGTATTAATATATATATATATAACATATATATATATATATATATATATATAGTCTGCGACGCATCGGGATTAGCTTTGCGCCATGTTGCGGCGAAAGGAGCCACGCATCTGCGCCTGCAGTTGCTCGCTGCTACACTCCTCATCCAGGCCAGACTCAAAAAAAAAAAACACGAGAATCAGTTAAATATTTATTGATCCATTGTTATGCAATAGATATATTATATTATTCTGCGCTTACCTTGCAAAAGTTCTGCTCGAGCAGCTCAATGGCTGAGAGACGGTTCTTCGGATCGTGCTGCAGACAGTGGTCGATAAAGTCGTGTCCCTCCTGCGAGAGACTTTCGGGCGCCTGCGGCTTCTCGCCCATGCCCACTTTGAACATAATTTGGAAATTGGAATCAAACTGTGCCCACGGTCGCTGTAACGATAACAAATATAATAGAATATTTATAGCCAATGTGCCTTCGTGCTCTTCTTGAAGTGTCGAAAAATTGCTAGCATATACATATATCTCCTTTAGTTGTTTGTTTAAATTCATGTCAAACAATTGTCTGCAAAATTGTTCGCATTCGTAAATTACTAAAATTCTTGCATCCTACAGTTGTAGAGTCAAGCTTTTACAGTTACAGCAGTATACATTTTTAGAGTCTCGGACAGTAGTTAATGGTGGTTAATGTTAAGGGCACGTCTTTAGCATCACTAACGTTAGCTATTAAAACAGTTTTAAAAAAACCAAGACCACAATTGAAAAGTCTATTGGCCAACAATAATCAGTTTATATTACATTCTTAGAGTCATGCAGTAGCTGCATCATCTTCAAAGCTGGCATTACAGTTTTGGAATCGTTTGCTCTGCTGTTCTTTACATGTATGAGTTACAGTTTGTGAGCAGTTTGAAACAATTTGCAGCCATTTTACCCGCTCTAACTAAGCAGTTTTTGAGTTATTGAAAGTAGATTTCCTGCTATAATCAATAAGTATTTTGCTCTCCATTTCTCAGCATATATGCGTTACAGTTTTGGGGTAACAGCAATAACAGCTTATCACAGTTTGAAAGCACTGTAAACTGTTGTGTATGTCACAGTTTTCGGGTTAGTGAAACCAATTAATGATCACCTGTTGCTGGCTGCAATTAAATTCCGATTCTCAATACTGAAACTTGTTGACCAGTGTTACCTAAAACACGTAATGACAAAACTATCTTTGCAGTTTTGGAGTAACTAATGTGAATATCACTGAAAGTGATTAAGTCTGTTGCTCATATGCACGTTACAGTTTGTGAGTCACAATAACAGTTTGAAATCAGTTGAAGTCGGAGTTTTCTAGTTACTGAAACATATTTTGACAGTCTTTCTGCAATTTTGGGGTCACTGATAGCCATATCACTATAAGTGAATGTCTTTTGTACATATCGAGTTACAGTTTGTGAGTCACAACAACAGCTTATCGCATTTTGAAAGCATTTGCAGCCATTTTAACCACTCTGAGACACGTACTATCAAAACTATTTAAACAATTCACCGCTTGCGTCTCATTCGTAGTAAATATTTAAAAATCGCTTATCAACTTATCAGGCTATCAGCTTATCAGGTTATCAGTTGTACAGGTTGATCGTCGCCTACCTTGCCGGAGGCCATTTCGACAACGACACAGCCCACGGACCAGATGTCGGCGAGACGTCCATGGCCATCGCTGTTCGTCTTGGTGAAGACCTCGGGCGCCATATAGGCCTGGGTGCCCACATAGCCCTGCAGTTCGCCGGGCACTGTGGTGTGTGCCTGAATCTTGACCGCTGAGCCAAAGTCACCGAGTTTGAGGCTATTGCTGCCATCGACAAGGAATATGTTCGCCGTCTTGATGTCCCGATGAACAATGCCGTGCTTGTGCAGCTCGGCAACGCCCGACAGCAGCTGGGCGGTGAAGCGACGGGAGAGTGCCTCGGGCAAGCCACCAGTTAGCTCAACTAGCGATTCGAGGGTGCCCTCGGAACAGAGTTCCATGAAGATGAGCAACTCCTCGCGATGCACCTCGATGCCGTAGTAGCGCACCAGATTCTTGTGCTTGATGCCCTCCAGAATTTTCAGCTCCTCGGCAACGTTCTTCAAGGCACGCGTCTCGCCCGGCTGTACGGCAATCTCCTTCATGGCCATCAGTTCGCCGGTGTTGTTGTTCACCGCTGTGTACACCTTGCCGAAGCGTCCCTGGCCAATCTTGATACCCCGATGCCAACGGAAGTTGACGCTGCGCGCCCGAATTTGCACCTTGTCGCACGAATTCAGCGCCTTCACCTGCCCAATGAGCCGGCGTTCGCGCAGACACTCCTCCAGATCCAGATCAAGGCGATTCACTGCATCGCGCACTCTCTCGTGGCGTGAGGCCAACGGTGTTGAGGGTGTGCTCGTTTTACCCGACGAAATGGGTGGCGTTTGTGGCACCAGCAGACGCAACTCTCCATTGACGGCACCGGTTGGCGCCTCCACATAATCGGCACTGTCCACAGAGCTGTAGGCCTGCTGCTGCTGCTGGAGCAGCTCCTCCTTCAAGCTGAACTGTGGATGGAGCAGCTTATTGTATTGTGGTGATTGCAATGGCGGCGTATTGGGATTGACCACCACGCCGGCGGACATGGGTGTACGGGTGGGTGTCCGGCTGCGACTGGTCGCCGGCGAAGAGGTTTTCCGTGTGCGCGGCGATGCCTTCTTGCGTATCACCTTCTCCGGCTCCGAGGTGATGCCGATCACATGCGAAATGCAGCGATCCATTTGCTGTTTCAACTCCTCGAATTGGCGATCGTCCAGATGCTGAGTGATCTGCAGATCACAGGCAAGCATGAGGAATTCGAGACCCTGCGAGGCCCAGCGTGGACGCATGCCACGTCCCCGTTCACACCGTTCCATCACGAAATGCATCCACATCTGGGCAAACGAAATGATGCCCAATGCCAAGTCCACAGTGTGTCTGCTATCCTTCACATCCATGATGCGCTGCTCGAACAACCGGATCACATCCTTATGATACTCGAAACCAAACTTGTAGCCCTGATGTAGAATCTCGCGGGTGCGTGACATGACCGCCAACCGATCCTGTTCGTCCAGATCGTTCATGTTGCGGAGACAGCAGCGCCACTGAACACCCTTAATGATGCCCGTCAGCATGTTGCGCACCTCGAGCACATCGTGCTGGAGCAGCTTGAAGGCGGCCTTCACATCCGAACAGATGAAATCATGCTGTTGATTGGCCACATCGTGCTCGTAGTGCTCCCGATGGAAATCAGTCGTTTCGACGTCACGACAAAATGTCTTCGCAAAGAAGAGCACCTTAATGGAACGCTCCCGCTCGACGGTGAGCAATGATTGGGTCTCCCGGCAAATGGTCAACAGTTGCCACTTGAGATCTTCGCTATCATCGGTCTGTGCGGTGCTGGCAACCTGTTCGTTCAACTCCTCGGATCGTTTCACCAGCCGTGTGGAAATGCTGCACAACAGTTTGCTAATAATGCGACAGAATTTCTGCGAGGCCAAGGTGTGCATGCCCTTAATCATCGGGCTGATTAGCTTGGTGAACATCCACTCCTTCTCCAGCACCGATTTTTGATTCGTCTCTGGCACAGCGACCAACACCAACTGATCAATGTAGTCTAGATAGAGTTCAAAGGTTTTGCGCACCGTCGCATCGTACTGATTGAGGATGGTCATATAACTGCCCAGTTCGGTTTCGTTCTCGGCCAGCGCTGTGGTTATATGCCGCTGATAGCGCTCCCGATGCGTCAGCGCCAGTGTTAGGCCCTCGCGCAACTCCTTCATCAGCTGCTCGAGGCTGAGGGGATTGGGACGCACTGGTCGGGTTTCGAGGCGCATGCGCAGGAATTCGTGCATGAACTGCAGAGGAATGCCGCTGAGGAACACAAATGTGGGAATGTACGAGGGCAGATTGAGGGATTGGGCCTCCTCGCTCCAATAGCCATAGGTGCGCAACTCGACGACCTGTTCGCGACTGATCTGTGGATCCATGCGTGGCACATCCTGTTCACTGATCTCTGCGTCCAGTTCAAAATCCTCCAGATCCTCAGCGCCCGGCTTCTCTAATGCAATGTGCGCCTTGTACAGCGCCACCGTGTGCAACTGATGGAGGAAGGCAAGAGATTTGGCCAATCCCCGGCACTTGAGCACATTTTCGATGAATTTGCGATAGAGGCCGGAGCTCTGCTCGCCATTGCAATCATTGCTCGAGGTGCCCAGCGGCTCCACGCTAAAGATATTGATGTCGTGCATCGAACCCTTGCGCAAATGGCAAGCGGAGAGCTCATTGGACAGCTGACTGATCTCCGTTGAGGTGGATCTGTGTTGAAGAAACGCAACAAGTTAGAACTTATGTTGTGACTTTAGCTATGACTGGCTGCACTTACTCATTGCTGCTGGAGGTTTCGCCCGGCACGTGTGTGGAGTCGTTCAGCATGAATTGCACCCGGGCACAGGACATGGTGCCGCATCCTCGTCGCACTGTCTGACCATTGCTGGCCACGCTCGGCGGCTTCACCGAGTCCATCGAATTGACGGCGGAGTCATCGTTCTCCACACCAGACGCCGATGAGTTGCCACTGTCCGAGCCCATGCAGGATGTCTGCACCGGCCACGAGAATTTCTCATCTTGCAGTCTGTCGAAGACAAAGCATTTATTTGATTCTATTAACTCCTTTTTTAACGATATATTTGTCTAATTTAAGTTGAACAATTTTTCAAACTCAGAAATGTGTGCTTTGCAACATACAATTCATGACTTGCGGATAATGGATTATTGCTGAACACATAAATTAATAGAGGTAACTACAAACCTTGCTAGAATTTGGCCCAGAATACTAAGCTTGAGCTTGTTCTGCTTGGTAATGTTGTACCACAGGCACATGGCCTTGATGCGACCCACAAATTTCTGGGATTTGTAAATGGGATGCAAGGCACCCATTGCCTGGGAAGATGGATACAAGGCCTCGGCGGCCTCCAAGCGTGCCAGTAGATCGGTGACTTCGCGCAGCGCCAACTCCTGTCGCTCCATGCAATCCTTGCAGTACAACGACATGCAGCCCTGACACAACTTGCTCGGCAATGGCGCTGCAAAGGGGAAAGCGTTGATTAATACCCATTCAATAAAGTGGACAAAGATTAGGGCAGTACTCACAGCTGGCATTGGAGTTGGCGTCCGAATGTATGCCACTGTCGAGGCTCAGCAGGCTGGGCTCGCGTTTGTAGCGTGGCTGAAACTTGTACCTAATGATCTGGTCGAGCAGATCGGAGACACCATGGCGGGCATCGTACAGATATTTGTCCTGCTGTTCGACGGTGCGATCAGCTTGCCACGCCTGCAACTCCAGCCAGATGAGATCCTTCAGTTCCGTCTGCCACGTGTGCTCCTCCTGCGACAATTTCCCATCCTGCCTATCGACGCTGCCCAACTTGATCAGATTGGAGAAAGTCTCGTGGAAATCCTTACGCTTGGTGAAACCAGGCGTCGGCTTCATATCCACTCGCAGTGTGGGCAACGCCGCCGCAAATGCCAATGGCGGCGCCGACGAACGACAGCCAATGGGTCGCGAGGAGACGCACCGATAGCGATTGCAACTCTCCACCACCTTGGAAGCGATGCGCATTGGTAACGCCAACAGCGCCGCCGGCTCATCCGAGCTAAGCGGCATTATCTTGTCCTGCGATTCGAGCGGATGTGCCACCTCATGGAAACTGCTGCCACGCGGCGGCGCCACCGCCGTCGCCGATGCCAGCGAGTTCTTCATCTCGCGCTCCGAATCCCGGAGCAGCGATTGCAGTCGCTTGTCCGTCCGCTTGCTCTCCTCGTTGACGAACATCTCGTTGAGCAGGGCACAGTCCATCGTATTGCGACGCTGGACACGATTCCGAGCCATCTTCGTCATGCCCTTCTTGGGTGTGCCACCCGCCACACTGTCCGCTGCAGCTGCGCAACTAAATGGAAGTAATAGAATGGGGCTATATAGTTAAATATATTTGATGTGAAACTTGAAGTACTGACGAGCAGCACATTCAAGTGGCCCAGCGATACCAAACACATGCTTGTTATCGCACTAATCCAGCCAAACTACGATCCATCTCCCACTCAACCGGCTGGGGGGCGTGTCGCATAACTATTACGAAGACCGCAAATTACTATATAGATAACTGAACACAACAGTTTTGATAGAAGAACAACAGTTTTGTGCATTAGATCCTAAATGAGTTGTGGATATCACAATTCGAACTATAAGTTTGAAGAAAATGAGGCAGAAAATTCCTTCTATTTCTAATCGGAACTAAAATTAAGTTGGCTGATTAACTCAGAAGAATCAATATCACCAAGCATTGTTCTACGTTCAGAAAGAGAAGTAAGATTTATTAATAAAAGTTGACTTCTCTAAGAATGTAAGCTAATTAATCTATAGAACCGCCTTGAAAACTACCAGTTTTTGGTTTTCAAAATAATTTCTAGAATGTAGAAAGTCATTCCCTAAATCGTCAATGGTGTTTTTAGAATTATTTTCCATTATTAAGAAATGCATTTCTAATACACTTGCTGAATAATAAAGCGATTGATATAAATTGAAGTGTATGCAACAATTGGTTGCCAACTTACGGTTCAACAATATTGTACTTCTGTTTGCGTTCCCAGTCGCGATTCTTGATCTTGAGACGGGTGCGCGGCGGTGTGGTGCCAAATGATTCATAGTTCGCAGCAAGTTCATCGTCCGGATGCAGATCCTCCTCCAATGTGCCGTTGCGTATGGTTGCCATTGGCATTGGACGTGACGATGACGACGACTGCTTCACGCGAAACTCCACTCTGAGGATAGGGTTGGGAGGGGAGCAGAAGAGAAAGAGAAGGGGATGAGTTTTAATAATTTAATTGCTGCACTAATTGGCAAATAGTAAAGGCAGCAAATTGTAGAAATGTCAGCTAATCGCAGATATATAGATATAGTATATATATATAGGAATCGCATGCGGGGGCAGTTGTGGGTGGGCGGAACTGTGGCGTTATCTTATCTAGCTGGTTTATCTATCGCACGCTTGCATCAAACCGATTGTCACGCCTTTAATTATGCTTTAATTTGAATGCGGATCTGATTTATATCCCGCCATATGTAAAACTCAAGTGATTGACGACCAAAAAAAAAAACTCTAAAAATCACAGCACAATTGCATCACTCATTCAAACTTGATTCAGTGCTAAACACCTGTTCGAAACTCTTTATTTAATGCATGGTACATAGCTTTATACTGGCTATATACTCGTTGACATATCAGTCAAAAATGCAACCCTTATCAGTTTAAGACAGTAAATGTATTAAAGTCAACATCTGGCGTTGGCAATATTCAGTCGAAGAAATAAGCAAAAGTTCAATTGAAATTGTAGAAATTTGTGTTACAACAATCAATCATTTGCTGCTGATACTATAAAAAGCAATCTTTATTTATATTGTAAAAAAAAAACCCATCTGATTTCAAAGTGTATTTTTTTTCTTATATACCTGAATAACTCAGGTGTAAAAAGCACCTCATTTGTATAAAAATCAAAGTGATTTTTTTATATACCCAATTGTGTAATTAATCTTCTTTTTTCCCACGGTTATCTTAGCCGAATGAGTGTATTTTATTAATATTTAATTAATAGGTAACAGTCACTTTAACAGTCACTTTAGCCTCATATACAAACAAAGTGTATATTTATTAATTAATAAATATTTAATCTTCTTTTTTCACAAGTATTTTAGTTTTATGCACTAATAAGTGCATTTTTATTGTATCTAAATACTAAAATAGGGTATTCAATCTTCGGTACACCGAATTGAACAACTTTTAACACATTCATATTTTTCTTTAGCTTTTTTACTTACCTTTTTCGCGGCATTTCGCATTCAGTTATTTTCTACAGTTTGAGGTGCAGTGTACAGTTTTGCGGCTACTGTCTTGCCCACTATCGGAACGTAATTACAATACTGTTCGGGCTTTTGCGATTTATTGCGGTATTTCACAAAATATTTATAAGATTTCACTTTAGTAGGAGTGAGGGGGAATAACACCAACAAATTTTATTATTACAATGGAGGGCTACGACAATACATTTTCATTTAATCGAGTCGAAAACAAACGACAAACAGCGAGGCACTTGTAAATAGCAACCCTGGAGAGAACTTTGAGTCGATGTCGAGTGTGGCCAACTAATTAATTGCTGCTCAACTACAACTTGATGGCTATCACACTGATCGCGCCCTAACTAATCACCAAGTATATTATATTGTTTATATATATTTTTTTTTTGGCCAGCTTGCACGCCTGCCAAATATGCATCCATCCGTCCGACGATGAATTTCACAAGCTAAACGTTTTGGGCAGGCGATAAATATAAATGTTGAGGCGACCACTGGATGCGACCGGCCATTGTCGTGTGCGAATTGAAATGCGGCGGCAGACCCACAATTTATTAGCACTTTAACAAAAATTTACCCCATAGAATCACACACAGTTACTTCTATTTGTGTGTGTGTGTGCATGTATTACAAGCGCACAAACATATGCATGCACATGTATGCACACATTTACACACACATATGCGGGAAACGAAAATAAACGAAAGCGCACATCAACCGCAGCGCACGGCGAACGGCGACAAACTAATCGGCAGAGGCGAACAAAACAAAAAAAAGAGTCATCCCGAAGAGATCGTGTCGAGAGTCACGGGCAGACACAGACTAGATAGCAAAATAGAGAGTGAGAGTATTTGGTGGGTGGCAGAGAGCGAGAGAGAGTCGTTGTAGAACGCAAGTGGAACACAAGTGCAAGCAAAAGAGACGGAAGATCAAGCGATTGCTTTTGCGATTGTTGTGGCTTGTTTTTGTTGTTGTATTTTTGTTTGCGGCGAGCGAGTATTTATTATTATTATAATTCTTATTAAATAATGATATTTGATGATGTACGAGCAAGCAGGCGAGCAAACACATTAGCGGTTGTGTGTACTCATTGTGCTTTTCAGTCCAGCGATGCGTACACATAATATGTAAATTAAGCATACGCACTGTAATAGGTATAAATAAATCCAAGTGGGCAGCAAGCATCAATCATAAATAATCAATACTGACCATCACTCGGCACGTATGAGTAATCTGAGTATGGAAGCTGTTCAGCTTGCGATAAGAGAAACCATATTTATTTTAAATAAGAGGACATAATTAAACATATATTATCTTATATATATTATATTATTTATTATTTATTGCATTTCAGAAATATATTATATACCTCAGTTTATCATTAATTCTTTAGCATATTTATACACATAAATATATATGCATATTCAAAATAACATCGGATGTTCAATAAATTTATTTATGGCCATTACATCAAGCACTTTATTATGACGCTTATATTTGGCCTTATCACATTTTGTCAGAAATTTAGTTAAATATGTTTAGCAGACATAATCGATAGCTAATCGATTACAAAACGAGCATTTAACTACATGTGTTCAAAAAAAAAAAAAACGAAAAGAGTTTTGCATACAATTTTTTCTCACTTCATCAAAAATTTCACAAATTATCAAGTTCTTCTTAATTAATAAACTTGTCAAACTTTTTAGATCTACTATCTATTCTAAGATAAGGTATTTTTAATTTGTAAATTTTTAATTTATGGCTCCCCACAATTTACTAAATCTAGCGCTACTACTCATTTGATAAATAAAAAAATATCTTCTAATAATAATATTCTAATTGAAGTACTCAATATTTCTGGTTCATAACAATCCCCGTGTCCAATTGGTCAATAAAATTTATGGACAAGAAAATGTAAACAATGAAATCTAGTTGAAAAATTATTATTTGCGCCATATTGTTTTCGTACTGCGGAAATGTTTTCAAATGCAAATTGCTTGTTTGTGTTAAGCGTGTTTTTTTTTTTTTTGGGTTTCGGCAGGGTCATGTGGAATGGAAAGGACTACGTGTGAAAGAGAGAGAGAGAAAGAGTCAAAAAGTTCCGTTTGAAGTTCAAGTGCAAGCGTTGCCAGACATTTGGTATGACCATGATTGATCGTGCTTGGAAAAACAAAAACAACAAACCAAAAAACAAAAAAAGCGGCAATGTCTACGTGAGTTGTTACGTGTTCGCTGCCTGAGTTTTGGGTGTCAAACAACCGTTAACATCAGATGATGACAGACAGAGAGACAAATACGGACGGACAGACAGACAGACGACACAGGCATTCCATTGAGAATTACATGCAAGAAGAAGAAGGAGAAGACAGCGTGGAATTTGAGAAGAAAGCGAATTCGATTTCAAAACAGAATTGACTTTTTGGCTTGCGTTGAATCTGGTTGCGTTGCGTTGAGTTTGGTTCAACGCATAACGAAAGAGGTTAACAAAGCGGAATGTGCAAGCGCACTTATAAAAGTATACACACACACACACACATGTGCACATCAATATTAAACGCGTTTTAATATCAGCCCATCCCCTCCCCCCGAGCGCACCTTTGCCAAACTGGTATACGAAATGGAGATCAAGACGAAGAAGAAGAAGAACAAGTGCGAGAGTGTGAGAGAGAGAGTGAGAGAGATATATACAAATTAATTTCACCAAATTTTAAATAGGCGACACGCCGGCAACACACACACACATACACACACATACACACACATACACACACATACACACACATACACACACACATACACACACACGTCAAACAAAATCTATGTTTGACATTTATTTGTTTCAAGAAAAAGTCATGCGAAAATTTTCATTGGAAAAATAAAAATAAATGTTAAATATGCACGTGTGTGTGTGTGTATGTAAATATGTCTCATGCATGAATAAGCAAGCGGAAAAGGCATGTGAGTGTGTGTGTTCCTTGTCTTATCAGACAAATGGCTATTCTTATCAGCAATATCTTTGAAGAGACAATTTTCAGGCAAGCCTAAAAAAAAATTGCGACTCATTTACATTTATTTGGCTTTGCACGATAAATGCCACATTGTAAACATTATTTTATTTTTTTGTATAAAAAACGAGTAAGTTTCAAGCTAAATTTACAATTCTTTTCTTTATTGCCATGCATGCAGTTTTTAGCTGACAAAAATTTGGTACGTAAAAAAAAAACACAAAAGAAGCAGAAATATTGCGCATACAAAACCAGATAAATGTTGTTTACGTTTTGACAATCAAAACGGGCGAAATATGCGGGAAGCCAACAAGAGTGAGTGAGTGGAAATAGAGAGAGAGACAGCAACACACACGCTACCCATTTATGTAAGTTCGTGTGTGTGTGTTTGTGTTTTGGGTTTTCCACGAAAGCCGGCTGGAAAACCACAATCATAATAGCAGAGTTACAGTTAGAGTTACAGTTGCTGCTTCTCACCTTGCTAAATCCTCATCCACATTTTGCTCGCGTCGCAGTCGGTTTGGTGGAATGGGTGGCAAGACTGGAACACTAACTGAAGCTGAGTCTGGAGTTGGCTCTCCATCTCCATTCTCTTCCAGTCCATGTGCTGGCAGCGATATCGCCGCTGCCGCCGTCGCTGCAGATATTTGCGTTAGGTATTCAATTGTTCGCACTCTTCGCTTGTTGTGTGACATTTCTTCTTGGAATTCCTAAACAGTTTAGCAACACATACACAAACAAGCACAAACACACACAGCTGCTCTCTCTCTCTCCCTCTCAAACACACACACGTATTTTAGCACGGGTTCTGCGATTTGTAGTTGTTGTTTATTGTTGGCGTTGTTTCTCTTGCTAATCGAAATTTATTTAAATTTGTACTTTCACGACGCACGCATAACGGGACTGAGATTTGAATTTTTTTTTTACCGAGCAATCAGGTGACAATCATGAGTGCGTCTTACCTGGGCAAAATTGCGGTTTTAACTGCCAGTGTGACCGCATTTGGATAGGAACATTATTCCAATAAGAAATGCAACCGGTGAGCGCAGCTGACATTGTCATCATTTAAGCAAGTCAACGAATCCCATTGCTCGGTGAGAAAAATGTCTAGTTAGGGCTTGCATTAAATCAAATAAGACACATTGTAATTCTTAGAGGCAGTTCTGTGCGTGTCTAACGTTGCCAGACTGTGGCAAATTTTTTCTTACTGAAAATTTCCCTTCAATTTTGATACTAGCAACGAAGTTAATTTAAGCACAGCCCAATTTCTGTTGTATTATATATGACGCAATAATATAAAAATTACATGCAAATAGCAAATCTAAACAAAAATATTTCAAACTGCAACAAAATGGCAGCGCAAAGCCAATCTTGCCAGATGAGCGAAGACAGGTGACTGGTTAACGACGGCAAGCTGCTTGCTCTGTTGCTATTTAAAATTTTGGTATGTGTACACACTGGCAAATGTATTCATTTAGCGCTCAATTTAAAAAGTTGCTAATTAAATCATTGAGCTGAATTTAATTAAATTAAATTATAAGAACCAATTTTGATGCCATGATAATACATTTTGGAATACTATATTGTGATGGAGATATCGAAATATTTTTCTTGATTTTGGTGGCCAGCCAAGATATAAATCTATTATTTATTTATTTTGGATTTCTTCTTTCGCTGATGATAACAAATGTGTTTTTCACATTTGTCACACATTTTACATTAGAGTCGCATCCAGCTGTTTGCACAGCTTTTGCGGACAAAAATTTAATTAGCCTCCATTGACAATTGCCAATGTGTGTGTTTGTTTGTGTGTGAGTTTGTTTCTGTGTATTTTTCAAATTAGTTGCAATTCAATAATTGAGCCATAATGTCTACTTCAAGCTGCGCCCCAATTTTTTTTTTTGGTAACTTTGCCTTTGCCAAAGTTATTATAAAAAATATGAGATCCTCAAACAAAACAAGCCAAGCAACAAAAAAAAACAACAAATGCTAAAAAGCTTACAATAGTTTTTTAATCGTACGTGATTTTGTAATTAACACATTCTTGATTCATTCAACAAATAATAATAATAATAAATAATTCGATTTCCAATTCGCAACGATGACGTCACAGCGCTGCTGTTGCTGCTTCTTCTTCTCCTCCTCATATGACAGTTTCACTTTTATTCGCCAGCTGCAAAATTTGAGGGGTTAATTACTTTTAGTCGATAGCAGTGCATGGCAACAGCAGTCCTGTTATACAGTTATTTTTTTATTTATAACTGTTACCATTAGTAAATAACCTACTAATGGTAGATAGCCGTTATCGATATTTTGGAAGAGATCCAACATGGATTGCCTTGTTTGACAGCAGTCATCGCTTATCTTTTCTCTGAAAAAACACCATGTAAGGAAAAATCCCCACTTTCCACCTACGTTGTGGAATCAACAACAACAGAGAATGCGAGCGAGAGAAAGAGAGAGGGAGTGGAGAATCCCAACTGCGAAAAGATTCCATTGCAAATTTGATTCGTAATCTTTACTCTATAATTTTATTGCTTTGTAATGAAGAAAGTATGCGTTGCCGACAGTTTTTTTTTATGTGCCTTACATATATATTCAAAATGTAGTTCTATATATATTCAAAGTATAGAAAATACAACAATAATAATACAATAATATATAAATACATAAAAATATGTTTTATATTTCACTACACAAAGAGTATTAATGGGTAATGCATTACATTGTGTGCACACAGAATGCACTCAGTAATGGGAGTTGTCATTCATTAGTTCGCTGCTGGTATGCTTACACGTGGTGATTTCCCACTGACGTTGTACAGCAATAAGAATGTGTAAATAGTATAACAGTTGCATTTGCACATAGATACGTTATATGTACATTTGTCTTGTATGCTAATTAGCACAGACCATAACGATGATGACAAGCACACTCCTCCCTTCTCCTCCACAACCACCTGCTGCTTGAAGTGCGTGCAAGAAATGTTATCAGCATCTAATAGCGATAAATGCTTTCTTCTCTTCTCTATTTGATTACATGAAAAATCAACAACAATGGGTTTGTTTGTATGTGTATCAGTTGCAGGCAAATATGACTTGAATTAACATTTCACAAACGCACACACACGTATGTAAGCATGCATGCATCTCTGCATAAGGCAGCCCATTCTTCGACTGAATGCGTGCTCTCTGCGTTCTCCTCCTCTCTTTTCCTTTTTTTTCAGAACGCAGCGTGGGAGCACAAAGCACGAATACGAGAGAGCGCTGCTTCGTGTGTCGTCGCGAGCTTTGACGATGATCGTGGTTTGGAACTGCTCGCTGGAGTTCGCTCAGTTAGTCAGTTGTTATCGAGCGTTACTTGAAGCTGGTTGCCCACTGGCTCCGTTCCTGTTGTTGTTGTTAGTGTTTAGTGTTTAGTATTAGTCGTGTGCGCGCTGCGAAAATCTGAGACACCCCACACTCCGCACCCCCTCGCGTTGTCGCCGCCCCTTCGTCGTCGTCTTTGCTGCCCAGTTTTATTTGTGTGAGTGCCCAATGACTGCCCATAAAGAAGAAAAAATAAGAAAAAAAGAAGCGGTTACCATTAAAATATACAACTACAACCATACAAGAAAACACACACACACACACCATACATACACAGAAATCGCTTCGAAGCGAAGCTTAGGCTTTGTGTTGCCAAGCGTCAAAAAGCAGCAGCATCTGTTTCCATCCAACAATTAATAATTGTATTTATTTTATTTATTCATATATATATGTATAAGTGTGTATATATGAATGTATATCTGGCCACATGCATACAATTATGTATTTGCGGCAAACACAAGCGTCTCATCGTCTCTCTCTCCCACAGAAATCTTAACAAAAGCGACACAAGTAAAAAAATAATAATAATAAATAAATACTTTTTTTTTTGTCGTAGATAAAAACACAACGTCAACGGCAAAAGATCACGAAATGCGGTACACGCCGCTTTTGTCGTCGCTTTGACGTTGTCGCAGACGGAAAACAAATTCACACACACAGACACACACCCGCATACACACACACACACATACACAACACACAGACACATTTGTGCACGAGTCGCTTGAAAAATCCACACTGGAGATTTGCACAAGTGCAAAGCCTAAAAGACAAAAGAAAAAAATAATCATTTTCTTTGGAATTGTCTTAGTCAGCAAATCAAATTTTCAATTAGTCACACTTAAATTACATATAATTAGCTTGAAATAAGAGCAAAGACCCATAAAAGAAATGAAGAAATATCTCAGAAATGTATCAAAAAGTTCGTGACCAAAGTCAAAACAGTTGATTCATAGTCGCAAAAAATCTAAAAACATTTCGAAAAATTCAATTGTGAGAGTGCTGTGAATTATTTATGTAATTACTTAGATTTTTTTATGTTTTTACATGCAGATTCAGTCATAAAGAACAAACAACAAAAGACGCGGAAATGGATTATATTGTGAAGGCCTACAAGGACTGGAAATTGCATTCGCAAGTAAGTACAAAGAGAATCCAAATGACATTAATATCCCTGAGTGTTTGCCATTAATCAAATGAATACTCACAATTACTCATACTCTGATACAGTATTATATATAAACTCATTTGCGTTTAGCTGCTTGCCGAATTCTTGGGGTTGTCTAAGGTTAGGGTTGTGATCTTTGGATATTTGTAAAAAATTATTCTATATTGAATGGGCAAACAATTCAACTGAGAATATTCTATGTGGTTAGGTTAGGTTAGGCCAAAATGTCATCTTGGATGAGATTAACTCCAGTCAGCTCTAAGTGGCTAAAATCAAGTTGGCTAACTTAAATACCCAATATACCACATCGTTTAAGTGAATCAGCGATCGATCGATCAAATGAAACTTTTTGCAATACATTTTCACTACATACACACAAGTAGCATATTATATATTTATAATATATATATATATATATATATATATATATATGTATATATATATAGATTATGAAGTCATGCCAGCAGGCGGTCGTTAGCTCTTGGTTTGGTGGTGGCTTAAAGCCAATACGATTGGCATAAGACAGCAAGCAAACTTATCTGAGAACTGTCGAATTTCAAATACCCTTGCAAATATGAATCATTGGTTTTTGATATCGCCTCGAGCTATATCTCGTGGTTGTTGACTTTTGGCTAAATTTCCTCAAAAAATAAATAATGTTTTTTATACAATGACTTCATCATTGTCCGATTGTTCTGCAATCTTTAAGACGTAAGCCAATTGTATATTGATAAGTCTTTTAATACTGATTAAAAAGAAAATTAAAAACATACAGTCAAACTTAACTAATTCATACCAACATGCCGATAGTTCTTTGAAAGCTTACCATCATCGTCGAAATTAGGTTGAAAGAAACAGAATAATAATAAGGCATAATAATAAACTGAGTTGAGCTTGTTCAATTTATTCCACGATAGTTTTCGACAGAATAATTCAATCTTCCTTCAATTGTTCTTCAAAAGTTTATCATAAATTTATGATGCTGTTAATACTGATAAGAAAATGATAATAAATAATGATAAATATAATTTCAAATATCAGTCAAACTTATTAAACATATAGGATCGTACAATAACTTTATCTAATCTTATCTTTAAGACTTAACATAACAGTCATGGTAGTCTAAAGACTTAAAGAAACAGTCATGCTTTTATTTATAAAGATATTAATACTTATTTAAATTAATAATATACAGTCAAACTAATATAAATCATTCACTATCTTTCACAATATAACTTTAATAATATATAATAAAATAAATAAATCTTGTGAATTGTGCCTTTTTATGGAAAAGATTGAAGAAAAAGTGAAAATGATTTTAAAGAAATTTCTGATTTCCTTTCTTTTTCATGGATAATAGTCTTAGGAAGGAATTTGCATTTAAGTTGCAACAAATTTAGACAATTTGAATAATTTGAATTTAAATAAAAAATGTATCGGCTAATTTTTTCTCATTGGTAAAAAATGATCAGAAATCAAAGTTCTATGTAATTAAAAAATCAAATTATAACAAATTCGACTCTCGAAGTAGCCAGATTAAAAATTAGACTGTATATGTTATTGATGAAAACTTGTAATGCTCTTAGATAGAGTATAAAAAGAATGTATCCATGTGTGTTTGTGAGTGTGTTGCTTTGTGTGGCAACAACAGCAGTCAGCAGACAAAGTCAGAGTCAGAGATCTATTAAAGACACAGTTTGGCGGCGACTGCAAACTGTTGAAACTGTTGAAGCTGTAGCTGTATCTGTATCGGTTTGTTGAGGTTGAGGTGCCTAACCACATTTAAAGATTTCAAAGCAAAGCCAACGACGACGTCAGACAGACGGACGAACGGGCGGACGGACGGACATGAGGGTTCAAATATAATTCTCATGAAACACGATCGTGTCGAAATAGTCTCGCATTACCCAAGAAAAACCACTTCGAATGCAGCGTTTCTGTTGTTTATTTTTATGTTTCTTAAATATTTTCTGTTTTGTTTTTCATGTTCTTATTGTTGTTGTTGTTTTGTGTTGCGTATGCGAATGCCACCAAAGTGTGCAGCTTGGTGGCGGTTCGTGGCCAACGAACCAGGCGATGAGTAAGCAGCCGTCGCACATCTGGCCAAAAGTAGCAAGTCAGTCAGTCAGTCACTTAGCCAGTTTGCCAGTTAGCCAGCCAGTTAGCAATGCGGCCAACTTGTGCGACTCTGTCTGAATTGCAAATGAGTGCACGAGTGAATAAAGCCAAATGCATTTATGTGTTTACGCTTGTGCAGCGCTTATTATTTGTTGCTTTAGCTGTCGTTATTACCAGCAGTTGTTGCTGCTAATTAGGCCAAAGCACAAAACAACTCGAAGCTGCAATTATATATATATATACATATATATGTATATGTACATATGCTGCATTGTTGCAATGCCACAAGCTATAAATATCCTTAGCCTTGGTCTGAGTCTGCGTCTGCGTCTTTGTCTTCATCTTTGTCTGCTGCTCCTCGCATCGGGTTCAATGCCCAAAACCGAGACCAACATCGAAACCAAGCCCAAGTCCCAGCTCTGGCCAAAACCCAGCTGCCAGATTAAGCGCAAGAAGCCGCAGGCCGGTTTTTTTTGCTGCAGACGCCGCCATTTTAACGTTTTTGTGCTTTTAGCTGATAATTCTACTTGGCTAGAGTTACAAACACTTTGAATACATGCCAAGAAAAGGTATTGAACAATATCTTGTGTTGTTTCTCATCCGATCTTGATGAAATTTTTCCAGTTGTTCAATAATATGCATATGTCTATTTATTTATATTAATTAGAAGCTTTTGCCTTTTATTTCTATCGGAAATCGAAATGTGTCGAGGCATTTATCGATAAAATGAAAGAAACTTGATCGGCCCAGGGTATTTTTATTTATTTATTTAAAGTTAACACAGAAAAATACAATCATTAGAAAATAAACTGATATTGATGTGAAATAGTATGGATTAGATTAATAATTAAGAATTGGATATAGAAGAACTTACGTTCCAAAGTAAAAGTCTCTATTGTTGATAATCTCTAAGACTATTATCAGCTATCTACAGCTGATCAAGAATATATTTATATATATCATATATGTATATTATAATATTATATTGGGTTGGAGTTGCTTTCTTCTGCCTGTTACATGTTTTTGCACATTGAACACATTAAACATTAAAAAACATTTACACACTTTTAATGGGTTCAGGGTATAATTATCCAATAATGTGAAAATGCACTAAATGCTTATAGCGTACTAATACTCATTAATTCATAGGCAGAAAATGCATTTTCGAGTATAAGTTTTATATTTTTATTTACACACAACTAAATAAAAATAAAAAAATGAAAAATAAATGTATAAGAGATTGCCTTAAGATCATTAGTGCTTAATTAAAGTTAAGATGCAACATTTATGAGGCGTAGCAAGTAAATTGCTAGCAGAAAATACTTAAAATTTAATAGCATCACGCAAGGTTTGTCACGAGCCGTGTTATTTTGTGGCTGCTATAAGAAAGCCACAGGAGTTATTATATATTTTATGAAACAATAAACGGCTTGTAAAAATATAATGCATTTCGAAACTCGGGAATTGCGTTGCAACATTGTTGTTGTTTCTTTTTTCTACGACACATATATTTCTTGCGATATTTCTTGTTTTGTTTTTTTTTTTTTGCCGATATCATAAAACCGTAATAAAACAACAAGAATGGTCATCTATGGCACACCATTGTTAATAACTTGCCTACAAATAAATCTTCCTTCTCTTTCTGATCGTAACACTTTTTACACCAACAAATAAGTGGCGAAAAACCAATCTGGCTGATTAAAAGTTTGCTTTGCAGTTCCGATTGGCTGCACATGGAATTTTCCTATATTTTTCTAACTATATTTATCCATAACAAATTTCGTTTCTTATGCTCCAGTTGTAATGATCTTTCATTTGTAGTGTCGTATTATTGTTATTCTTAAGTCATTTGTCTAATTTCTACTGTTATGTTGTACTTCAAAGTTCTTTTCTCCGTTTTCTTTCGCTTTTTTTTTATTTAATTTTTTGCTTTAAGCAAACTTTTACTTAGGTGTTTGACCTTACTGGGCTTGTACAAATGTTCAAGGCTATAATTAGAAATACTGCTGAGAACTCCAAACGTTAGTTAAATCAAAACAACAAAAAAGAAAAGCAAATTTGCGTATTTTGTACATATCGCAAACGTACACGGCCTTAAGTACATGGTATTATCGCACAGTGTTGGCCTAGTTGCCCTGCCGCAAATAGTCGCAATGGGAGCAACTCGAAAGGTTAAAAAGTTCTGCTCGCTTATCGTTGCTTATCTGTCTGCTCGCTCGCACAATCGCACAAATATTTATTATACGCAGCGTTAGCAATTCAATCAATTCTAATTTTGTATAATGTGCGATTGACCCTCGTTTGTAGCGGGGTGCCTCACTCACGCCCACAAACAATCTTCCACGCCTACACGCATTAAATTTGCATATTAAAAGGTGTGAAGAGGCCATGATTTAGAGTTTGCGGGATATCAAAAGAGTGACTCAGTTATCGGTATGGTTGTAATAATCATATTTTAATAAGGTTTGTTCAGCACCATTTTGCTCAAGATAATCCATGTGTTGTGGGCTCGGTTAACGTTTCCTGCTGCAATTTGGCTCTTAACCGGTTCTGTTCTGGGTATTGTATTTGAAGTAGTTGTTAGTTACCAATTTGCAATATTTTAATATTTAAACCGGTTCGGGTGCTTTCATACAAATATTCTACAGGTTACATTCCAAATATCCATTATAATATATATGTCAGACACTAAACTAACACACTACAAATATATATTAATGAAGAAGTAGAAGCCACTAAATATTCCTAGGCAGTTATCATATGTATGTATATATAATTATCTATATATTTGTTTAGCCTTGACTAGCTGTGATACCACTTCTTAGTTTAGTATCAATATATGCCATAAGCGT